ATAATTTTAAGTAATAAAATGGATTTTTTTATAATATTTATTTACTCGGAAAACAAGCAAAGTTGTTCCATTTGTGAAACAGATTGGTCCCATTTGATTATGATTTCTTTCCTTATAATATTCCATAATATACTATTCAAAAAAAGTAGGGGATATTTGATTTTTAAGTGTTATTAAAGTCACCTAATGAAACTGACGAAGAAACAAATGACAAAATGAAATGAAGTTCACATTCATCGATTTATTCCAAATGATTGTTAGACTAAGTAAGGCACAGACTGACCATTATAAGGGTAAAATGATACCCGGGGTCAAACAGCAAAGTTACCACAGCATCACAACCAAGTCAGTAACGGGTCCTCTGTTTGCTAAACAAGCATTGATCCGACGTGGCATACTCCTAATGAGACGTCTAAGGTCATTTTGGTCCAGATTGTCCCATTCCTGTTGCAACGCAGCAGCAAGTTCTTGGACATTGGCAGGACGTTGTTGACGTTGACGTAACCTCTGTCCAAGCATGTCCCAGACATGCTCGATGGGGGAGAGGTCGGGACTCGGTGCTGGCCAAGGTAATGTGGTGATGTTCTGTTGTTGGAGGTAACCTGTAACGATCCTGGCCCTGTGACATCTTGCGTTGTCATCCTGGAAGATGAAACGGCGGCCATGACGTCGTGCGAACGGCACAACATGGACTGCCAAGATGTTGTCACGGTAGTACTGGCCTGTAACACGCCCTGCAACAACATGTAAAGCCGTTCTTCCAGCAACAGTGATGCCTCCCCACGCCATAACAGAACCACCCCCAAATCGATCATGTCTGATGACGTTAACGTCTTGGAAGCGCTCGTTTCGACGACGCCACACCCTCCTACGTCTGTCCAAAAAATCAACAGTGAACCTTGACTCATCTGAAAACATCACATTGCTCCAGCGTCGATTATCCCAGTGTTGACGATCCCTACACCAACGACGTCTTGCCTGAATGTGATGATCTCTCAAACAAGGGATCACGCGAGGACGTCGGGCGCGAAGGTGACCCCTATGCAGTCGATTCCGAATCGTCTGGCCACTCACTCTCACACCAGTGTCTGTTTGAAGACGAGCGCTGATCTGATTTGCTGTGATGACACGATTTCTCAAGGCCAAGGTACGGATAAATCGATCCTGGGCTTGAGTTGTCGCCCTTGGTCGACCTGAGCGTGGTCTGTCCTGTACAGATTGTGTATCACGGTATCTGGACCATAGCCTGCTTATGACAGACTGAGAAACATTCATCGTCCGCGCCACAACCGCCTGTGTTGTGCCGATCTGTAGCATGCCAAGGGCACGTAACCTTTCATTTTGGGTAAGCCGACGCATATCAAAATTTGTTTTCTGGTCACTAAAACAATTAAACTGATGTTTCCACCCTGGAATTCAATGCCACAATGACTGTAACATTCAAAGTCAGAGTCGTGCAAATCTTGGGTTGGACCCCCATGATGATCCCAAGCATCACCTGCATTCCATGCGGTAGCTATTGGTGCGTTTGGGCGTCACATGTAACTGGAAATGTTTCTTCTGTTAGGTTCTATAGTGACTTTTTTCGTAGTCATTTGCATATTTTAGTATTATGCCCCCAAAATCAAATATCCCCTACTTTTTCTGAATAGTATATTTAAATGTTAATGTACTCCAAAATTAGAACCATAAAGACGGTACGAAATGAAAATATAATTTTAATTAGACTGGTAAAATTCCAACAACTGTTTGCACCAAGGATATTTGCTTGGATGATAATTTTTATATGCCCACATTTCCATGTGAACGTAATATGCCGTCGCCCTTGCTTAGCCCGTGGACACTCTTACAGATCCCAGTTTTTATCCAATTTTACTCAAATTTAAAAAAGATCTCGGTTGCTCTTGATATTGGACATCTACCTTGTAAACGAAATAGATGTTTTAGTTTCTAACGCTATTCTTTCACTGTTACTGGGAAGCATTAATCGTACACTCAGGGGTCATAATCCATGAAGTTACGGTCCGACACATGCCAATATCGAAAGGAACCGAGATCTCCTCAATCTAAAGAACTTCTTATCCACTCCTTTGTTACTAATAGACTAGATTGCCACAACGCATTTTATACAAACTCCCGAATTATCTCATCCAACAACTTCAACATGTACAGAACTCAGTAGCAAGACTTTTATTTTCAACCAGAAAATATGACCATATAACCCCATTACTTAAACATACATTATGCAAGAGCTAAATATGCCTATTGCAGTTCTTTCTTTAGGTCTGAAATGTTTTTTTACATTATTAATTAGACATTATTTAACTGATCTAGGCCATAATCAACTCTCAATAGCATCGGATTTCTCCGATATTAAATAGATTAGAACGGTTCAGCCATATTTTGATTTAATTTAAAGATAGGTTGCCAGGCAACGAAACTTACGCCCACAGCAGCTAAATCGTCCAAGCGGTCGATAAGGGTTGCCAGTTATGGCGTATTTATTCCTTTGTAGGTAACTGGGGGCCTTTACAAGACAGTTCTATACAGATCAGATTATAATTTTTCCCGTTTGAGGGTTCACAAGGTTCTACAAACTGAAACAAGGGTCTCAACTCTGGAAATTGTTGAAATTTGACAGGCTTTTTCGTTTTACTAATTTAAATAATGCATATAAATTTCATACAGATTAGATGATCACTTTTGTCACAAGGTTCATAACTCTAGAAATTATTGACGGAAATTGCTGAAATTCAATAGATCTCACAAATTTAAATGATGCATATAAACTGCATACATATCGGATGATAACTTTCATCAATCGAGCATTAACCAGGTGAAACAAGGGCCATAACTCTAGAAATAATAAACAGAAATTGGTGACATTCAATGGGATTCTTCTCTTTACTAATTTAAATAATGCATGCAAATTTCATACAGATGGGCAGATAACTTTTCATGTTAAAGCGTTCACAAGGTTCAGTAAGGCGAAACAAGGGCCATAACTCTAGAGGTAATAAATGGAAATTGCTGAAATTCGATAGGATTCTTCGTTTCACTAATTTAAATAATGCATATAAATTTCACAAAGATCGGAAGATAACTTTTGGCGTTAAAGCGTTCACAATGTTCAAAAAAGTGAAACAAGGGCCATAACTCTGGACGTAATGAACAGAAATTATTGAAAATAAATAGGCTTCTTCGTTTCACTAATTTAAATCATGCATATAAATTTCACAAAGATTGGGTGATTACTTTTGGCGTTAGAGCGTTCACAAGGTTCAATAAAGTGAAACGAGGGCCATAACTCTTGACGTAATAAACGGAAATTGCTGAAATTCAATAGGAGTCTTCGTTTCACTAATTTAAATAATGCATATAAATTCCAGAAAGATAAGATGATAACTTTTGGCGTTAGAGCGTTCACAAGGTTAAACAAAGTGAAACAAGGGCCATAGCTCTAGAAGTAATAAACGGAAATTGCTGAAATTCAATAGGATTCTTCGTTTCCCTAATTTAAATATTACATATAAATTTCACAAAGATCAGATGTTAACTTTTGGCATTACAGTGTTCACAAGGTTCAACAAAGTGAAACAAGGGCCATAACTCTAGACGTAATAAACGGAAATTATTGAAATTAAATAGGCTTCTTCATCTCACTAATGCAAACAACATATATCAATTTTAAAACAACTGGATGATAACTTTTGGCGTTAGAGCGTTCACAAGAAACTGTGGACAATTGACGGACGGACGGACGGACGGACGGGGGCGACGTCAATATGCGTCCACATTTCTATGTGGGCGTATAAAAATGGAGCAGCGAGACTTAGCTTCGAACAACCAGTACGGTGATTGAAATTATTGCACACGTCTCGTCAAACCTGCAAAGCCAAGTTGAAGAAGGTCCACAAACAAATTATGGACGGACAGATGCAACGACAGTATACGTTAACATTGAAATGTGGGGTATAAAAACTATAGCCGCTTTTGCGTTTCATGCCAATATCGAACCGAGATCTTTGGGAGATAAATCTATATTTCAAGTTTTGTCAAAATCGGATAACCAGCGGTTGCCACTCAAGATACGCCCACATTTTTCAAGAGATGGATAGAGAACAAGCTGAATATCAATAGTGTCCATCCATTCATGACCTCAATTCTTCCCCACAAATTAAAAAAAAAACCACTTGTTAAAAACTACAGCCTCTATCACCTTCACAATGTTTTCAGTAAAGGGGGATAACTCCGGAACGAAATGTTGCAGAATGCTAAAAATTAATAGGGTTCATCATCTTATGACCCCAATGATAACAACCAGATTTGAAAAACATCCCTAAAATCTAAAACCTCTAAAATGTTCAAAAGATTTTCGGCAAAGAGGCGGGAAACTCTGGAACGGATAGTCGAGGATCACTGAATATCCATAGGTTTGTCCACAATGCTTCAACCCAAATTTGAAAATCATCCATTAAAAATTAGAATCTATCGTGTTCACAAGATTTTCGGCAAAGTGAGGACAACTCTGGAACGGAAAGTCAATAACTGAATATCGATAGGGTTTGTCCTCTCTTGAAAAAGGTCGCAGAACACTGAGAATGAATAGGGTTAACCCGTTCATAACCCCAATGCTTCCCACCAAATTTGAAAAATATTTGTTAAAAATGAAGCCTATATCTCATTCACATGGTTTTTAATGGATTTATTTTAAATCTGGAGTGAAGCATTTTGGCCGAAGGAGTATGTTTACAGCCCCTTAGCAAACTCACACTTGAGATTGTTATACCATCTAGACAAACTTTTATTCCAAGTACCTATGGTAAACATAAAATATATTTTCATCATTGACTCAAATTTACTGATGTTTTGATGTTGATATTATTTCAGGAGTCTAAAACTTTGGTTATGCTGCGAACAACTTTCCCATACACGCCTTGGTTATATTCTAAACTTGTTAATCCCATTCAAGCTTAAAAATACTGATATTCCAGGGGAGGTCACTTTATTTTTGAATGCCAGAGGTTATTGATAATAAACAATTATATACAAAAAATATATTTATTTTTTAATCTATAAAATCAATCAAGTGTCCGGTGGATATATTTTAATCAAGCAGTCAATTTGAGCTGGATAATGGGTAATTGGACAACAACCATGTTTCTTTATGTAACTATGGATACATCGGAAACAAAACACATACCTGAAGACAGAAAGTTAATAAAAATAAAAATTCAACAACAAGAATTCCAAGAGCCTTAACTGTTATTTCACACAAATTACACTAAGAACATGAAACACTAGTTGGAATTGGTTAAGAAGAAGTAAAAAAAAAATGTCCAATATTTAACTGTTTCAATCAGGGATGAGGTGGGACCAACAAACAGATAAGGGGCCAACCTAAAAACAGGTGCTGCTCTTTAGGTTCCACCAAAACTGGCGAATCATCAAAAACGATGCCACTTGAGCGAGCCACCAAAATCGGTGCCGCACTTATACAATTACTGATTACGACTGCGGGCGACAGAACTCCGTCAACAAATGAACATGGCAACATATATTCCACTCTTTTCGTGTTTCTTTCTCTCTTACAGCTATATGAAACTTACATTTATCTACAATGATAAGGATATCTTACACCATATATGTCATTTCTGATTAATATAAAGCTGCCATTTCAAGTCCAAAGCGGTGTCGATTATAATTGATAAGCTCCATACCGGTGTTGATAAGCTACAGACTGTCGCTGCTGGTCTTGGACCTCGCACCAGCGCTGATAAGTCCAGACTTGGACCTCGGACCATAGCCGATAAACCACAGACCGGTGTGAACTCTCAACCCTATGTATTATCTTGACTAATTCATGGTCGAACATTTCAGTTTGATTGGGAAAAACATCTGGTATCTCGTATAAGACCCACATTGTCTCTGGTTGGAAATTGGTGAAAACCATTAAGTGTCTTCGCTTCATGAACATAAACACTTTGGAGAGGCGGTACAAAAAAATCATTCTGCTTTTCAGACAATCTTTGTGGGGGGTATTTTAGTGTTTTTATTGATTGGTAATTATCAGGAAATCAATAGGATTCTTCCTCAAATGAACATAAACAGTGCATAGAAATGTAAAATCAATCCATGGTAGCATTAGCTTCTAGAGGCCCACAAGCAAATATAAAAACAAAGATCCACACGGATGGGGGGTGACAACAATATAAACCACATTTCAAAGTGGGTATATAAAAATTACATGGAATTAATATGGAGTTAAACACAAAAATATCTAACACATATCATATATGAGCGATTTTAAACTTACCCAGAAACAGAAAGAGCAGTATCATTTTGTCTTGTTTGTTCACATATTGGACAGGAGTTGTACCAGTCCCTATTCACATTGTCTGGTGACTGCAAAATAAATAATTTTAAATTCATTCTTATTTTAAGGTGGCTCTTATGTCAGTCACAGATGTTTTTCATGTATTTTATATTATTAGGAATTTGTATTTAATGTTACTGTCTTTATGTTTTGTTCTGTCTATATTTTGGCATGCAGTAATCCTGGATTACAGGCATATACATTTGTGCAAATTCCAGAATAAACTGCCTATTACCAACAAAGTAATCACTGCTACAAACATAAAATAAGATCAAGTATATTTACACTAAAATGTTCTAAATTGATTATCTAACATTTAATTAAGAAAATGAAAACCTAATCAAAATATCAAATCAATCCGATTAAAAATTCCCCATCTGACAATAAACAGCTTTAAAATGTCAAATAACAGAAAATTTTGTTAGAGGATTGTTTGATAGTTCAGGGCAGGGAGAGGAGCCCAATCTAGAAATGGTACACTTCATAGGGGTGTAGACTAAAACTGCAACCTTAGACTAGTTAAAAATAAACAAACGTTAAAGAAGCAACATTGTTATTAATTTATAAAGATAGGTTGCCAGGCAAAGAAAGACACGCCTCATGACTTTAAACAAAGTATATAAATTTAAAGTCAATCCGATATTAACTTTAGCCTCTAGAGCACCCACAAAATATTTCAAAGTGATCAAGGGTCATAACTCTGGCAGTAATTATTGGAAATCCATGAAAATCAATATACATACTTCTTTGTCTTATGACGTTAAAAACTGTGTATAAATATAATTTAAATCGGATATTATCTATAGCCTCTAGATCCACAAGATTGTTTAAAGAGATCCAGGGCCATAACTCTGGCAGTAATTCTCAGAAAATGTTGAAAATGAATAGGATTCTTCATCTCATGACCTTAAACACTGTGTATAAATTGTCAGTCAATAAGGGGACAACGACAATATACTACATTTCAATGTGGGCATATAAAAATCCAACCACCTCCTATTTTTGTACAAGAGTTAAAACATGCTATATTATGGTTGGTCATCTGAAAACTTATTGCACCTTACAAAACCTGAAGTACAACGTTTGAAAACTCTAATCTTGAAGCCTGTTGTGGCCATGTCTCGATTTCTCACAAATTGAATCAATGAGTTGCGAGCGAGAAGTCGTGGTTCGAGAAGGCAAGGATTTTCAAACACAATAAGTAAGAAGGATGAAGAAGCAAGAAGTTAAGATTGCAAGAAGGCTGTAATAGGTTTCCAGAGCTTAAAATATTAGAATTTCTAAATTAATATGCATATTCAACAATTACTATGATTAAAAGCTGATTTACGAAGACCAATTGTTCTGGCTTTAACATACCTGTTCCTTTGGTGGTTCTGGTATAGGTAGAGCTGTTAAAGACACTGCTTTCTCTTCTCTCTGATACCACCACTCTAAAAATTGGAGAAAGAACACACCAACAGACAAGCCTGTCGACATGGTAACAGCCAACATGTCCACTGTTTTATACAATATAAAATATATCTTCTGCTGAACACTATGAAACAAAAAGCAAATTTATGAAATCAATGTTTGCAGCATAAAAACATGATCTTAGATAAAACTTACACAGACGCCCTCACTTGATGGGACCTGTGGTAGCTCAGTGAGAAAGACATTGGCTCGCTAGCCTTGAGGTCCCGTGTTCGCTCCCGGAGTTGGCTGAGAAAGTTCATCAGGATTTTCCAGGCTGGCATTTGGATGAGATGAAAAGCTGAGATCCTGTGTACACATTGGCATGCACGTAAAACAACCATAACAAAAGGTACCCATTGTTAAATAGAGATTAACTATAATCATATATTCTTTATCAGCTATCAGACCTACCTCTGTCTTTCATGACTATACACATAAAACTATAATGATGAGAGGCATCCTCTCACAGCATGTACGTTATACAAATCTAATTAATATTCATGGGTCTGACACCCTTGGGTAGGACAAATGAATCATTGTATTCCTGAAGCAACAGTTAACATTTCTTTGGGAATCTGATGAATGCTAACATCCCACCGTTGAATTACAAGACTTAAAAATTCATTAACTAGCAAAAGCTATTACTAAATATTTCAGGTTTACAGGTAAAAGGGTTTGTCATTTGTGGATCAGCCATTGATAGATACTTCTGCATTAATTATAGGATATGTTTTTCTTTGTTCATTGCAAATGGTGCCCTAAAGCATAGAATACATCACTTGTGTACTGATTTTAAAATGTTTATTGTGTTTTAAAACTCTCACCTTCTAGACTGCCATGACATGATGTCTTTCTGTATCCTGGTTTCTTCGTCTTCAGTTTTTCTCCGTAATTCTGTACCTGAGAAGCGGAGTAACCAGGAGTGCCAGTCTGATTTACCAAACATATAGGCTAATTGAAACCACAGATTAGATCCCTCCCACAACATATGGATATATGGATACACAGCCAAGAATGCTTTATTTAGACGACTCTTATAGTCCTATAAGACAAAATTATTACTTCATAAAAGATAGGTTGCCAGGCAACAAAACATACGCCCACAGCAGCTAAATCGTCTGAGCGGTCGACAAGCGTTGTCGCATATATATTCCTTTGTAGGTAATTGGGGGCCTTTACAAGGCAGTTCCATACAGATCAGATTATAATTTTTGCCGTTTGAGGGTTCACAAGGTTCTACAAACTGAAACAAGGGTCTCAACTCTGGAAGTAATCTACAGAAATTGTTTAAATTTGACAGGCTTTTTCATTTTATTAATTTAAATAATGCATATAAATTTCATACTGATCAGATGTTCACTTTTGTCATTCAAACGTTCAAAAGGTTCACAACCGCCATAATTATTGACGGAAATTGCTGAAATTCAATAGACCTCTGTTTCACAAATTTTAATGATGCATATAAATTTAATACATATCGGATGATAACTTTCATCAATCGAGCATTAACAAGGTTGAACAAAGTGAAACAAGGGCCATAACTCTAGAAGTAATAAATGGAAATTGCTGAAATTCAATTGGATTCTTCTCTTTACTAATTTAAATGACGCATGCAAATTTCATATAGATCGGCAGATAACTTTGGATGTAAGAGCATTCACAAGGTTCAATAAAGTGAAACAAGGACCATAACTAATTTAAATAATGCATATAAATTTCAGAGAGATCGGATGATAACTTTTGATGTTAGAGCGTTCACAAGAAAATGTGGGCGTATAAAAAGTATGGTCAATTCAGCTTAACATCTCATCCTTAGTTTCAATTAAAGAAGTGATGAGTCCATGCAAGCCCGAAAATTTTGTCATTATTAATCAGCCTCAAATGTTAAACATACATTTTTTAGAACTTCTAATAATTCAAACTTAGTTACACATAATCCTCTCAAATACTATATCTTGTTTATCTGTTGAGTTTTCAAACACAATAAGATAGAATAAGCTGTAAATGGCTACATTTATTGTATATCTTACTTGAATTAATGACTGAACATGATATTTTATATATCAATTAATACCAATAATACTGCTTTAACTGTACAGCAATGAGGCTTTCCAGAGCAATAAATGTAAATTAGAACTCATTCCAACACCATGTATATTTTATTTTATTTTACCAGTAGTGCAGACAATTCGATTCATGGAGATAATTTTTAGAACCAGTATACAATTCATATAATATTATTTACCTTTTGTGATGAAATAAAATGGGATCTATGTCTCATGTCTTCAAAATACTTATCAAGTTTTTGTTTAAGGTAAGGAAGGACCACCTGGAAATGAAAATAGAATATTTTAGTTCTTTAATAACCAGACTTTCTGATCTATAATCTACAATTAAAATCCTGATTACCATCAGACCATGCAGGAATCACTGGGATTAACATCTGATGCTTGTCAATTTTTTTTCTCGTTTTATAGTCCATATTTTGTATTTTATCTGACTCAATTTTATCACTACAGGTATGTCGTGTTATCGGTAGAATTCTATAAACAGCCACTGAAAATGCAACTGCTCAATTCACGCCTTAGGCAATGTCCATTGATCTATGTACAAACTTATTCAAGTTGTGTGCAGTCAACATCAGCCGTCCAATCCAAACAGAAGTCGTTAATATTAGATCTTATATGCAGATATGATTTACAAATGAAGAAACCTACACAAGAAATCTCAAATGTCACAAAGTTCACAATTCCTTTTCTGTACATTACCATATCCCTAACTTTACAGGCAAATCATTTTGAAGTGGAAGCTGTGGGTGAATGTTCTTGTCCTTTATATTACTTCACATTCAATTAAAGGACAATATTGGTGCCAGTCATTATCACATATGTGATAGAGCTGGTTAAACACATTCCAAATATAATTTTAACACAGAGATCATTGCTACGATAGCTGAGTAATACAGGTTTCCTGAATTGGAAGTGACGAACGCCAAAGGAAAACACGAGTCATCTCTCTATATAACTGACTCATGTGACGAGTGATAACGGATATACGAGCGAATTTCTGCTCACTAATGATCTCTGTGTTAAAACTATATTTGGAATGTGTTTAACCAGCTCTATCACATATGTGATAATGACTGGCACCAATATTGTCCTTTAAGACTTAAACCAATCTTACCAAACATATTAGTGATTTCCATCTTAATCCATTTGATAAAACTGGAGATTTTGTTTTAGACACAATTCTTCTAAGATCATAAAAATTCTCTGCAAATGAACCACCTGAATAAAATATCAAACAAATGAAACAATACCACTCCTTGAAGTAACACTTCGGCCTAAACTTGTCATAATGTCCCATAGTTACAGAACATGTGGAAGATGTCCTCACAATCAGAGCTCTGTATCTAAACTTGTTTGAAAAAGTGAGTGCTTGCACTGCTTATTACTGAACAAACAAATCCGAAAATACTTTACAAGTTTATTTTAATGTCAAGTTCATGGTTTATTTAAGAGTAATGTTTTTAATTTCCGCTTGTCAATGGGGGCAGGATGGATTGTCTGAAAAGGAAAAGGAATCATTAATGTGCTGCCAATGGTATACACAGGATCTTGATTTTTCGTCCCATAAGAATGACTAAAGAGTGCTTAGGATGAAACGAAAAACCGAGATCCTTTGTATACATTAAAGATTCTCTGCCATAGCACACTGTATGGTGTATAAAAAGTAAGACATTCAATTTCATTATAGAAGTCAGCTAACCTAATTTAATTTATTTATGGTATTACAAGGTGGTTAGAACAAATCTAAAAGTAAGTGACAAGTGGTTGTTTATTATTAAGACAGAAATGAAATGAAATGGGGTTTAACGCCCTACTGTTCTGCTCCGAACTGGGCTAATGAAGATGGATATACACCATACAGTGTGCTATGAGGGAAATTTATATCAAATTCCAACTGTCAAGGGATCTTTTACGTACACGCCAATTTGTACATGGGACCTCGGTTTTCCATCCCATCCAAACGACTAGACAGCTGTCCTTGTCAGGCCCTCCTTCCTGCATCACTGACAAGGGGGAAATCATGCGGGAAAATCTGGATGAACTTTCTCGGCCAATGCAGGGATCGAACATCTGACCTCCAGGCTAGCGAGCTAGCATCTCACCCACTAAGCCACCGTGATCCCCTTATTAAGACAAAGCATCTATTACATTTAATACAGTAATATGATATTTTTGCCACAAATGCTAGCAGAGTAAGTACTTACAATATCTCTGTAAATAATAGTTCTGAACAAGTAGTTCTAACACAGTGTAAACTTCATCAAAAAACTGTAACATCCATCCAAATCTATCTGGTCGACTTTCTGCAAGGACCTATAATGAAACCAATTCTATCATAATGAGGTAACCTTAAATTCTTATCAAATAGTGCAACATAACTGCCAAACTGGCCAGCAAAATGTATAACATCACATGAACACAGCAACAGGCAATCCTATATCAACTCCTTTCACGCGGATGTAAAAAAGAGACTACATAAAAAAGATGGAACAATTTTAAGGCCAAAAATCTGATGCGAGAATGAGGTTTTTTAATTCTTGTGTTTTTATTTTGTCAAAGAATCATTACTGGGCTAATCAACTTCTCATAAACATCACTTTTCAAGGCAATACAATTATCTCATCATATTGTTGTATCACAATTTTAAGATTGTCGGTAACATTTATCAAGGTGCCTGCTTGATAAATGAGCCTACAGTACATTTTTATGGTTACTTCTTGTGCCCGGGTAAAATATTTATGTGTGGTAATTAAATAGACTGTTTTTACTTTTTATTTACTGAAATAAAATAGGATTATCTGAGAACCACATTATTTTTTCATATGGCCCAAAGTGCAGAAATTTTTAAAATAACATTTCGAAAACTGTCAGAATGTGAACCTGTCACAGGACAGATGAGAATGTGGTGGCGAAAAGTGATAATACATGTTTTGAAAAGAGTTAAGCAAACCATGTCTCAAGCATAAAACCTGTCACAAGATGTAGCCCTCGTTCAACAACATTTGTCAACAGTGTACTTTGACTTTAAAAAAAAGTTTATCACCCAATAATACATTCTACAGTAGATATCGCTCGTGTGACAACTTTCATAATCTACTGCGGTCAGTTAAAAAGGAACTACTTTTTTTTATTTTCAAAGAACAGTTCATTTTTTTTATTAAAAGTAACTTCTTTTTTTTAATTAAAAATAAACAATTTTTATTTAATTGACCTTGATGGAATGTAATCAGGTTCAGTAACAGTGAAATCTATAGCAAAGAATTATATTTATTTATTTGTGCATGTAAGAAAGGATTGTGTGATAAATAAAATCTCCTACGAGTCTTTTTTGATATCAAAAAAGACTCGTAGGAGATTGTCTATATAACCAGATGACATAATATTCAGAATTATTACAATGTTTAGCCAGGTGGGCTCAGGGTTCTAGTAAGATGTAGTAACTAGGTCTACATAAATAATAAGATTACAAAAAACTTTACCTTTACTGCATGTTTAGCAGCTGGTCTTATAGTTGTACTCAAACTTTCCTGTGCTAAAACCTCAAAAACTGTTGGTCTGTCAGCACTGAGGTTAACAGATGTTATGTGGGCACCATGTTGAGCCATGATTCAATCTGAAAATATGACAGAAATTATTATTATTTAACGTATCTACGTTTGGCCTAGTTTACATGCCTAATCAGTCTGTTTTAAATGCACAAAATATACATGAAGGTCTTCGGAGGCCAAATTGTAAAACCACAATCAAAGGTCTGTCATTTTGTTATTAGGTTTACGATTATTGCAGTAAGACTATATTGTTTTCTAGATTCCTACCAATATGCTCAAGATCCCTTTGAATTAATGATATAAAGATATTCAAACTATGACGGTAGTGTTGCTAAAACGGTGTCAATCTCAAAACTGATCCAAATATAACAAATATATATCAATATAACAGTGCATTTATTTGACTATAAATGAACATAAATTGGATAAAACATAGTTAAAAGCTTGTATTTTGTTTACTAGCATAACATTATAGAGAATTTTCATTCTCATTTAAATTCGTAAATTTGTCTCACGTCTTACAGGATGCTAAATGTCTGGAAAGGAAATAAACCGCAACTCCAGGCATTGAATCCATTCCATACACCCCTACTGAATAAACCAAAGGGAATTCACCACAACCAAAGCCAAGTCAGTAGGAAGCATAACTTTATATTTAAACATGTGTGACACACTGACATGTACAGGAAAGAACATCTAGGCATCCTTAGAACAATCAAACATGCTATGTCAATTGCATATACCAGTAATGGAAAAAAAAAAATAAATGCATAATCAAATTGTGACCAAAGATCTGTTTTTGTTTGCTTGTTACTATACCAATCAGGACCTTATCAGGCTGCCAATTATCACAATTTAAATAGCCCCCGAATTAAGAAAAGGCCAGGAAAAGGGTCATTATGCATTAGGTTATAGGTATGGACCGGGGTGGTGTGGTCGGTCTAGGCTACTCAATTTTACCTGGAATCTGCTTTTACACCCCTTTACTTTAAACTTTAGGCTTCTCTAGTTTCGGCCACAGTCACTTGACGGGGGTAATGTAAGAAGTTTTGGAAGTAGGCCTTATTTATACCTTGCCAGTTTTAATTAAAATTATTAATTAACATGACTTGTGTAAAAAGAAAACGAAAGTACATGTAAGTAGATCAATTATTTTTAAGATATCACCATAACCATACCGTTATTTTTGTCATAAAACCTTTTACAGTGGTTTCTGAGCACAACTTGAACTTGAATTAAATATAAATGCAATGTACTTCATTTATATGGTGAAAAATTAAAGGAAACTTCATAAAACCTGACTGCAAGCACCAAAACCAATTCTAGCTCTGGGGTCAAAGTTCGACAAATTTAATGTCAAGGTCATCAGGTTTGCAGCCATTGACGAAGACAATTCTACCGGTAAGACTCTCAATCACATCAATCCTTCTCTAATAGACAATGAAAAAGGTTAATTTTTACAATAGTGGAAATTAAATTGATTTCAAATTTGATACTTTATGTATATTTTATTAATAGATTTTGTCTGTAGTCAGAAATCGCCTTCAAATGTCACTTGACCAACTAGTTCCTGTCACAATACTTACTTCCGGTAATCACATCATAATAAATATTTCTAAATATTGTCAGATTTTAGGTAATTCAACCGATATTACTTTGTAATATTAAATAGGAAGGAGGGGGTTGTATTGTATGTTGTTTCTTTTCTTTCTTTTCTTTGTTTTTGTTAGCCTGATGTCTTAATTTTACAAAGAATTGCTTATTCTGTGTTTTTTCTGATATGCCACACCCCCCAATCAACATACTGATGATAGTGATGGTAATACTTAAAATTTGAATGCGCCCTTAATATTATCAGGCCTACTAATTAAGTATAATATATTTGTTGCTTGTGCTGTATGTCTTGTCCTAGTTATCTAGTTATACCTCGATCAGAACTATGAATGATCGTAACACTGGTGTCATCGAAGTTGAAATTTGAAAACTAAAGTGAACAGCAATGTCATTTCCAACAACATGAACAAGTCTACGACCAGGACCCAAAGTCCAAAAAGTGCAGATCTGTTAGCATTATGTAATATGTAAAATTAGCAGTTTAAATTTCATAGTACGGTATATTGAGCGTACATGTATTACAGTATGGTAGTATCATAGTATGGTGTTAAAAAATTGACACCTGGCGTCCATCATCATAATCACTATTACTCAGGTAGTTCCTAAAGTAACTATTAATCAAAAGGAGTCAACAAAGTGGAGGAATTGTTAACATTCCCAGGATCGACATATGGTATTGTGTACCGTAGTTAAATATAATATTAGCCTTAATTTTATTTACAAGCACAACTTGGTTTATAAGTTGCTTAAAGTTAAATATGTGTCTTTTAAAACAATTAAAGTATCATCACATTTTGGGACTAACATAATATGGTTCAACTGTTTCAATAATTTGTTTGCGCATATAAGGGTCTTTAGCAGTGGATTGGGGGACTCGGAAGAAACCCACAAGGTTGCACTGACCGCCCTTCTCCTTATCATGTACCATTTTGACCATTCGACCATCTTACCCCCCATCATATAAATACTGAATAGTGAGTCAAACTGTGACACAGATATTTATATAGTATGGTACCTGACTGAATTCTCCTTGGGCTTATGTAGACTCAATTAATTACAGTATGAAATCTGTTATGATCAATGATCAATATTTTTTCAGGTAGGCTTGATTTCTACCCAAGCAAATAAAGATGACAGACTCAAAATACTTCACAACCACCAAAAAGGGTAGGCTTTTTTGTAGAATTATTGTGATTACAATTGGTGATAATGGAGTTTTTCTTTCAATAATTACCTCCCGGTTAATTTATGCCAGTGGTGTTCTGATCTGCAATGATTTTTTATACACAGTTACTGGTCTGAAGGGCATGTGTTCCATTCATTGCCTAACAATTTACATTTGCATTTAGTTTAGATTTAGAAACTAATTACTGAACCATCATAAATTTGTTTGTAGTACGGTATCGTATAAGATTTGATTTATGGTCCATTTGATGAAGTTAATATTTATCCTAGGCTACAATGTAGCTTATATTATTTGATTATTATTCGCCAATATTCGGTAGAATTACCTGTTGTATCTATATTTTAGGTGAAATATTTGAATTAAAAGCTGAGTTAAACAGTGATAAGAAAGAGAAGAAGAAAGAAGCTGTAAAGAAGGTGATAGCTTCTATGACAGTTGGTAAAGATGTCAGGTAGGTTTTCTTACTCTTTGATTAATGTGGCGATAACAAATTAGTACTAATGAAACATCATTGTCAGCCACAATTGCAATTCAATGAAGAGTAAGCGGAAACATTGCTGTCTGAGCAAAATTGTCCCCATAGCCCACCATATGACATCTGCCTATCTTCATTAGCCTTTTTGGTCTCAGAAAAGTAGGACGTTAAACTTCTTTGATTTCATTTATATAAGATCATTAGAATGCAAAATTTACCTTTTTTCCTAACTTAATTTACTGTATCCAGATCACAACATAAACAGCTACTACAGGATTCAAGCTACAGGTACACTGAATTTTTCAGATGAATTATAGGTGTTAAAACCTACATGTAGGTTTTTTGTGACTATTGGGTAGTCTACAGTAATTTTATTTAAAAGATGAAAGGAACCATGTTTACAAGAATGATATTCTTATTATTTTTATTTAATTATTTATTTTCAGTGCTCTGTTTCCTGATGTTGTCAACTGTATGCAAACTGATAATTTGGAACTAAAGAAGTTGGTTTATCTTTATCTTATGAATTATGCTAAAAGTCAACCTGATATGGCTATCATGGCTGTAAATACATTTGTCAAGGTAAACCTTTGTATTCGTATTCCATAAAACTTGTAGATATATTCATTTTTGTTTTAAGGTATCGTAGATAAAAGATTTAGTCAGTTATGTATTGTTTGGAACTTTAACGTTATTAATATACTCACCTTTCAATGACTGTTCAACACTAGAAAATGGTAATGTCTTTCTATTCGGCAGGACTGCCATTTCAGTCATTGTTGACTGACTGGTCAATTTTTGTACCATTAAATTGGAATTTCAAAGAGTTTAAATTTAAAGCACATAAATTACAGTTAAATTGACACTTGTCATTTCTAAGTGTAAAAAATTGGGACAACGCTAAAAATTGTCATTCTTTGCAAAAAAGTATTTTGTTACTCTGAGGTAAAGGAATTACATCTGAAAGTTGACTTGTTGGCAAAACTTTGAAGTGTAGGCTCTGGTTCAGGGTGATAGAAGTTTGGTACTGTGTATTAAAGATGTTCTTAAAAACAACTTTTCTTCAGGATTGTGAAGATGCCAATCCGTTAATTCGAGCTTTAGCTGTTAGAACTATGGGTTGTATCAGAGTTGATAAAATTACAGAATATTTATGTGAACCTCTACGTAAATGTTTGAAAGATGAAGATCCATATGTACGTAAAACAGCAGCTGTTTGTGTAGCCAAGTTGCACGATATTAACTCGCAATTAGTAGAGGATCAAGGTTTCTTAGACGCCTTAAGAGATTTACTCTCAGATTCTAATCCTATGGTAAGTGCTAAATGTTTCCTTTAGGCCGGGTAGTTGAGCAGTAAGGCACTGATGACTTCACAATTAGAATATCTTGGGTTTGAATCAGAGCAAGGGCTGTTAAGAATTTTGGAGATTTTTCAAGGGTGGTTCCAATTCGTCAGGGGTGCTGACTATTCCTATTGGTGTGCACGTAAAAATTTCCCAACTCGCATTGGACATGTAGTCATAAAAATGACATTTATCATGTGTTATTCTTAAAATAGCTAAAGATGGGTTCCCAGAAAAGTATTTATCGGGTGGTTATTTCCAATAAAAGTATGGTGATTTTGGTATATATGGAAAGTAGAGATATCCAATCTTACTAAAAAAATACTGGATTCCCCGAAAAACACTCATGGAGCGTATATAGGACAAAAATGTAGGGGTTCCCCAAATCAACAGCCTGACGATTAGGAATTTCTGCACGCGTGATATCAAAGGTCACACGCGAACATTGAGCGATTGATGTACAAGTTGATAAACTTTATGAAGAGTTAGACATACAACACTTTCTGAGATAAAAATGACGGAAAAAGACGCGGGTAGTTGATAATCCGAGCATTTAATTAAGATTTGATATTTGTGATAAATAGTAAGCGATTAAAGACAACATCGTCTTATGTATGCAATGAATTCTCCTCTGACTTCCAAGAGGGTTAAGTCACGTGACGTAAACATGACCTGGTTTGATCGAATTTTTATAGCGGGAAATTCCTTCGCAATTACAATGTTTGAGAAGGATATGAAGCAAAATTATGACACATTACTTATGTTTTTAGTCCATATATACCATTAAATCACCCAGTTTGTATGCGGGAACCCATCTTTAAAGTGTTGTGTTGATGAAAATGTTAAATTCCATTCCATCCAGTTACAAAAAAGGGCAACAAATTGCTCACATGTGATTTCAGTATCTTAGAGCTGTTTGTGTCATCTGTGTCAAATTGACCAATTTTAAACCTTTTTCAAATTTGGTACAGTATAATGATTAAAGAGACACTGAAATGTAATTAAATATACAGTATATTATGGCCACTATGCTTCACACCAAATTTGAAAAGAATCTTTTAAAAAAATAGCCTCTAGTGACTATTGCTCTCACAAGATTTTCGTCAAAGGGGTGGGGGGGGTAACTCTTGAACAGATCTGATTATGTCAGATATATTGAACTTATCTAATTATCAAAGATCTAATTACTGACTTAGTTAAAGTAAGGGATCTTAAACAAAGGATCATCATAACTCCTTTAATTGAAATTTTATGTACAATCTAACTGTTTAAAACTTTGTGAGGTTTTGATAAAGTTTTGAGTTTTAATGAATGTTGAAGTAGTGATTGTATTATTAATTGTATATATTATAGGTTGTGGCTAATGCTGTAGCAGCTATATCTGAGATATTAGATACATCTCCCACAGCTCAACAAGTTCTAGAGATGAATTCAATTACCATCAATAAACTATTGACAGCCTTGAATGAATGTACTGAGTAAGTATTTAAACACATATAACCATTTCTAATTTATTATGGAAAATTTCTAACAACATGAATAATATTGAATAACATACAGTAGAAAAACTCCTAAAAACTGTATGGGTTAATAGAGAGATGATATCTGCTAAAGACTGCTTTCTTGAAGATCAATCTTATGAAGGTTAATGGAGACCGAAACATCACGATTGATTATAAACACCACTAATTAACAAAGCAACAGTTTTTCTTGAGTTCAAGGGATCACTAACTTAAACGTTTTACAATTAATTATAAACACCACTTATTAACACACTTACTGTTTTTCTTGAGTTTGGTGATCCGTCATAATATACTTTTAGACATTGTTATATTCAAACAGTTGAGAATTTGTCTTGTATTGATTGAAACATGGTTAACATGGAATGATTTAGCAACTAAGATTGTTGTTTTGCACTGAAAACTACTGATGGTTCTAGAAATGTTGTAAATTAATGTATAATTTTAGATAGTTAAAATAAAATCAGAGGGTTTGTTTATAGGATCTGTTCAGATATTATGTTTAGTAATTTAATTGTTAAATGATTTTTTACAGATGGGGTCAAGTGTTTATTCTGGATTCCATATCTAACTATACACCTAAAGATGATAAAGAGGCTCAGAGGTAAGTCAGATTCACCTTTCACAATGTTGTAGGTTTCAAAAGATTCAAAAGAAAATTAGGGGTTTTTAAAAACATGTTTTTAAAACGATCAAACTATTTCATATTATAATTAGACACTTTTCAATTTTTTTTACAGTATCAGTGAAAGAGTAACACCTAGATTAGCTCATGCTAATGCTGCTGTAGTACTTTCAGCTATTAAGGTGAGTCAGATTTATATAACTGAAGAACTGTCATCATTTGTTCAAAGGTCATCCTTATCTGCGAAGAGTCTGTCATAATCATATGGTGTCCCGAGAAGAAAGTTCTGGGTTTTGTGCCATGAGGGAAAGTATGTCTGTCCTTTCATACGGAACGAATACCTGGAGTTACGTGTATCAGTTGGTAGTTCAGATGAAAGATATCATGGCATTTGGAATTAGGAAGGGTAGATGTCACGAAATTTAATTTACTAAATGGTCACCATAATTATCACTCAGGTTCAGAATTATTTCGATTAATTTAAAAAAAACAAAACATTTACTCTAATGAACTATGAACATACCTGTGAATACAAGACACCTGTTACAGACATTGTCAGACAGAACAGCACAGATTGTCTTTTTTCTTGTTTTTTTTTTATATTGTTAATACATGTCTGACCCAAAGTTCAAAATGTCAGATACAAGTTCACTAGTGGGGGGAACTGCATGCACTTTAGATAATAAGGTCTGTCATTGAGTCAAGTGGTGTGCTTTTGATTCCTTGCTTGTATGTGACAAGAAATAGGGTCATCTGTCCAGCCTTGTGGGTTTTCCCCTGATCCTCTTGTTTCCTCCCACTGCTAAAGATCCCTATGCGCAAGCGAATTATTGAAATAAAATTGAATCCTCTGTTCGTCCTGAAATGACATAGTTGGTGTCAAGTTGACGTTAAACTCCATTTCTCTCTCTCCAGGCTTGTCTTTGAAGATACAATCCTGTAATTTTAAATTTTAACGGCAAAAGTATATATATTTAAAAATGATTGAAATATTTGGCAGGTTGTAATGAAATATATGGAAATGCTGGATCCTACAAGTGAATATGTTACAATGTTAGTCAAGAAATTAGCTCCACCATTGGTCACACTGCTTTCTGCAGAACCAGAGATTCAATATGTCGCTTTAAGAAATATCAACTTAATCGTCCAGAAGAGGTAAGCTAAAAAATGATTATAAATACTACAAGATGAAAGGGTATTTCTGTTGTCCAATCTTGATTAAAATTGGAAGTCTGACACACTTGGATGATAATTAATGAGGAATAACTAGAACATAAAATACTGTATTAGACAAGAACCCTAACTCTATTTTGAAAGTTTATGCCCTTGTAATGGTCACATCGAACGCTGGTTTTACATTTAGGAATATTCAATCCCAATTCTAATGATTTGTTTTTGATACATTTTCAGATTCCTAGAAATTGTGAACATTTCAAATCAATATATTTTTCTGTTGTTTTTTTTAAATATTGGTTGATTATAATATTTGTGTGAGCTGTATTTGATCCAGTCAATAAAGATTGAGAATTATTTGAAAGACAGTTTTAATAAAGTATATTTAAAAAATAAGTATAGGTTCGGGTTCCCATAGCTAAAAGCTTGGTTTACTTTGACAGTTAAGATTGTCCGTGCTATATTCATGTACTGTTTCTTTTGTGTTTTGTTTAGCAGTTAAGTAGTCCTGTTTATTTCCTATCAAATTAAGAAGTGAAATTAATATATTATTGATGTAAAAGTTACATGTATTACATTTTTTTTATTTGTAGATCTGATATATTAAAGAATGAAATGAAAGTATTTTTTGTGAAGTATAATGATCCAATCTATGTTAAATTAGAGAAACTAGATATTATGATTAGATTAACAAATCAGTCTAATATAGCACAAGTACTAGCTGAACTTAAGGAGTAAGTATTAATAAATAGATAATGTTAGAAAAAAAACTTTGTTGGTATATTTTGATATTTGGAGAGTTTATGAAAACACATTAATAGATTAAAAACATGAGTTAAATTTATTACTTCAATTATATTGGCACTCCAACCAATTGCTATAGAATAATTTTATCTATATGAAGAATAATTTTATCCATATGAAGAATAATTTTATCTGTATGAAGAATAATTATATTAAAGGATAATTTTATCTAAATGAAGAATAATACTTAAATGAAGAATAATTTTATCTATATGAAGAATAATTATGTTTAAATGAAGAATAATTATATCTAAACAAAGGATAATAATTGTATTTAAATGATAGATAATTTTATGGACATGAAGAATAATGTTGTCTACATGAAGAAGAATTTTATCTAAATGAAGGATAATTTTACTAAGTGCTGAATGATATTGTCTTGATAAAGGATAGAATACCTTAATTCAAGGATAAACTCTATAATCAATCAGCTCCATATATAGTAATAGTATGATGTTTATTATGTGATATTTATTTTAGATACGCTACAGAAGTAGATGTAGATTTTGTAAGGAAATCTGTGAGAGCTATCGGACGTTGTGCTATAAAAGTTGAACAAGCAGCTGAGAGATGTGTTAGTACATTGTTAGATTTGATACAGACAAAGGTTAATTATGTTGTACAAGAAGCTATTGTTGTTATTAAGGTAAGATAAATTCTCAATATTTTTTCTTCAATCTAACAATCATTAGTGTAAAATTTGATTTGAACAAAAGAATAATTTCCAACTCGTACAGTCGTTACAGAACTTGTATTAGACCCTCAAACTAGAGTCATATTTCATGAAAGTCATAGTTGATTCAAAATTTGGTAAATAAGTCCAGTTAAATTTGTTAATTCCAATAATTTGTTAATTTCAATAAAATTTGTTAATTTCAATAAAATTTGTTAATTTGTTAATTTCAATAAAATTTGTTAATTTCAATAAAATTTGTTAATTTCAATAAAATTTGTTAATTTCAATTTCAATAAAATTTGTTAAATCCAATGAAATTTGGTAAATCCAATAAAATTTGGGAAAACAATCAAATAAATTTTGGAAAGAAATCAAAGAATATTTGAATCACTTATCATTAACATCATCCCTGGTTTGTGACAATATTGAAGATTTGTGTTTTATATTTCAGGACATTTTCCGTAAATATCCCAATAAATACGAAAGTATTATTGCAACATTGTGTGAAAATTTGGATACATTAGATGAACCAGAAGCCAGGTAAATATGTTCAAATAACATTAGGGGGCCATGGTAGCTCAGTGTGTAAGACCTTGGCTCACTAACCTGGAGGTCCAGTGGCCGATCATCGTTTAGCCAAGAAAAATCATCTGGATTTTCCAGTGTGGTTTCCTTTTTCAGTGGTGTAGATAGGATGAAAAACAAGGTACCCTGTACACATTTGTGTGCATTTAAAAGAACACTTAATAGAATTCAATATAGGCTGTAGCGCTGCTATCCATGTAAAATTTCCCTCATAACACACTGAATGGTGTTTGCCCATCTTCATTATAGCCCAGTCGGAGCAGAAGTTGGATTTTAAACCCCCTTTTTCATTTTATGCATGTTAAGGTTATTGTTAATTTGGATATTGGGTAACTTATGAGATATATTATGTGTTTCTAGAGCATCTATGATCTGGATTATTGGGGAATATGCAGAACGTATTGATAATGCTGATGAATTGCTAGAAAGTTTCTTAGAGGGATTCCAGGATGAAAATGCTCAGGTATTAATTAAACATGATTTTATCACTGACCTTATAGATTTTAACTTAGCCATTAAAGTTTGTGAAAAAAAATTTCTGCATGAGATTATTGCCTTTGAATTTATCACTGTAAAGTAAGAATTAGAAGCATTATGAAAACATTTTGAATGGCTTACAGTCGGCTAAAATGCATCTTCTTTTACAACTCTAGGATTCATATGGCCACATTTCATGTAGGGGTATATTGAGTATTTACTTAAATAAATTGATATTAACTTGGAATACATTTGTTGATGTTATTTATATTAGGTACAGCTACAGTTATTAACAGCTATAGTAAAACTATTTCTCAAGAGACCTACAAATACTCAAGAATTGGTACAACAAGTTCTTAGTTTATCAACACAGGTAACATATAGGTTTCTATATGATATTTATGATAAAATTAATTTGAATCAAAGCTTTATATTAAACTATTAGAGCCGCATTGGTTCAGTAAGTATTAGCCTGGGTTCAATCCCAGTGTTGACTGAGAAAATTCCTCAGGATTTGCCAGTCAGATTTCGCCTTGTCATTGTTGCAGGACTGAGGGTCTGGCAGGAAACACATCTCTAGATTGGAAGGAAAAAAACAATCCACTGGTTTGCAAATAAAAAAATATTGCAATTCTGTTTCTCTTCTTTCTTTGACAAATCAAGTGATGCTTATTGCTCATATGGTCTCATGTTACTTGTGATCTTAATATGACACAATAACCGAAGTATAATGTCCCTGTGAAACCAGTTCTTCTTGATCGCATTTTTTATATTTGTAGTCATGCCATCACATAAGATGTTTTATGCTGTTTTTAACAATAGTTTGTTGTTAGCTGATTAATAATGAATCTGTATTTTAATAGGACAGTGATAATCCTGACTTACGTGATAGAGGTTATATTTACTGGCGTCTGCTCTCAACGGATCCAGCTGCCGCCAAAGATGTGGTACTGGCAGAAAAACCATTGATATCAGAAGAAACAGATTTAATTGAACCAACTCTATTAGATGAATTAATTTGTCATATATCTAGTTTGGCGTCTGTTTATCACAGACCACCAAATAACTTTGTGGAAGGCCGCGCCAGTTTGCGAAGATCTCTTCCACCAAGATCAGCCTCGTAAGATTTCAATTTAAAGAATTAATACAATTATTAGATCATTAAATCTCCCAACACTACATTGTAATGCCATCTCCCCTCCAAGAGGATCTGATAAATAAGTTAAGTGAACTGTGTTCTAGCCACTTTCAGAGTCATGCGAGAAAGTTAAAGTATGTTCCTGATATAATCTATTGTTATTAGATAGGGCTTACAGTGAAAAATTATATTGGGATAAATTGTGATATTAAGTGAGATATCACAATGCATATCACTTCAATTATAGTTGTAGATTAATAATCTAATTTTGTTGAGATAAATCTTGGTTGTTTCTTAATATATTGTATGATTATGTATATTAAAAAGAAAAACGCATTAAATACTAATCAATTTAGTATATAAATTTAAATGACAAAAAAATAATATTTTCCATAGAGAACTTATCGGTTAAACGAAGGCAGCCATTTTCAAGTCTCTCAGAGATTATTTAATGCTTTAATATAAATGTAAAGATTATGGAATGCCTTTTAAATGATTTTAAGACTATGAACTGTTTTTAGTATAAATGTAAATATGAGGGAATGCTTTTAAGGTTATGGAATACTTTTAATATAGAAAAAATTGTTATGTAATACTTGTTAAAATTATGGAATACTTTTAATATATAAGGTTCTGGAATACTTTTAAGATTATGGAATACTTTAATAAATAAGGTTCTGGAATACTTTTAATATAGATAAAACTGTTAAAATTATGGAATACTTTAATATATAAGGTTCTGGATTACTTTTAATATAGATAAAACTGTTATGTAATACTTGTTAAAATTATGGAATACTTTTAATATAGATGTAAATATTATTATTTTCAGTGGTGTTATTTTCAGTGGTAATGTTGGAGAAGAAGTGCCAGCTGAAGTTTTACAGATGCAATCAAGTACACCTCAAGCTACAGTTATACCTGGTGCGGATTCATTGATTGGTGATTTATTAGATATGGATCTGGGTGGTCCATCAGCTTATCAACAAAATCAAATGTTTCAAACGCCCTCATCTCAACCTGTACAGACTACTGCAGGGATAGATTTATTAGGAGAAGGTTTAGATAGTCTGGTAAGTACTTATATTGGATAGTAAAACTTGATGTAACCATAGCCAGAGATTCAACTATCAAAACTCTTTTGTTGAGTGGGCAATTTCTTGGTGTGACTGGAACATGTAAATTGGACCAAAACTGCCTGACAAAATGGCTACTTGTTGTATGTACTACCAAGGTTGTGGACCCTCTAGAAGTCACAATTTTTATCTGATTTTGATGGAACTTAAAGTATATGTTTATATCCAAAAGATTTTGGTTCCTTTCGATTTTCATGCATATCGGACTCTAAATTCCTGAATTATAGCCCCTGATTGTACTTGACAAGGAGTGTGGTCGCCTGCCTAACCTCATGGGTGTTCTCTGGGTCCTCCAGTTTTCTCTCACTGCTAAAGAACCCTACACACAAGCGAATAATTGAAATAAAATTGAACCAAATGTTAGTCCCAAAATGGCCTAGTTTGTGTAAAGTGGATGTTAAACAATATCTCATATACATATCATTAACAGCATTACAAATAGACAAATCTTTGCCCGACAAAATGACAGACACAAGAATGATTGTACTTGCCAATGTCTGTGACAGGTTCCTTATTTCAAGGCTTGTTGATTTGACAGGTTTTACAGTTCATGACTGATTCATAAACAGATTATTTTGATAAATCTAAAATATTAGGTGGACCGCTGCCATTTAATTTTTGTCAAATTAAAAGATATAATAACAATTTGTAATACTGTCCAAACTATATTACCGATAACCATGCAGTAAAATTCCTTTAAAGATACATTGTCCGAAAGTATTTATCGGGTGGTTATTTCCAAAAAAAGTTTGGCAAATTTGATACATATGGAAAGTATAGACACCCAGTCTTACTAGAAGAATTCTGGAATACCCGACAAACACCCATGGGGCAAGCACTGGGCAAACTGGCAACCCAACTGTTGTCTGCCAGCTTATTGTGTGCTAGCTTGACTGAGGAAGCATTGTTATTTCTTGATCAAATTGTAAGGCGGTGTCAACGTACAAAAGGCGGAAAAAGAAATTGACAGAAAATAATTAAGAATTTGCTTAGGCCTCAATCAAGTAATGAAAAATATATTCTGAAAAATGGACCCACCTACGATGAAGTAGGGTGACAGCCATGACATCTAACAACAGTTTATTTATTCATCAAATCACACAATTTGTACGCCGGAAAGTATCTTTAATTTTGATAATATTGATATAATTTGGGCAATATTCAATTTGGGTAATATTGATATAATTGTAATACATGTATTGAATATTGTTTATTGTTATAGCTTGGTGGAGGATCAACAGCAGGTGATGCTTTAGGTGGATTAGGTGATATATTTGGTGGCGCCCAGTCATCATCATATGTACCCCCACAAGAAGTAAGTCAGTATAATATGTAAATGTATCAAGTTAGTTTTACTTAACTGTGCACTTCACCCGATTCATTTTAAGTCAAATCTAAAGAGACATCTTACTTTCACCAATTGATACTTTAGTTTTAACATATCTTTGGGGGTGTGGGTGGCTGAATGATTTAACATGTGCAGATTAGATCATAAGGTCTGTCATTGACTCAAGTGGTGTGGTTTCGATTCCCCACTTGTACAGGACAAGGGGTAGGATCACCTGTCCCACTTCACAGGTTTCCACCTGCTGCTTAAGATGCATATGTGCACGATTTGATTGATTCCTGTTCATTTTGTTACACATTAATTTGAGGAGTTGGATGGCCGAATGGTTAGCATATGCACACTGTATCATAAGGTCTGTCATTGAACCAACTGGTGTGGTTTTGATTCACCTGTCCACCCTAGTGGGTTTTCTCCGGGTATTAACTGCTAAAGACCCCTACATGCAAGCAAATTATTGAAATAAGATTGAACCATATGTTAGTCCCGAAATGACCTAGTTTGTGTGAGTGGAGGTTAAGCTCTCTCTCTCTCTCTCTCTCTCTTACACAGTAATTTTATATTCTATGTGAATATTTTTGCTTGTTTCAGGTTTTCTTACCAGCCAGTAAAGGAAAAGGTTTAGAAATCAGTGGAACATTTGCCAGAAGAAATAATCAAGTATTTATGGAACTTACATTTACAAATAGAGCTATGCAGGCTATGGCAGATTTTGGTATACAATTTAATAAAAACAGGTAGGTTTACAAAGTGTCTAGTCAGTTATGAACAATAACAGAATGTATCATTTAAATCAGTTGGTATACAATATCATTGACCTGTCAGTTGGTATACAATAACATTGACTAGTCAGTTTTTATACAATAACATTGGTATACAATAATATATAATTGATCATTTAAAGACACCTAGTCAGTTGTAATGGCACTAATGATATTAATTAAATACTCACAGATTGTTATTCTCTTTGATATTCTAGAATAGCATTTAGTAATTGGGACACACAATTTGTTTTTTATTTGTGTATATATTCTTGATAACGAATTGTGAAATCTTGTTAAAATGGTGCAGTATAATTAAACATAGTAATAGTTATTTGATTATTCTTTACATTATTTGTTCAGGTCATACGTGTATATTGTCAGCTTGATTTTTAAATCATATTCTCTTCAGTTTTGGTTTAGCACCTTCCTCACCTCTAAGTATACAGAGTCCATTACCGCCTAATCAAAGTGCTAGTACGTCTTTACCATTATCAACCACTGGTGCAGTACAAAAAATGGAACCATTAATGGCATTACAGGTATTATAATAATTAACTAGCATTGTTCACACTGAAACTTCATCTGTAGGTACAGGAGTTCACATCACTTCCACCCAATACAAAGATTATCATTAAAACATGCCAATCATTCACTCAACACAGAATGTGTACAGCACAAGCAGTACTTAAATTTTATTGAATGTTAACAAACGAATAAAATTATACATATGTCTGAAGATTGTCCAAAGTTTTAATATTGGTCTCTGAGACTGATCATTGATCATTTTGAACCCTGAGTAATATTTACATGTCACTGAGCTATTGTTTCCGTGATGAGCATCATGACATGTAGATTTATTACCAGAGGATAAAAACTTGTTTGTTAGATTTATTCTGTAAACAAGGTTCCAGGAACCTTTTGTTTTTTTTCGGTTGCTATGACTGAATAATCACTGATCCTAAAATGATTGATTCCTACTCCCAATTGATCCCTCTGGTGAATTTTTTTCAATTAAGACGACCTCCAATCAGTTTTATGCACAGGTGCCGTGTTGATATATTTGCTTCACTTAGTGGACAACTGCTTTATAAGATCAGTCTTGTTTTTATAAAATACTGTATTTGTTACTTGTATCTAATAAACTTTGAAACAATCTGTTTATTTTTCAGGCGGCCGTAAAGAACAATATTGGTGTATTTTATTTTAGTTGTACAGCACCATTACATGTTTTATTTACTGAAGATGGTGAAATGGATAAAAAAGACTTTTTATCAACATGGAAAGAAATCCCATCACAAAATGAAGAACAATATACTATTTCTAATGTACAACATAGTGCAGGTCAGTTCTAAGTTACACTAATATCTTTTATAGATGTACTTTGATAGAAAGATTTTAGTTTATAATTATACACAGCTCAACTTGTCAATAGCTGCATTAATCGAATTTAGATCATTATTGGTTAAAATATAATCTCATTCCCTGTCATTTACAAGTTATATTTATAGCACGGCTTTCATGAGTTAACAGGTTTAAACATTGAAGCCATAGGCCAAGATGTTAAACCTGTTAACGACAGAAACGTGCTATAAATGACTTGTAACATTGACATCTGCTCAACATGCTTGTTGTTATTGCACAGAAAACCCACCCCACTTCTCTATATGATTTCTACTAAAACCAGTGTAATCCAACAAAAGAGGGCAATAACATTGAACATGTCTAGTTATTGCACGGTTAAGCTACACCCAATCTACTAGAGGGTAAACAATCTGCTTATTCAATGAAAAGAACAAAGGAAGATTTCCTGTCCATGTTACAAGCTTGTTTATTGTCAATTAAAAATTGGGGATTACAGCCGTAGCAACGCTGTAAGGGGCAGTGAAATTTAACTAAGGCATTAAACTAAATTTCATTTAATGGTACCGATTGTTTTGCTTTGTCTGTTAAATAAATCTGTATATGCCTACACAGACTGCACCCCCGCCCTTCTTGTTAATTCTGAGATTGTTATACATTTGTATTTTGCAGATACTGTATCCCAGAAATTAAGAAATAGTAATATATTTACAATCGCTAAACGTAATGTAGAGGGACAAGATATGTTGTACCAATCATTGAAGTTAACCAACGGAATTAAAGTATTAGCAGAACTGAAAATACAACCCGGAAATTCTAATTTTGTGGTAAGTTGAAATCTATTCCGGTTTTACAAACAACAAGTGGTATCGTAATCTAGTGTTCTTTCCAAAATACCACAGCTCTGTCTAACCATTGTTCCTTTCACTGGATGCCTTTTCACAGGGCATAAAATAACCATAATGGTACAAAATTACAATTCATTTTTGATAGACCCAAGTTTTATATTTAGGTTTTGTTGAGTATTAGCTTAATACCTTCTAGACCTTATTTTTTGTGCAATCTTGTTGTATTGTCTATATCTTTAAATCTTCAGAATATGAAATGAAATGAAATGGGGTTTAACTTCCTACTGTTCTACTCCGACTGGGCTAATGAATATGAGAATTTGATTCTAAAATGCAATTCAGAAGTATTTCTAATTTCTTTTTCAGTTGTCACTGAAGTGTCGAGCCTTGGATATCTACTCTGGAGTGCAGTTAGCCTATGATACGATATTACATAATTAAAATATGACAACTTATACATAACTGAAGACATGATTAATTTCACTTGGGTCTCTTAAATATAGATAATTAATTATACATGTATTACTACATAGTTTAAAAACAGCAATTCATTCATTTTTAAACAGTGTGAATTAACAGCTAAATCTTAATGTCTTAGCTCTATATGTTATAATGGATGTTATCTTAGATTCAGATGTTGTGGCATTTTAAGTTGGGGACATAGAAGAAATTTATTATTTTTATTGTCACTGATTGTGTGTCGGACTTGCAGTAGGTGTTAAATAATTTTATGACTTTGATTGTTGTAAATTCAAAATCTAGATTAGTTATGTGGAAAACAAATTCTGTTATTATTTGTGAATATCCACTATTTTGAATCTAAAGAATTTATACCCTCCAGCAAATTGCAGTTTCAGATATCTGAATTCTGATTTGAAATTGGTCCGAAACGGATTATAAATTTGGAAAAATCTGATTTAGGATTCACTGCAATCAAACACACCCTAAAATAGAGCTTGCTTGTTCTAAAAGTAGGATAGGTATTTAATATGGAGCACATTATGCTATAAATGAATATTAGTGCTTGTCACTAAACATTCCATTGTTGATTTTAAAGAATTATGTTGTTCATGTTTAATGATAAGATTGTATTTCCATACAATTATTTATAGATTAGCTTACAAAAGAAAAAGAAGAAAAAAATGTATTTAAAAAAGTTTATCATTGTATATTTATCATGTAACATATAAGTAATAAATATTATAATATCACAAAAAAATCTCTTTTACAACATCTTATAACTATATGAACATCGTAAATACCGGAACTGATAATAAGTGTTCTATGGGAGGGATGCACATCCTACAAGATTACTAAAAATATATAGCTAAACGGATAAATAGTTTTGATATGATGTTATAAACGGAAGCTCCAAACAATGCCTGACAGTGCAGTCGTCAGTCAAGTTATATTGCTTATCACCACCCAACTAAAGATTGATATATTTTTATAAAAAGATATTAAAAAAAGATATTAAAAAAGTTAAGCACTCACACAATGTCTACATTTGAGCAAAGAGTAGTTGAGAAATTTAAATAAAAGAAAAAACATTTTTAGATCTGATTTTATCTACATGTATTAATACTGTTAGAGAGGCACTTTTTATAACGATCAAGTCAAGAAAATACTGGCCATTTTGACTGGTGAGTTCACCAAAGTGCATTATTAAATTTCTCTTAAAAATAATTCAAATATAATTATATTTTAGTCATGTGATAATAAATGCAGAATGAATATGATATTCAAAGATAAACTAATCAAATCTTGATATGTCCCGTCCAAACATTAATGTCTTCAGCCAATCCATAGGAACTTGCATTCTTAGTCTCCAACTTCCTAAGCGAGTTAAATAAGCAGATCTCCACAGCAACCAGGAAGTAAAGCCTGAAATAAGCAAATTAAAAACTTAAATCCTTATCAAATCTATGGCACAACAAAACCGGTTCCTCTTTCACTGTGAATAACTACATTCAGAAGAGTAGGCTGTCTTAAAATTGTAAATATTGGCATTTTAATAAAAGGAGTTTATTTTTTACCTTCTTTGAAAGATTCACAACATCCTAAAGTTAAAAAGCTGCCCGTGAAAGGCAAATGTGGTCTAAAATAGAATTTTATGATTGGTCAGCCTACCTTGTAATTTAACATCTGGAGTATCTGTAAGAGCTTCATAACTTCCTATATAGGCCAACATTCCCATATTTTTAAATTCAAAGGGAATTTTAGGATCTTTCTTTCCATTTAAAACATCAGTTAGATATCGCCCTTGTCTCTCGGCAACCTAGAAATAAAATGGTAAATATTGTGTTTACAAATAGTAATTGAAGATTGTGATGAAAATAAAGGGTTTTCAGTGGGCTTTGGAATCTTTCTTAGAAGATCTAAGTTCCTCTTATAGTATAAACCGAAATGGTTAAAAAAAAAATCAAACCTGATGCATTCAAAGAGAAAACACAAAGCTAGAGGTTATAAATTAATTCTGGGTTAATAATCTATCACATGACACCCTGATTAATTACTTTGTTCTTAGCAGCTTCACGTTAACAATCAAAATGGAAGTTTATAGATAACTACATCTGTAAGTTATATACCCTGGGTGTAAATTAAAAGAAGAGACACCTCAAATGTGGGGGGGGGGGAACCATCTGAGAGGAGGTACTTGTATGTAGTTATGTAAACGTATCAATATTACCTGAGCTGTACATGGTAGTGGCACGTCTGCTATATCAGCACAATCACCTAATGCATATACACTACCACTCTTATCTTCTATAACTTGTAAATAACTGTCTGTTACAATCTACAATATTAATATAACTGTCTGTTACTATCTCTAATTAAAATATCTGTCTGTTACTATCCAGAATATTAATATAACTGTCTGTTACTATCTCTAATTAATATATCTGTCTGTTACTATCCAAAATATTAATATAACTGTCTGTTACTATCTCTAATTAATATAAATGGGTTTTTTTACTATCTATAAATTAATATAACTGTCTGTTACTATCCAGAATATTAAGATAACTGTCTGTTACATTCCATAACATTAATATAACTGAACTGTTACTATCCACAATTTTAATATAATTGTCTGTTACAATCCTTAACATTAATATAACTGAACTGTCTATAATATAATTTTTACTAGTCACAAAATTAATATAACTGTTACTATCTGTAATGTGATTGTCTGTCACTACTATAACATAAATATAACTTGTCTGTTACTATCTACAAAATTAATATAACTGTCACTATTTATAATATTAATATAACTGTCTGGTACTATCTACAGGATTATTATACCGGTACCCGTCTGTTACAATCTATAACATTAATATAACTGTCAGACTGTCTGTTACTATTCATAACATTAATATAACTGTCTGTTACTATTCATAACATTAATATAACTTTCTGTTACTTTTCATAACATTAATATAACTGTCTGCTACTAATTGGGTAAGACGCTGGCTCACTAGCCTGGAGGTCAGGTGTTCGGTCCCTGCATTGGCCGAGAAAGTTCATCCAGATTTTCCGGCGTGGTTCCCCCTTGTCAGTGATGCAGGACAGCTGTCTAGTCGTTCGGGACGAAAAACCGAGATCCCGTGTACACATTGGCATGCACGTAAAAGATCCCTTGACAGTTGGAATTCGATATAAGAGTAGGCCGTAGTGCCGCTGTCCTGGCAAAATTTCCCTCATAGCACACTGTATCGCGTATGCCCGTCTTCATTAGCCCAGTTCGGATCAGAACAGTAGGACTTAAACCCCATTTCATTTCATACTATTTATAATATTAATATAATTGTTTGTTACTATTCACAATATTTATATAACTGTCTGTTACAATCTATAATATTAATATAACTGTCTACTGTCTGTTACAATCCACAATATTAATATACATGTAGCTGTGTGTAACAATCCATAACATTAGTATACATGTAGCTGTCTGTTACATGAAATGGGGTTTAACGTCCCACTGTTCTGCTCCAACTGGGCTATTGAAGATGGGTATAAGCCATACAGTGTTCTAGGAGGGCAATTTTCCCTGAATAGCAGAACTATGGCCTACTCTTATATCAAATTCTAACTGCCAAGGGTTCTTTTATTTGCACGGCACGCCAATGTGTACACCGGACCTCGGTTTCCATCCCATCCAAATGCTGTTACAATCCATAATAACCGTCTGTTACTCAACCATTCCTCAAAAATTTGCAATCCCATTTGACAAGAAATGGACAAATACATACCTGACCTCTTGTATTTTTCGCAACTTTAAGATTTTCGGTAAACCATCTTGGTGCAAGACCTGTACTCCATACAACTAAACCACATGGTAATATAGTGCCATCTTTTAATTTAACACCATCCTTGAATACTTCTGAAAAATCAGAAATATTGTAAATCCATAAATTATCTCTCTAATGAGAAGTGGGACTAATTAATAGTTAAATGAAAGTGTGTCAAGAACTGGCCTTCTATCACAGAAAAGAATCAAGCAGTAACTGCTGAGAAGGATCTTACTGCCATTCAAGTTATATTTTCAAGAAACAAGAGTTGGTGATTTTTGTCAATTCTAGATATATCTTAATTTACCAGCTACAGTGTCCGTTTCAATTATTTGTATTCCTGAGACAATTTTTATATTGTATACCATAGTAACATTCAAAATAAATCTGGTTTTGGATTATCAAAGTGAAAACATGAGTTAGGCTGTCATTGGAATGTCAAGATCAAAGAAAGTAGACTAATTAATGCTGTAACTATTTTACCTGTAACAGAGGATTGTATCAATGTGAATCTCTCTCTAGCTCGTAATTTATTCTCAGCATGTGAACGAAGTCGACTATCAAAAGAAGCAAGAATTTTATCTGATTCAACCAATGTTACTGTTACAGCTTTTTGCTGTTCTTTATATAATTTGGCTACATCCTAAATAAAACAGAGATAAAATACAATTAATAAAAACATATTTAACCAGACAATAAAAAAGAGCCACTTGAGTCTTGTGAACATTGATTTATTTAATATTTCAAAAACTTAAAATTTTCAAACCAAAAGCTTGTGAGAAGAGCAATTAAGTACTTTATGTTCTGAACTCTCCACTCCCAACCACATACATGTACACACAAGACCTAGAACGTAAAACCAATATTTTAAAATCTTAATAGGTATTCGTGAAGAATGAAACTTTAAATCAGTGTGGTCAAAGACTGCGGGAACAATAACTTCTGCTAAGACCTAAAGGAGCTAAATCACTAATATTTGGTACCTAGAAATTGACACAAATGGGTCGCAACGCATATAATAATCTAATATGAATGTATATAAACTGATTTACATTCAATCGTTTCTGTCTTTACTCTAATTTCAAATCAGTTATGTTCGGCGAAATACACCAGAAATCTCAATCGAATGGCAATATGTAGCGTGTGGTTATTCCAGTCTACATAGTACTTATTGCGCATGCTCTCCAAATAATAATGGCGACACCGTTTGACATGACTTCTGGAATATGTCTAGCCTCGTTCTTCGAGTCCCTTGTTACAAATGGCGCTGAAACGCATTATGGTACATGATTCGTATAATGTTTATTTTGTCTTAAATATTGGATATCAGAAGCCCATCTTTTCGTGGTAAGATCACAACATCAATGTTGAATTAAATTGACAAATAATTCATGTTTTCAATGTCAAAGATTTTCGATTATATTGTGTTAGAGACTTAGCTACTTTAAAACAAAAAAGCAAGGTCTAGTACATGTTAGTAGACCTATGCTATATTACCTGTTGAACAAAGTCATATAATTCAGCACCAAATTCTATTCCAGTTGGTCCACCACCTACAATAACTGTATGAAGTAATCTCTTGGACTCAGATTCTTGTATCTTAGGTCCCACTGCTAACTCAAAATTAGTCAATATACGATTACGTATTTTTCGTGCATCCAACACTTCCTAAAATAAGGTAATGAACACATGGTTTGAATAGATAGGTTAAACCAACGTTTTGGCAATGTCCAGAAATTAGAAATTGAATCGGTGTAGTTACTTACTACTTATAGCTAAATGAAGTGATCATTTGGATTTCCCAAACTGAGGGTTACTGGCGAAGAAGATATCATCTGGCTCAAAACAACCAGTATATATATATATAGTACAACTATTGTGGTGCCTCTGTTCTCTTGATTCCTACCAAATTTTAATGGAATCCATTGAGCCATTCCACAGCAGATTACAATTCTATCTGCTAGAGTTTTTAAAATAAACAAGGGCAATAACTCTGGAAGTAATTGTTGGATATTATAAAAATAAATAGACAGCGACCAAAATTTCATCTTTAGCCTATCTAGTGAACACAAAAATGGAAGGACGTTACAGAGTATGAATAAGTAAAGGCGCATTACAGTACCTTTAAAAAGAAGGCATGTTCTTCCACTCCTGGTACACCAAATGTATTACTTAAAGCACCAACAGCAATAACCAATTTATCGTAATTGATAGTGTATTTTAATTCTTGGTTTAATACACTGTGACAATGTAGAATTTTATTGTCTAAATCAAGGTTTGTAGCATGAGACAGGTGAAAGTGGGTAGCATCTCGAAATCTGGATTCACGAACAGGTTGAATAATTGACCTATAATGGAAAGATATATTTCATGATTAGTTGTAGCCAATTAACAAAATTAATTTAGAAGAAATGGACCTTCTGCCTGTCAGAAACAGGTATGTACATGTACTCCATTCATAACTGCTGTCAGAAACAGGAATGTACTTCATTATATTTTAACAAAGTATGCTAACAATACAATAAGATTTTTTTTATGGCTTCAGGCATTATTTTTAAATACTGAATTCAACCACTGTAATAACAATAAGTTAATTGTACTGTAGTTGCAATTTTGGAAAAAAAATGCACCAACCAGACTAATGAAAACAGACATACACCATGCAGTGTGTTATGAGGATATTTTTATGCACTGACAGCAGTGTTTCTGCCTGCTCTTCATCAAATTCCAACCAAACATGTATATGAAGAACCATGTTTTTTTATCTTATTTGAATGATTACCCACTGTTCCTTGCCAGATCCTCTGTGCATCATTGACACAGGTAACCTGGCTGGAATATCCTGAGGAACTTACTCAACCAACACCGGAATCGAGAGAGAGAGAGAAATGGGTTTTAACGTCCACTCGACACAAACTACATGTATGTCATTTCAGGACTAACATATGGTTCCATTCTTATTTCAATAATTCGCTTTAGCTTAGGGAGGAAACTGGAGGACCCGGAGTAAACCCACAATTAAGGTTGGACAGGCGACCCTACTTCTTGTCACGTACAACCAGGGAATCGAAACAATGCCAGTTGACTCAATGACAGGCCTTATAATACAACGCGCATCCACTAACCATTTGACCACCCACTGGAATTGCACCTGGGACCTCTTGGTTAGTGAGCCAGTTCCTTAATGACTGAGCCATTGTGGTTCCCTGTTTCTATTGATATCTGATGTACTGTATTTTTAACAGTGATAAAAGCGAATGCTTACCTGAACTCCAGTGTCCCCACAGTTGTACTGGCCAGTAGTGGTGTAAACAGAAAGTGATTCCTCGGACTTACAACAATAACATCATACTTTTTCTTATCTATACTCTTTAATACACTATATCCTCCCCAACCAGTTCCTAAAATCACTAATTTCTGTCGTTCTTGAATCACTTTTGTGGTTGAAAATTTTTGTATATTCATAGTTGAACCTGCTCCATGCATCCACCATAGCGCTTTTCTCGATATCATTTTATTTATGTTACCAAAGATTCAACACGTATATGGGATTTCAAAAAGGTGAAATTTGTGTGATGAAATGTAAATAGGTTAACTGTCAGTGAACCATAAGCAAAGTCACTTATTGCCACATACATCAAAATATTTTTTTTAATAATTGTCCTCAATATAGGCTATTCATGGATATTGTTTCAAATCTGTAAGAATAAGAGCATAATGTTCAGTACACTCGTCAACTATGAAAAAAGTTCTAATTACAATACTACTAATAAACCATAATCTAAGCTAGAGTTTCATGAATTTTTACCAGAATCAATTCAGTTTTATTTTTCTTTTATCTTCAGGAGCATTTAAATTTTCGCCCTTGTAGAACTCCTTCAATATATCTACTGCCTCTTCTGCTAGAAGCCCTGATATACAAACTAATTTAGGACCTAAGGTAGGCAACTCATCACTTGCTACAGGTAAAATAGATTTACAGCCGCCAAATCTATCATTAGCACATCCATAAACCACGAGAGGAATTTTCATCTGACGTAATGCAGCTGCACACATAATACATGGTTCTACAGTCACATATAAAGTAATATTCTCAAAGATTTCATCAGAATTCTTATTATTTTCATCACACCATTTTAACACTTTCTCAATTGCAACAATTTCAGCATGTCTGGTGGCATTTTTAGTTTCATTTACTTCATTTCTACCCTGTGCTAATTCCTGATCTTTATAAACCAAAATACATCCGACTGGAACTTCTTTATTTTTTAAAGCTTCACGAGCCAAGTCCATGGCACGATTCATCCATCTTGTATGATCCTCCATTAAATCCTTCAATAAAGTTAAGTTATAGACTTGAGTCACTATTTAAATTAATGTGTCTAACATCTGATCATTGCAAGAATTTGGTCATTTTGAGACTAACATTAGACAGTCAGGCCGAGTCATCAACATCCATGGCCCCTGTATATTAAACCCCCACACCAAATTTGTTTCTAACAAAAGTATCAAATCCATTAAAGAGAGAGAGAAATTGCGTTTAACGTCCACTCGACACAAACTAGGTCATTTCAGGACTAACATACGGTTTAATTTTATTTCAATAAAGTGGTCTTTAGCAGTGGGAGGAAACCGGAGGACCCGGAGAAAACCCATGAGGTTGGACAGGCAACCCTACTCCTTGTCACGTACAACCGGGAATTCGAAACCACGCCAGTAGACTTAATGACAGGCTTTATGATACAGCGCGCACATGCTAACCATTCATCCATCCAACCCACCATCAAATCCATTAAATTTCTAATTAGCAAATGAGACAACTACTAAGACATATAGGATATGCGTATACGCTTCATAAAGATGTCTTAAATGGTTTAGGAGATATGCTCTGGCGGGAGAAAAACTAGGATGGGAGGACAGAGCTCATTTTAAATATAAATCCCAATCCAATCCGTCCGATAAATGCAGGCCTACATGCATACATTGTCAGGCCGAATGGCATTACCAATAACACATAGCTGGCTTTAAAGAGACAGATAGAGAAATGGGGTTTAACATTCACTCAACACAAACTAAGCCATTTCGGGACTAACACATGGTTCAATTTTATTTCAATAATTCGCTTGCGCATAAGACCCGGAGAAAACCCACGAGGTTGAACAGGCGACCCTACTCCTTGTCATGTACAACCAGTTTAGTTCTGAAATATGTCTCCGAACTTTACTGTGTGCCCTCCAAAATATCCATTTTGTTCAGAAATTACAGACAACCATAGGGCCCATCAATACTTTCTATGTTCCTGAACATGTATGTACACACAAAAAGACTGGAAAATCTCAATCCAACTACTGTTGACAGACACTTTGACAGACCTCAAAAGTCATTTTTTGGGCCAATTAAGCAAGAGTTGATACAAATTACATTGGAAAGGGCCTACTAAAAACAAGTATTGCAAAACACAAGTCAAAGTCAAAATATGATGCAATGATAAATTTTTTATTGTCTTATTCAACACTGAAAACATCCATTATTTAATTACAAACATTAAAGCCACAAAAAATAAAAATTAAGCTTAAAAGCTTTCATGACATTAATTCATAATTAATTCATCATACAAAATAAGCTTGTAAACCAAATGACAATTTTTCATTCATAATAACATATTTTCTATTTTAATTTAATGAATGTCTTTTTTTACAAAAAAAAAAAAGAAAAACAAAAGCAAACATGTATACAGTGAAATACAGTGAAGACATGCTAACTACAGTACAATAGTGTAGTACATGTACATACGTATGTAAATCATAACCTTATAACCTTAAGTAATTGAAATGTTCTAAAATGCAACATACACAATGTCAATGTACAATTAATGTGACAAAATTAAGGAAAAAAAATGAAGTATATATCCAACTCATCAAATGCAATTTCTATTACTAGTTTAGTTTTTTGATAATAATGAACTGAGATAAATGTTTTTATACAAACAGAAATTTGGTTTTGTATTTTGCTTTTTTTTATGAACATTTCTTGTAAAGATGTAGCTGATTAATCAAAGAGTTCTTTCTTCATTCTTAACATGAGAACTTGTACACAAGTTTCCGCCATTTAACCCTCAAACCAAGTAAACAGAAATTTGGTTATTTATTTATTTTTTTTTGCAGAACAATTCTCAAGAAGATATATCCAATTAAAGGAATTCTTCTTCATTCTTCACATTAATAGTGTTCTTCAACTCAAGAATTCTTAGTTAATCTCATCCAGTTTCAATTGATGAAAAATAATTAAATAAGTTCATCTAATTGTTCATCCTAGATCAAGCATTGGCTGCTTCACATGCATCTATCCAATCACTGTACACATCAACTGCTTCTGATAAGTAATTTATTGTAGACTGATAATCCTCTAAACACACAGTACACGTTATTATCCCTGTATTCCTTGGTCGGTCCATTTTCACTTCACAAGATTTCTCATGATTACAAAAGGGGCAATTGAACATAGTTGGCAGAGGTTCAATTGCCTTCCGTTTTGGTGGAGGTTTATTGGCTTTCTTCCTTCTTCCCATTTTTTGAGAATGTCTATATTCTTGTCTTTTCAAAATGATCTGAAATGCAAGAAATAAAATATTTTGACAAAGCCACATAACAATCAATTTTGTATGATATTGGAATTTAATCTCAAGGCATTTGTATAGTTAATCATTCAATGAAACCATCATCAAATCAATTCACTGACAAAGAATATCTAGAGAGTAAGTTTGATACAAAGAAATAATCTCAATGGCATTTGTCAAAATACTTTATTCCTTTCATCAGAGAGAGAGAGAGAGAGAGAGAAATGGGGTTTAAGTCAATTCGACACAAACTAGGTCATTTCGGGACTAACATATGGATTAATTTTTATTTCAATAATTCGCTTGCGCGTAGGCCTAGGGCCCTTTAGCAGTGGGAGGAAACCAGAGGACCCCGAGAAAACCCACGAGGTTGGACAGGCGACCCTACTCCTTGTCACGTACAACAGGGGAATCTCCTTTCATCAGACTCAATGCAAACAATAGTCGATACACTTCTACTCCCATGATATTTCTTCTAGCAAGACATGCAATGCTATTCGACAACACATGTATTTGATTGGGTGCACTGAGAATAGCCAAAATTTGAGACAAATCTGTTGATTTTATCCTTAGGTTTATGGTTTATTTATACAAATGTCCAATATATCACCGGCAAAAAGTTTTAAAAATTGACAATTAAACCCTAGCCACAGGCTTGTTCATTTTGTGAGCCATATATTGGCCATAATCTTGAAGTACATGTATCTTTGAAAGAGGTGCATAAAGTTGTCAAGAACTAGACGCTGTTCCTTGCCTACTGACACATGACTGTTTAGAAGTAAAAAGTTGCCCAGTAAACTTTACTACAAGTGAAGGAGCCAAAAGTCCTGTTCCTGAACATAGAGAATAGAGGGTGAGTGTAAGAAGACTACATTCAGAGTTGAACTATTCCAAGTTTGCAAGGCCCAGGCCCTTAGTCCTGAACCACTGAAACCACAATGGAAAATCCTGTGGAACTTTCTTGGTCAACACTGTTGAACTCTGGAAATCAAATTTAGCTAGTCATATAGTCCATGATTGCTTTACTAAAAAGTGTAATTTACAAATTTGAAATAATACTATATAATAGTATATAGTATACTATGTATGTATTGTATGTATGTACTATCAATTAAACAATTGTCAATTTGTTTAAAATCACTTTTCAAGTAGGCCCTAACTGTAATTTATGGCCTTTGCCCTTATCGGCTTATCAAGAAACAACAATACAAACCAAAATAGGACCATTATCATTACTATTGCGTTCTTCACAAAGTTTATTTTCTTGTCGATATGGGACAGATTTCTCAAGACACATGCCAGACATCATCATCAATCATACAATCAATTGCAACCTTTTTCATCATTCATTCACATTGGCATTGATCAATTTACCATCCTATTTCATCACTAGAACCATTTGATATTCTTTATGATAAACCCCAATCAATATTCTCTGATTGGTTATCAATGATTTATTAAAATTATATACATGTTTCCAATACTTACCGCTAAGATGACGATTTTTATTATCTCAACGCCAATATTTTCGTGCGTAAGGGGGCGCTACGAATAATTGGCGAATCAACGTAAAAACTTTTTTGGAAAAGGTCATTTCGGACCTTGGTTGAGCGACACTTCGACCGAACATTCATTCTCATCTCACACGATGGAGTTTTTCGGTTTGGAATTCTGAAGCTAAATTACTGATGGAAAAAAGTATGCAGAAGCCTGTAAAACTATTATTACATGTACGTGTAGTAGCGCGGAACGTACGTGATAAGACGCGAAAGTAAGGGGGCGCTGCGAGTAATTGGAGAGACGGAGAGACGTTTTGGTAAAGATCATTTCGGACCGGTTGAGCCACACTTCGCCCGAAAATTCGTTCCCATCTCACACGAAGTGAGTTTTTCGATTGGAATTCTCTAGCTAAATTGTACGGAAAATCTGGATGAACTTTGTCGGCCAGTGCAGGGTTCGAACACCCGACCTCCAGGCTATAGCGAGCCAGCGTCTTACCGCACTTAGCCACCGTGACCCCCACGTTTAGAAAGGCATTATCGTCCATGGTCGATAAATAACAATGTATTTAATATTAGTTTTGATCGTTTTGGTAGTCCTAATGTTGGTCATATTTCTAATGTATATAGGTATTCCACATCATCCCTGTAACTTGACATCTTTTACCTGTTAAATAATATTTTGATGGAGTTTTCTGTTGCAATATTTTCAACAAATAGGCCTAATCAATTTTCTTGGACAGAAAAGTGTCAATATTTTGGAGTTAATTTCGCTAAAACCAGGGTTATACCAATTTCTAATAGGTTTTAAAATTTAAATGAAATATCAGTAGTCACCGAAAAAAAATAACCAAAGGCTATTAACAATACACACTCAGATATCTCTATGTGACGACTGTAAAGATGGTGCTTGTGGATTTAAAATAGAAATGTATTTCCCATTCATAAATCAACAAGTATAGCTTTTCCTGTTATCTGGATATGATCTGTAAATAGGTGGTCTAACATAGCTTTTAAGGTTGAGGCATGCGTATTCTACAAAAATGCAATAAAACTACGATATTCAAAACTGACATAACTTTATTTAAGGCTGATTTCTATAAATTTAACTCACTGTCGTCAGAGGCGTAGCCGTGAAATATATATTGGGGGTGGGGGTGGGGGCCGCAACCCTAACCCCTAACCCTAACCCATTTTTAAAACCCCTAAAAAATATAAACAAACACCATGTGGCCATGCTGTCTACCAAGACACCGCGTGCAAAAGCATTATGGTTACGTTGCTGGCTGATAAATATTTGGTTTAGGGGGTAATGTTTTTGGGAACCTACATGCGATTCACTCTGAAAAGTGGCAGAAAAAAATTAGCAAAATATTACCGACAGGCTAACTAGACACAATTTTATGGAACACAGTTACTTTTCACTTCACACATGTTTCCAGGATGATTCTCTCTGTGTTTTATTTTAGCAATGTAAACCATATTGGGATATATACAGGTTTTATACAGATATAGAATCTTAACTAATCCAAATAATTGTTGTAAATATAGGAGTTTGGGCCTACTATGTAAATTTTTAGGGGGTCCAGGTATATTCAGACGCCCCCCCCCCCCCATGTGTGACGCCCATGACTATCGTTCTCGTAGGGATGGGTTAAATGTCATGTGGAACCTTATGTTCTTTAGTACATCTTAGTTTACAGGACCGGCTACCATCCTAGGCGAGGGTCCCAGGCCACCTAAGCCACGGAAGCTCCCGGGAATCTAGATTCTCAAAGGCGCTTTGTGAGCAATTTTTGACTAATAAAATTACTCAGCAATAAAGTTAAGTTCAATTCCTTTCTAAATCCCTTACCTTGAAAACACAGTCTATGGTGGTTTCATGTAATGCTGAACTGGACAAATATATGCATAATAATACCAAGGCTGTGAATATTCTAGAGCAGCGATTCTCAACCAGTGTTCCGCGACACACAGACGTGCCGCGAGATCTTTGTGCCGCGAAATTTTGAACGGCACACTAAGGAAATGCGAAAAACCACGTGATCCCAACTGTGTATCGACTGGTATCTACTGATAAGTTCATAGCTGTGTTTTTCTTTATTTAGTTTGAGTCTTTCTATGTGTCTGTCTACAGTTGTATGCTGTCTGACTTACCATGATTTTATTTTGCAAAATTCAAATATTTTTCATATATATTTCGCCAGGTGTGCCGCTGTTTCTTTTCACACGTTCCAATGTGTGCCGTTGGCAAAAAAAAGGTTTAGAATCACTGTTCTAGAATTTCATATTTTTATTCGCTTTTGATGAAACTAATATCCCAAAGATCTTGTTTCCTTTCGATATTATTGGGCCCCCACCCCGTACTCCGCCGTGTCTGAGTTTGATAATTGTGGGTCAAGGCTCTGCGAGAAATCAAATTCTACGTCCGGGGTAAGTTCCATAATGACCTTGGATGAGATGGGCAGAAGGTTTGAGGCTGTTCGGAATTTTACAGGCCCATTAATAACGGCAATAGTTTCAACTTTAAAGATAAAAATAAACTAACAATAAGACATCACATTTTAATTCCAAAAAATTATAAAATAAACTTACAAACGAGATATATTTCATATTAAAAACGATTGTGCATTAAATTTAGGTTTACAGTCAAATTTGGTGTTTCGGATCGTACCAGGCACAGTGAACATTATTCAAATGGATCATTTGTTCTGTGTAAAAGTCGTATTGATTACTAAAATTAATTGAAAAACTTTTCACTATTCTACTAAACCTCTGCTCCAGGAAGAATAAGTGCTTTGAAATATCTTAAGCTCATATCTGTGCTTACACCTTCAAGTTTACTTAAATCTTACAATCAGTTCATAGAAAACCGAATACCAGCTTTTCTATACAATTTTTGTGCAGAGACTTAGATAATATATGTGCAGTCATTTATCGAATGATAAAATGTATGTAGAAAATCTTCGATAGCAAGTAGGTTTACACGAGAGAATCTCTGTACGTAGAGATCTCTGGGTGAGATTCGCAACTGAAACACATGGTTACAATAATTTTATAAACTTCTTTTGTTTGCTGTGTGCTAATAGACGACATCTTTTTGGTTAATCATCAAATAAACTCAGCAGGCCTTCCCCGTCATCGGAATCATCTGAGTCACCTCCCTTGTCATCTTCTGAAACAGCAAAACAGAAAACATCATATTTAAATAAAAAATCCCCAAAATACAACAAACCCAAAAGAATACACCGACAAGAGAGGAAAAGTGTTGTTAGGAATATCGCAACACCTTGAAAAGAATTTAAACTTATTGTTACTGTTGCTTTTTTAAGCAAAAAGCTTCTCGGCCTCCCTATAAAGTGACCATGTGTCTTTTCACGTTCTTAAGGACGTATATAGTAATGTCAATAGTATGTGAAGAATCTAAATGCGCACTGTGACGAGAAGGCCACTAAGAGGACTAAAAAGTATTCATTTGACAGCAATGTAACAAAACGAATCAGGATAGAAATCACCTTTGCCTCAATGTTCGTAAATAAGGTATCACTTATTGACAGATAATTACAAGAGAAAAAATGACGGCGATGTGAAGTACATAAAAAGTAATGCAAACTTGGCATGGCCTTAACTGCCGTTTTGGACCAATAAAATTTTTCAACAGATTACGTTTTGCGAAATGAAATGGGGTTTGATGTCCTACTTTTCTTTACCGATTTGACTAATGAATACGGGAGACTACGTTTTGTTAATTATATGTCATTTATTCTGGCAAATTTGGCCCCTTCGAATCTCTTTATATCAGTTGAGACAAATTGTCATTAAAAAAACCACAACAATGGATATCAGAATCAACAATGGATATCAGTGGCTAGTATTGCGATGTATTCCAATGATCTTTGCGATGGAATATAATGTTTATCACCGATCGTGTAACAGTATGATTCAATGCTAGATTATAATGTTGATGCTACAGTGGTTGTCTTGCAAGTTTCGTTTCTGCCAACAATACCATCAATTACCCAAATTTCATTAATTATCATTCATTCATTATTTGGAAAGTCTAATAAAATCCATTCGGATTAACAAATTATTATATGAACGTCTATACCTTTAGCTATTGTAAGAGGTTTTGTCACATCTTCTGTTGTTAACATTGTTACAGGTGTAGAACTAGCTCCAGAAACATTAGCTAACAAAGATTGACCTGTAAGTATTAAATTAATATCAGCATCTGACATGCCCCGTCACTTTTACAGCTCTCCACTCCTACCTTATCGGACTAATGAGCGTCGGACGGACATAAACTTAGGGGCAATGCACGCCAGACCAATGACCGTAGGAGCAATGAACTCGAGACCAATAAACGTAGGACCAATGAGCTGTTCAAAGACCAATAAGCGTGGGGACAATGAGCTGGAGACCAATAAACGCCGGGGCAATGAGTCCCAGACCAATAAACGTGGGATCAATGAGCTGTGCAAAGACCAATAAGTACAGAAGAAAGCTAAAGATCAATAAGCGTCAGAGCAATGAGCTGAAGACCAATATAAGCGTCTGACCAATGATCATCCGATCAAAGGGCGTCGGACCAATTACCGGACCCAACACAATACATCTTGTAAATTTGACTTAAAACCACGTACCATTACTGATTATTTCCTCGATGTTTTTTCCTTGGAGATGTTTTATTACCATACTGACTCTATCTGAATCACAGTCAACGCCAACACTGCCTAGAATTGTTTGTATATTCTCTTCTGTTGGAGATTCTTTACCCCCCAGTACAGATAAAACATAGGCCGCTAAATATCGCATTTTGATAATAATTTTTCACTGAAAAAGAAAAGGTCCGTACGTTTCTGTCTCAAAGTTTGTCTTAGAAGGGGCTAAAAGGCAAATAGTACCTGGTCGTTGAAATGGTACGAAAAGGCCAGTTTCACTTTCAACAGTACTATTCATGCTGATAATTAAATGATTGTGGCTAATCGTTTACTTGTAGGGCCACATCAAATACGAATCGATGAATTATTGGACTGGTGATCATTAGAATGGGGTATATTTCCCATACGACTATCAAAGTTAACTTAATGAACCCGATCATGCAGCTAGGCTACCTTCGACGATGTCACTGCTAAAACATTTCTCCAAACCGAAATAAACCAGGGAATCTGTTATGAATGAATTGAATTGTTTAAACGAATTCATGTAAATAGATTTATGCACATCGATCTCTGTTTGTAAACCGACTAGAATGGAAATATAGAGATTTGCGAATTATAGTAACCGTTAAGATCCCCTAAAAGATTATCATTGTCAGTCTGTATTAACAATATATATGCAAAGAAACATACCTTATCTGTGACGACTAGCATCAAAACAAAGGGTTCTGTTCATTTATTTATATACTATTGATGGGAATAACCATGGAATTGCAACTAGACGTTGAAATCGATTTGTTTCAAGGTGATTACGCAAGAAAATTTGGCTTTGAATAGAACGTGACGACAGTATAATCCTGGAGTGGCCTCCCTTGGCATGGATTGCGTTTACTGTGAACCGATTGCCAATAGAGACTTTTGGCAAGCGTAAATTTCTGGTCCGTATCGCGTATCCGTATGGATTTTGCGTGTGACGTCATCAATGTGTGTGTATTTCTCATACGTGATACGGCACACGGATACGGCAGAACGTATCGAACAGCTTTCATACGGAAAGGGTCCGTATAACATTGTCGTGTCTTTTTACCGTCTTTTTTCTACTTTTAGACGCTGAAATGTTGTATGATAGCGTTATTATGAATCTTTGTGTATTCTAGAACACGAAGGTGTATATTTGATGTGATTTTAACCATGATGGTTGATTTACGTGCAAAATTAGGGAGGCTGAACCTTGCAAATCTCAAAAAGATTTTATTCTGTGGTAAAGGGGTAAAAACTTTCTGAAATGATACATTAGTGAAACCAAAAATTACAGTCGAGTCGAAGATTTTTAATAAGATTCGACATTTATTTTGTTTGATAGCTCGGCGACTGCCGAGCGACTTCATTCCCTCCGGGAAATTGTAGACTATAATAGGCACTTGACTAGTACTGATTGTGATCTTGGTAGATATCTGCCACTATGCTGTTATAATAGAACTAAGCTCAGCTCATCGACGCATACGTACGCGACGCAAAAATCTGCCAAAACTCTAAAACTACTTTGACGCAACGTATCACGTATACGATACGGATACGTGATACGGATGGGAAAATTCCGCTTGCCAAAAGTCTCTATTGGCGCAACTTAAACACGTACGAACACATACACGATTTCCCTGTCAGATACCACCACCCCCAACACAGCATCACTGACAGGGGAAAACCCATCCGGGGTGATCGTTCTCGTATGCATTGCAAATACTATTTATTTAGTTATAATGTCGACACACCGTGGAAGTATATTTTGGTCACCCCGGTTGGACTGTTGGTCAATCCCGCCATCAAAGGAAATTTTAATGAGGAATGAGGTGTGGGGGGGGGGGGGTATTCAATTTCAACCATACTATAGACCCATCCCTGTAGACTATTAAATCAGACTTCAATCAATATTGATGTTATCATTTTGCCGTGAAACTATATAGAGGATCCTAATATTTAAGGCACAGTTAACATTTTATAATCAGTACGCAAGTCGTGTACCCTTTGGTTGCGGGTGCCATCTTGTAATGAACAAATAATAATTTTAAAAACGTGTTATAGAATGCACTAATTGAGCTGGCGGAAACGAGTGCTGTTCAATTTGAACTGTTCACGTATTTAACCGAACATAATTGATTAGAAATTACAATATTTGTTTTCAAAAATTGAATATAAATTACTTTGTAGTTTACATACATTCATATTACATATGTGCATTTACAAACTATTTTTGTCTATTTCAAGGTTCCAAAAATAGGGCCATACGCCCTTTAAATACATGTTATACCTTGATATATTATAGTAATACATGATATTTATTTTATTATATTTTTATACATTTCTTATACATTAATATTATAGTAATCTGTGAAATTTGTTATAAATTGATATACTAGTAATCTGTCATATTTGTTATAATATGCTGTAAATAAATATAAACAACAACAAAAAATTGTCGGTTTTGTATAAATCGCCATATATTTGTTTTAATAAAGTCCGGTTGGTGAAGCCGTTCAATAAAACCACCATTTCATTCATCCATGCATTTATTCCCACAAAGCGACCTGGTATAGCATGTTGTACTATAATACCATAGTTCCCTGCTGATCGTATAATGAGCAATACAAGGTAATAGACTGATATAAATCTTTTAATGAACATAAAACCTGACAAAGGCTGATTAGTCAACGCAATAGAAGGCAAATTGTCGGAAAGCTTAGATAGATCTATCTCAGCCATATGTCGTTGTTTAATCATTTAATTCTTATAATCTTATTTTGTTTATGGGTGGGACTACAGTTTATATAATGAGCAATCAGTGCTATTATTGCAGTAGACAGATAGTTATCCATGAAGTCATTTATATTACCACTATTATTATTAACTCTTCATTTGTAATGAGAGTTGGTATTGAGAGCACTGCCCTATAATGTGTCTGTGTTTTATGCAGGTTTCCAGTTGTATTATTAAGTGACTGTCTTGGACAAATGTCATTTGATGGGAACACTGCCAGTGATATAACCCGCAATAGAAACAGACGTTAAACTCTAGACAGTTATATTAGCAATATCCGTGTGATTGTACCGCGTATATATATATGTATTAAGCAAAACTAGAAGTGTAAGTCATTCACCGTCACCTATAGCGACCATTACATGACTATATGTTATATATTATCATTATTTATGAGGTATTACTAAAGATATCCACACCTATTGAAAGCAGCTCAGGGGATTAACATAAAACTTTCAGTAAGTAGAAATATTTCAATTCAAGTAATAATTTCAATGATATGGTTTTAATTTTAGTAATACTATCAATACATCACACATCATATAGTATATGTATCTTTTTATATCTGAATATATGATCAGACTAAGGATTATAACGTGTAATATAACTGGGGGGAGGGGGTGGGTGGTGTTGCTATGTAAATGCATATAGATCTACTACAAATGTTATAATATTTATTTACCATCGTCAGAATGTCGCTGTGCCTTTCATAGTGGTTTCAATTTAACTGATTGAGCATTGAGTTATGCAAGGTGTGTTGACTAAACAAAACCACACTACCGCCTTAGGGAGCATGTTCAAAAAGTAGACCCTAAGTATTTTTTGTCAGGGCACTGATGAATTCGAATTGCATGAATTTTTCCCAGTACCTCCTTAACGAACAATACCCACAAGCTCTTGAAATTGACGAATATTTCATCGAGCCTTACACATGCGATCATATTACGAACATAAGTGTTTGTTTCTGAGAGTGCATAGCCAGTGATAGATGAGTATTCTCTATTACATATCATAATAAATCGTTAAAGTGGCAATACAATTACCACGTTTGCCAGGTTTGTTTCAAGAGAGAGAGAGAGAGAGAGTTTAACGTTCACTCAACACATACTAGGTAATTTCGGGACTAACACATTTTTCAATTTTATTTCAATAATTCGCTTGCGCGTAGGGGTCTTTAGCAACGAGAGGAAACCGGAGAACCCGGAGAAAACCCCGAGGTTGGACAGGCGACCCTACTCCTTGTCACGTACAACCGGGGAATCGAAACCACGCCAGTTGACTTAATGACAAACCGTATCATACAGCGCGCACGTGCCATCCAACCCCCGGTTTGTTTCAAAATGACGGAATTACTGTATTGACGAGACATTAAACCCCCATCACATTCCTGTCTCTACACGACGCTAAAACTCAGTTTTAAAGGAGGCAAGTCTTTAAAGGAGCTCTAACTCAATATTTTCCATAATATTCGAAATTAGAATTCAATATTGATCTATTTCAGTCAATGTTGATGTTGTTATCTAATATCCAATATTTTAAGACCCACTTAACTTTTTATAATCAGTACGCGAGTTGTGTACCCTATGATTTCGGGTTCCATTTTGTAATGAACAAATTAAGACATATCCTACAACACAATGTGGCAGTAATTAGGAGAGGCTGATTCACAAACGACAAAATAATAATTTTAAAAATGTGTCGAATGCACTAAGCACGTATTTCACCGAACATAATTGATTAGAAATTACAATATTTTTTTTCAAAAATTGAATATAAACTTTACATTCATATTACAATAAAATGTGCTTTTAGAACCATTTTTGTCTATTTCAAGGTTCCAAAAATAGAGCTGTACGCCCTTAAAGTCAATATCATACACAATCTGCAACATTGCAAACACGACTTATTGGTCAATTTATATCAACATGGATGTTGTTATCTTACCGTGAAAAGATGGGCTTCTGATACCCAATGTTTAAGACAAAATTAAACAAAAATAAATTTGGCACACGAATCGCATGCCAGAATGCTTTCGAGTGCCAATGCTACCTGTGTAGACTGGAATAACAAGACGCCAAAGACTGTCATTCATAATTGATTAGAAATTACAGTAAAACAGACACGACTGAATGTAAATCAGTTTATATACATTCATATTACACCTACATTATCATATGTGTTACGACCCGTTTGTGTCCATCTTTAGGTGCCAGAAAAAAAGAGATTTAGTCCCTTTACCCCCCCCCCCCAACTATCCACACGCAGTTATGAACCATTAAACTGCACTGTAAAAATTTAATTGTTAAAATAATAGCTCTCTGTCTTGGTCGATTTCTGAATAAAACTGCTTAATACTCTTACTGCATATTATCTCTTGTGTAGCACTGGGTCTTTAATCTCCACGTTGTTTTCTCTTCCGTGACTAAGTTACAACTACAACTCCGGTTGTTTTCCTAAATATTTTATTACAATAAACTGGAAGCGTTAGTCACAAATCTTCCTCGTACGTATATGGCTGATACGACAGCGGTGTGACCGATTCCATGTCATTTCGGTCCCGGGTCATTTCGGACTCCCAAAAATATGGCCTCGACAAGTTAAAGATACATTATGTAAGATTTAGATAAAGGGCTAGCCATTCTTGCTAAAATAGATAATGTAAAATGAATAATTTGAAAATTTCATTTAAATTACTCTATTGCGAGCGAAGATATTGGCCGTTGTAGGTTTGACAAGACGTGTGCAATAATTTCAACCACCGTATTGGTTGTTCGAAGCTAAGTCTTGCTCCTCCATTTTTAGCTTAAATCAAAATATGGCTGAACTGTTCTAATCTATTTAACATCGGTGAAATCCGTCGCCATCGAGAGATGATTATGGCCTAGATGAGTTAATTAATGTCTAATTAATAATTTAGAAAACATTTCAGGCCTAAAAACAGACCTGCAATAGGCAGATTTAGCTCTTGCATAATGTATGTTTAATAGAATGATAGAACACTGACGTCAATTCACTTTATAATCTATTCTATTTAGAAAAAAAATAACATAGCATAAAACGATAACAACGATTTATAACAACGGGCATATTCATTTGATGAAATGATAACCTCAGTCGGACTTTGATTTATTTTATAAAACATACATTTATTTTATCAAACATAAATTATCATTGTGAATAATCTTTCTTCGGTCTCACCTAAAACGAAAGAAAATACAATTATTACTAAGTCTTTTATCGAGTCCGAAACCGAGTGCGTAGGGTCTCTAAGGGATAAATAAAAGAAAACTAACAATGTTTAATTTCTTTTTTATTGTGAATGATCTGTCTTCAGCCTCACCTAAAACGAAATAAAATACAGTTATTACTAATATATACATACAGTCTTTCAACTTTTATTCAGTCCGAAACCGAGTCAGAAAAGTGGCCAAGTAAGTCCGAAAACTCGTCAAACTGAGTCCGAAACGATGTTTGTGTTGAGTACAATGCCAAAATAGAAGGAAAAAATCCCCAAATAATTAATATATGTATGAATATATCAAAATACGCGGCAGTTTTTTAAAGCTCAATTTAGTAACTTCTATGCGTTCAGGAATGAAACAGGAACTCCTCAATAGAGTTGCGTGTGAAATTGACCTGATGGACACGATCGATTTTGACATAATCGCCGATCGGTGGTCAAATTTGACTAAGCGGAAATGGCATTTCCGGGACTCTAGGTTCAAAAATTTCTCAGGAGGAGTAGCCCTACAGAGCTCACATCTGTGTTATTCGGCTCGTGGCTGCGTTACTCGTATTAGGGGCCTTTGCACCAGTCGGTCTCATTTTTGCTAACACCTCCGCCCCCTCCCAAACATAATCGATATGTACGCCCCTGAACCTGAGCAACTATTAGCGTTTACAGTTTTATTATTTCTTCCATTCAAGCGTTTGAATCTTGTCAACACCGCAGACAACGTACTTATTTTATTCATTTTTATTCAGATTGTAATAAAATGTCCCTTTCATTTCCTGTGATGAATGGGAGGGGACATATGAGACATGTCAAACCGAAATCAACCACAAACGCCGGTAATTTGGAGTGGAAAATCGTTTAAGGTATATATTGTGGTGGAAGCGTATCTCATGTTAGCCAAATTTAATTTGCGATTTTAATTGTGTTGTTGTTTATTATTTTAGGTCACCATGACAACAATTGTATCTGATCACAGAAAAAAACACAGAAATCAAAGGTAAACATTGCCAATTACCTTAAAGGTTTTAGCTCTTACGGAACAACACGACTCAAATATGTGAACGGTGTAGGTCTTTGTTTGGTATAGTTTTTTTTTTACTTTGAAGCTGACGTAAGATTCGATTTGGTTTGCCTTATCGATTTACTTTATCTTATCAGTCCGTTTCTTCATTATCCCAGTTCGTAGAGTGAAGTCAGAAATGGGCTAATGAAGACGGGCATACGCCACACAGTGTGCTATGAGGGAGATTATGCCCGGACAGCGGCGATATGGGATTCTTATATCGAATTCCAGCTGTCAAGGGATCTTTTACGTGCACGGCAATGTGTACACTGGACCTCCGTTTGTCGTCCCATCCGAACTACTAGACAGCTGTCCTGCACCACTGACAAGGGAAAATCACGCCGGAATATCACGATGAACTTTCTCGGCCAACACCGGGAGCGAACCCGTAAATTCCAGGCTAGCGAGCCAGCGTCTTACTCACTGAGCCACATTGCTCCCCCACTGAAGCAAGACGTTAAACCTTATTTCACTTATCTTGACTAAGAAAGTAGGCACAATGTTTCAGACGCGTCAAATTATCGCACGTAAAAGATCCCTGGGATTGAATAAAGAGATTTCCGAAATGCCGCTGTCTGGGCAAAAAATTTCATCCACATCTCCACATCATAAAAATTGCTTAAACTGTATCCGCTTTCTTTACTAAAATGAATGTGCCATGAAGTTTCTTCTACACGAAAAAAAAAAGATAATAGGGATTTTTTAGAATATGCCTAAAAACGAATTAAAATTAAAACTTACATATCCTTGTCTAAACAGAGGTTTGTTGCTTTAGTTAATTTTAAAATATGATATTACACTTTAAATCTATACGGAAACAGGTTAATGGGGAAGCAAGGTGCCGTCAATCATAAAATACATAGTCAATGGTGTTATTGTATTAATATCGATACAGTATTGAATAATGTGAACGTCTACTTTAGATAATATTGATAGAACATTTAATGCATGAATGGGTATTATTGAATAAACATTTTGACATTACGACTTGCGTTCGGAAAGCTTAATTGAATCTCTTATTACAGAAAACTAATGAAATCCACTTCAAAAATTGAATTTGGTGGTCTGTTATAAGCTAGGAAACAAATTATACGTCACAACCAATAAGTACAAATACACACGCTATATTATATAACAATGAAGTTTAGTCCCCCTTTGAAAGAATTATGAGACAATAGGTTATAGGGTTTTAAAGGGGAATTGCTGGATTTCTGAATTTGATATTATGTCATTTTTGTTTTCTGCTCTACATGGAGAATAAATATTAATGATTAATATTATGCATATCGCCTTATCATATAAATATCAGCTATTTCAAATAATTAATTAATGTAAACTAAATATTGCCTGGATATTTGGGGCTATATTTACGCGTGTTAAATAGAACTACCTCAAGCATAAAGATTTGGTAACGTTGTTTCGATTATCAAACAATGGGTCTTACTAAATCTCCCATAACGTCAGCTTTTGTCTCCATGTCAAATTGAATTATAAAACACAGCCGCAAGGTAAAAAAGATATCTGTAATTTTTACTTCTTCATTCCAATTTTAAACCAGCTGTCTGCCCTTGATAGACGTCTTTAGATATTATAATGCATAGAATGATTCGATAGCCAGACAATATGTTATTAAAATACATTGGTTTGTATGATATAATATTTTTTATAGTCAATAGTAGTATACAAACAATTCTGAAAACTAAAATATAATGTTTTTTATTCAATCACAAAAATATACTATATATAAATATAGTGTATATGCTAATTAGTTAATTGTGTAATTTTACACATTTACAGTAGTGTATAACAGATTGACATTATAAATCTGCCGGTCAATTAACCTCAAATAATCGACTACTTCACGGCTCCTTTCACTGATATACTCCAAGGTTGTTCATTCATTTTTTAAAGTATGTGTATATATTATTAAGATTTATTATTCAATTCAATATTGCTTCGAATTAATTTACGACTTTGACTGTTTTATTAGGCACAATATATATCTTTGTCTGTCTTGTCTTGTATTGGGTACGATAGATCTTTGTTTTCCTGGTATGTAATATATACTTTATTTACTGATATACATAAGTATGTGTATATATTATTAAGATTTACTATTCAATTCAATATTGCTTCGAATTAAGTTACGACTTTGACAGTTTTATTAGGCACGACGCATACATCTTTGCCCGTCTTGTCTTGTATTGGGTACGATATATATTTGTTTTCCTGGTATGTATATATTTTATTTAATGATATACATAAGTATTTACATGAAACTACTTATTCTGTCCATTTTATGATTTATATTAAAAATATCAACACCGTGTGCCAGAAACACACACGTTCAGAAGTTGTTTCTTGGTAATATGATTGACATATTAAACGAAGGAAATTGAAAGAATATTACATAGTTCAAACGCTGAAAATTAATGAAAAATGTCATTATTCTTCCATTCATTATACTTTTACAATCATTACAAAAAACAACAACAATGCTGTAAAGTGAGAAATACCCATAAATATCAGTGCACACGGCCTCCATGTAACACTACATGAACTTTTTTTCAGAGAAACGGGGATTATGAATGGGAATTGTTAACACGAACAGCTAAAGGAATGCATTCATGTAACAACATGAACGATTTTCAAAGAAACAGCATCATAGCGAATTGTGAATACGAATAACTAAAGAAACGCGATGCTTTGGGATCATTTTGAATAACACAAGTTCACATTTGATTGATTGTTTAGATCTCTTTTTAGAATCGCAATTAAGTGCCAATAATTAGAAAAGTATGGCCATGATATTAAAATTACCTGTTATCCTTTTGTTGCTTTGTTTAAAAGTGTTTATTTTTCGACAACGGTTCACAATACAAGTGTTTTAATCTGAAAAACTAATTATTATTGACGCTCAGTTTTAAAACGTTCTTTGCTTCTCACTATGTCAACTGTGTATTCCCGTCAGTGCTGTCATTCCAAGTAAAACAATGTAATGTTAGTACTCAATTAAAAGACGGGAAATAGGACAATTTGTTCCGATTAATCTATGTCTAATTATTTACATAAGATTAAGTAGAAATCAATGTATTAATAAGATGTACTTCCTCTACATAATGTTAAATGTCCATACGAGTATTGATTACTACTCAGTAACTTGATACATAGGTTACTATACTAAATCCACTGGACGTATGAATTATCTCTTAGATTATCAAATGTCAGATCTGTGCCAGTAACTATTATATCATAATTTAACCCAATTTGTATTAATCTATAAATTTTAGCTTTCTTTGTTTCTTATAACCATTTGGGCTTTCGTAAAACGATTTATGATTAACAACCATACGGGTTTCGATTCAGCAACGAATTTAAACTGTAGCAAATGTCCAACAAGTTTCTTTTACTAAAACATTATTTTACACAATCTCTAATAACATTCTGAATATCCTTGTGTTGCTTAATTTTATAAACCCCTTTTACTCAATCTAACAATCGTCTTTAACCATTTTAACCAGATGGTACTTCATCTGGCAAACACTTGCTGAATTTAATGAACATTCTACTACCAAATCTAATAGCTTTTCTGTGACTCAAGCTACAAAATACTGTTACTCAGTCCAACAAACATTCTGTTACCCAATGCAACAAACTTTTAGTTTAACAATGTGACAAACATTCTATTTATCAATAGCCGCTTTAATTACTTCCTGTACATAATCACTATCTGAATCTTCCAAACGTCTGTGAATTATCTATTTGAAAATAAAACTGATTAGCAGAAAATAACTCTGAATGTATGTATACACCCCACCCTCACCCATTTCTCATTTCTCTTATCTCTTTTCTTTATATTATATTATAATAGTAAGTGCATGAGGATGATCTATTCCAACACGCCAGTCAGATATTTCTATTCCCGAAGTCTGAATGGAGAGAGTTTTATTCATTATGGTCGACGATAATTATATAATTATATAGAACCAATACAGGTTTTTACTAGAAATGTACCGAGACTTAACTGGATCTTTTATATATTCACTATTGATATAAATGTGGTCATATTGTTAGATAACTGATATATTTCTAAAGAACTGATGTAAACCCTTCCTTACACAAACAGTTCTTATAATCTCACTGTTTTTATTTCGTATTGATCATCATAAAATCAGCATGAAACTCATGTTAAAATCTAGGAAAATATTGACCAATATGAAACTGAATAATGGCTTTTATTTTTTTCCGTGTTTTTATTTTATCGTTAAAATTTAAGTCTTGTTACCGATTGAATTTTTTTATCGTTAATTATAGTCGGCTAAAAATATCGATTATCGAAAGTGTAAAGCAGAGATAAGTGCTGCACTAGGGCAATAGTTAAATATCATTTTATTTCTTATTAAATGGGTTTCTGAGCCGTTATCTATCTCTTGATAGTTTAACGTCTGCTTCCACGTTTTCTGAACCTCAACTTCTTCTTTTACCTAGGTTACAGGTCGGAAGAGCGAGTGGGACGTGTTTCTTTTTCGCCTGCGTTGCTTGGTTAAAGACGCAATCATGCCTTTTTCTGAACCTCAACCATTATAGCCTACTGCAAGGCCGGCTTTACCAATAGGCATAGTGGGCCATTAGCCTAGGACCCGCGGGTATCTGGGGGTCCGCTGAAACTAATTTCAGCACATTGGATACAGAATCATCTAGGGGCCAACTGACGAGTTTGACCTATGGCCCACAAGTATGTAAATCCGGCCCTCCCCCGCGTACGAACATTGAAAAAATACAAATCCGGCCTTGTTAAGAGCATGCACCCAAAAAACCCATACAAATAATGTTTATTTAAACGCAGTCATAATTGTTTGATGTATTTAGTTTGCAAGCTATCTGGATAGAAATGAATTTGTTAATTTGATAATAAGGGTGGACGACCCCTTAGTTTGTGTTTCAATGTATATTGTCTTTAATGTTTTGTGTTTGATGTTGCTTTCCCAATCAATCATTGCTAACTATCCTATCTGAATTAATTGGAGAGTTTCAAGTCTGCCAGAGAGTGATAATTACCTACCCCGGGTCATTCCTGTCCCATTACCTAAGAGTATGCATATACTACCGTTCTATTATATATACTGATTGGGCCACTTAGCATCGAATCAATCAAATGTTAATATTTGTGTAGAGATGGTCTATACTTTGAATCCATATTGACTAGAAGCCTTTTCAAACACAATGCTTTTCTCTAACCATTTATGCCCGGAACAAAGATCTATTCTTGAACTTCCCTCAAACATATAGCTAAAGTTCTGCTTTACCAAAATCACGGAACTCCTTTAGAACATTTAGAAAAGTAGCCGAGAGGGAGAGGTGTTCCATTCTCGAAGATGTTAGAGATTAAATTTTTAAGACCCTAGCAAATCCCAGCCGCTGCTTCATGTTGCCCCAAATAAAAAATAAAAATTCTAAATCGACAATTCAGTGATGTGATACAGAATTCAAATGAATAGAAACCACACTTGCCTCTGTCCCGGTAGGACTTTTATATTATGGTGTATAGTTTTTGTATCTTTTAATGTTTGTTATTATGGCCAATTACAGAGTAGGAAATTCTATATTATGGTGTAATTTTGTGTATCTTTTCATGTTGTTATTATGATCAATTATAAAGTAATGGGAAAGCTAATATTTGTATTTAATCAATAAAACAGAACAAAGAGGTGGTGTAAATATTTATACTAGAAAATCAAATGTCTCTATTAGAATCTTTTACAGGAAGGGTTTTCAGACAAAAAGGACGAAACGGATAATTGTTACGAACACGGTTTTTAACTTTTAAAGTCAGTCTCTAACTGATATTGGAGTATGGTTTATCCCAAACTATTTGTATCAAATTAGATTGTTTGTATTAAATTAAATTGTTTGTATCAGTTGGCTTTAAAAAAAGAAAAAAAAGAAAATTAAATTGTATCAGATTATGTTTTGTCATAGGGTATTGTTTGTACGAAAGTGTATTGTGCCAGAATGGTTTGCATCAAATTGTACCGTTTGTGCCATAGTGTACTGTTTGTATCAAACTGTATTGTTTATAATTTTCAGTATTATTTGTATTAAATAATATTGTTTGTATTAATATATTGTATTGTTTGTATTAATATATTGTATTGTTTGTAGTAATAAACTGTATTGTTTGTAGTAATATATTGTATTGTTTGTATTAATATATTGTATTGTTTGTAGTAATAAACTGTATCGTTTGTACGAAACAGTATTCAAAATGTTATATATTTATATCAGCAGGTTTGATAATGATGTAGAATGGAGGAATATGAACAGACCAATACAAACAGTGTATGATGTATCAAACACCACTACACAACTTATCTTACTTAATAATAGATGTGGCAAGGTACGTTTGTTAGTAAGGGGTGGGGTGAGAAGGGGATGGGATGTGGGGGGAGGGGGCTCCATTTCGTGAGTTTCTTGGATATAAGTGTAGAGAGTTTGATTCTAAACTTTGAAGTGACAAGGAACGAGGTGACCTACCTAATCTATGGGTTTCCTTCATTTTCACCGTTTCCTCGCAGTCCCGCATTGTTTTATCCCGTCTGTTGTAAGTCGTTGTATATGTTAAATCTTTATTTTCGTATAGTAAAATAAATTGTTATGCTGCCTTTAAGTAGTGACGGGTGCCGTACACACTGTTCGGTATGCGTGCTACCATTATACAACTTCTCCGTTACCTAACAAACTGTTGTATCCAGAATAATATGCATGTACATGTATGAGACATATTTGGAGCCGCGGTGGCTGAGTGAGCTGACCTGAAGAATCTATGTTGGCCAAGGAAGTTCATCGGGATTTACCGGCGTGATTCCCCCCTTGTCAGTGGTGCAGGACAGGGCGTTCGGGTGTGACGAAAGAACCCCTGGCAGTTGGAATTCGTTATAAGAGTAGGCCGTAGCGCTGCTGTCATGGTACACTGTATGGTGTATGCCCGTCTTTATTAGCCCAGCCGAAGAAAAATAGTGGGACGTTAAAATCCCATTTCATTTCATGAGACTTATTTGATAAATAACATCCAATTATAACGATACACCTAGCAGATCAGGTTTCAGGTGTGTATTTATCCTCTACCTGGCGATTATTTATAACTGTAGTCGACCATAACAACCGTTAAATCAAGATCATATAATTATACCCCAGCGGTTGTCAATAGAGTTTAAAATAAACAAATATTACATATTATAATACATTGAAGAACGCAGGAAGTGTTTTATAGTTATATATATTTTATAAATAATGTTGACGAAGAGAAGAGAAAGTAGGGTAGGTGTTTTAGAAATAACAAGATAATTATGTAGGGACCTGAAATCACTTTGCAATGGCAGTTTTCGTAAGAATTGTCGCGATTTAGTCTCTGTCCTTGTACGTATGAGAAAAATAGGCTGCTAATAGACTGTGGTATATTTCAACGGGGACGTTTACCTTCATTTGTATGATAATTTATATTATTGTAGGTTATATAATAAGTAGGGTGGGGTATCCAGAGAAGATTTACATGGTTAAACAGACGACAATGCTCTTTGTCAAAACATTGCATACATATAAAGGCCTTGTATATATAATCTACAGCGCATACGACAGAACACTCGATCATCCAACCACCACGTAAAAAGTAATGCTAAGTAATAGAAATGCTAAAAAGGAAAACTAAATTTTTTCAGAACTTATCAGCATGGTTTTACTATAAATTTATTTCTCTACCTCCTTACATGAATCTCAATTCATAATAGACGTACAGTTTTTTATAGTCAGCACTAAATGAAAATGTTCATTCTAAAACAGATATTAAAGTTAACAGCTGCGGTATACACATTTGAGAATTCTGGGAAAATTTTGGGGGTGAGGGGAACCGAATGATCTAGCAAGTGCGCTTTAGATCATAAGGGCTGTCATTGAGTCAAGTTGTTGTGGTTTAGATTCCTAACTTGTACGTCACATGGCGTCGGGTCGCCCCCACTCTCTCTCTCTCTCTCTTTCGCTCCCTCGTCAGTAAATAAGCAAGCATTCCACAATGAATATTATGATTATTTTTATTTTTCAGTATGACAATCGTCTTCGTGGCCAATCTGCAAAATCAAGATCAATAGTGTAGGTATTTTCGTTTGCTTGTCAACTGGGTTACTAGATCAAATTTATTACATAAGAAATAACGCCGGGTGTCGTAATCTTACAATATATACTTTAATCCTTCAGCGATTATATATTTTCTACCTACAAGTATATATAATCCCAAATATCCAGTCGCTTTCTGGATGCATATACTAGCTCACAGAAATAAACTGTTAAAGAAGGAAACAATCCACATGACTCGTTCTGCGTTTCCAATGAATTAACGGTGTTGATTTAATCTTGGAAAAGGCTACTCACTAACAGAGGTCTTGGTTCCCGGGGCGGAAGCAGTGTACGGAGTGGGATGGAGGTATCTGTTCCATCCCAATTGTATCTGCATAGACACATAGTAACTTTTTAAAGTCTACCCGTTCCTCGCCTAGGCCAACAGCGCCCCCCCCCCCCCACACACACACCATCCGACCCCCCCCCCCCCCCACACACACACCTCCCCCACACCACCGCATCAAAGAACCCGAACGAACACCCAACCAAAACCACCCCCTTCAACCCTCTCTTTATAATTCTTATATCAATAACCTGATTTATGCACGATACTTTAAACATACATTATGCAAGAGCTAAATCTGCCTATTGCATGTCTTTGTTTAGGTCTGAAATCTTATCTAAATTGTTAATTAGACATTAATTAACTTATCCAGACCATAATCAACTCTCGATGTCATCGCTTGCCTTCGATATTTACTCGATTAGAATCCAATCTGCTGCTCAGCGCACATTGATGATTAAATCAAAAAATAGATAAACGAGACTATGTTTTTTTTTTATCGTACCGTCTTTAGTAATGATGATCGAGGTTAGGCCTAAAATTCAATCGCTAAATTATCGGTTCAGAGTGGATCAATTTGACTGAAGATTTCAGCAAATTCCCTTTACATTATCTAGTTTTTAACTATTATAGTGAGAACTGCCAGCTCTTTATCTAATCTCCAATAATGCATCTTTAACGATTTTTAGAATCATTTAACATTCGATTTGATGTGTACATACTTAATGCAGCTCTTATCTCTTAAATATACTGATAAAACTATTGAGAAAGTATTGATAAACATGCCAATCAACATGCCAAGTCAAGTTGCCAAAGTAGCAGCTGAAGATTCGATTTAAAAAACACAAATATAAATCGATCAGGTTCTAGGTAAAAGTTCTGATAAAAATTAAAGCGAGTTTACCTCCAAGATGTAAATGTAGACATATATATTATTGTTGACCCTATTACTAGACTTCATTCCTGGTTTGTAAAGCAGTCTTATATCTTATCTCGGAACACATTAGTTACGTTTCTATGCAAAAAATTGGTAATGCAAAATCCCTGGACAGCAGGAAGACACCCCGTTGTTTGTACAATTATCACCTTCAATTATCTCTTTCGCATTGCACACGTTACCCTTGAAATATAAATTATCGTATATTGATTTCAATATGACCCAATCAAGGCTATTCCATTATACGCCAAGGCTAAATAAAGTATAACTACTATAACCAGTGGCACATTTAGCGAGAAAGGTGCAGGAATTGACCTTACCCCCTCCCTTTTGAGACTTCCAAAGACATAGCCAAAATCAAAATATGCTTTCGTACGGGGTTTTTGTTTGCGATATCAGTTAGGTGGAAGCGGACGTAAAACTTCTACTTCGTCATACTGGGTGATTCTCCTTTAAATGTTCTTGAGCAGGGTTCTGGTTACCCCCCCCCCCCCCCCCCATCACCACCACCACCACACACGACGCCCCGCCTCTCTTCTTTTCCCCCCAAACTCTTTCGAAAATCCTTTTTGGTCACTAAGCAGTTATAAAGATGTCAATAAGGACCGACTCTATCTTTACATGTAATGATCTTGTAATTTTATTTGAGAAACTGTAAAAGATGTTTCTATTCAATTGGAAATTGATTTAATTTAATTTTCTATATACTCGTTTTTTTCAATTCACATCTTTGACTTTAAATAGAGCTTTTTTATTATTTTACGTCAATATTTGACAACCTTTTCACTTCAGGCTTCCAGATCCAATCCGCCATTTTTCAACGGGTGAGTGAAACTACATTCAAATCAATATAAAAAAGACCTATTGTATTTCTTTTCAGAAAAGAAATATTTAAGGGTTTTTTTTCAGAATTCTGTAAAAGTTGTTTATTGTTAGTAATCATAATTTGAAAAATGGCTATTTGTTTTAATGGTAATATTAAGACAACTTCCTGCTTCTATTCTGATTTTCTGGATGTAAATCGCACATGTTCTAAAAAAAAATGTATTGTAAATGAGGACATTAGCAGGAACCACCATTCTGTCACCTCCCTCCCACCCCATCGTAACACCACACCCATGCCACACACAAAAACGAAACAAGCAAGAACAAAAAAGGAAAACAATTCAGAATTTTATAGAGTTAGATGACGCTTTGCGTAGTGTTTTTCACTGGGGCCAAGTAATTCTTCAAGATTTTCGCGGTTCGCACCATTCAGCAATATATTTCAACACTTTTCCTGCCTTGGTCCCCTCTTGTTCAAATACGTTTCAATTGTTTATCTTCATTTTATTTTCTCATATAACGAAAAATAATAAATGACAAAATATATTAAAATCGTTTCTCGTTCGGTGAATGTTTTTCCTACGAAAGCGTTCAGCGATGAAACTTTAAAATTTGTCAATTCGACGAAACTTGCTTATCTCTGGTCATAAAGACGTTTCAATATAGAAATTCAATATCTTTCTGTAATGCATGGATGGTTGATAACATTATTACATTGGGATTCAGAACAACAATGTAAAAACTTAAGTATTTTATTGATATATCGCAATACACTATATGGAATCAATCTTCTGCATGAAACTACAGATCAATTTTAAATTATATATCTCTGTATTTTATTCAGTGGGTGATTATATCAAAGTAACCCATTAATTATTTAAAGAGGGCTTCTTATTTCATTTCATTATAAAAGTAACCGCTCAACTACACGGCCATTTTCTAGACGTGTTGTCTTATCTGCAATTCACCATTTCGAATGTTTATGTACGGGGTTTCACAATTATCGTTTCTATATGCAATAGTTTAGACTTAAAAGGATATCGAAATACATGCAATTAATGGATTTAGAAATATTAAATAGTGTTTTTGTGACGACGTATTGCTTATTTTAATAGCTTAGAAATTTTAAACACTGATACATATTTAATCAATCGTTTTGTGATATTTGTGTATTAGACATCTGATAAAGAGCAGGTATTGGATTTCGTGCTATGTAGTGTGTAAAACAACTGTTAGCGATATATTTTCATTTTAAATCCATATTTTTTGATTAAGCAAACATTCATTGGATACATGTAAAGAATTTGATATAGCTTGTGTTTCTGTGTAATAAAATACTCCTGAAATAGACTAAATGAACTTGTGTAATAGAATATCTCTGTGATAGCCTAAATGAAATCGTTTTTGCTTTATAAAAGACCCGTGTAATGAACTTGTTCTATTTTACAGAATACCTTAGAAATAGACTAAATGAACTTTCTTGATCTTTTATAGAATTCATCTATGAACTTTGCTTATTTCTTTTTATAGAATACCCCTGTGATAGAAGAGTTCATCAGAAATGTTTCAATGAAGATCCAGAAATGATGAAATCTCATCCCAAAACTGCCTTAGCGTGGACTAATGATACACAACGACCAGCAATGAAGTTCTCAGGTACAGTAATTATTTCACGGACATTGTAGCTATATGTGATCTCTTATGTCAAGTACATAATATAAGGGGTGTGGATTCAAGGAATTCTTTAAAAATGAATGATGAATATTAACTGAAAATCGTACCTTGACACGATAAATCTCTCATTATTGCACGAAAAATATTATTTTTGGCTGAAAATGTCCTTTGTTTGACAAATCGTATCTTCGAATACTTTATTTTGCACACCCGCCTAATGCCGAGGTCGCATTGCTACTGGGTAAACTTGAGCGCGTACAATTCCTCAAGGTCCATATTTCTGTTTTTATAAATACAGCGACTCTTTCTTAATGCAGTGTTAAGAAAGAAATATCATTTTTCAATTAAAGATGCATTATGTAAGATTTAGATAAAGAACTAGCCATTCTTGCTATAATAGTTCGAAAGTAGATGATGTAAAATGAATAATTTGAAAATTTCATTCAAATTACTCTGTGGCAAGCGAAGATATTAGCCTTTGAAGGTTTGACAGACGTGTGCAACCGTACTGGTTGATCGAAGCTAAGTCTCGGTCCTCCATATTTGATTAAATCAAAGTATCGCTGAACCATTCTAATCTATTTAATATCGGAGAAATCTGATGCCATCGAGAGTTGATTAAGGCCTGGATCAGTTAATTAATGTCTAATTAATACTTTAGAAAATATTACAGGCCTAAAGAAAGACCTGCAATAGGCAGATTTAGCTCTTGCATAATAAAAACTGAGAAGATATGTTATTTTTAAATATCCAATCTGTTTCGAGTCACGGTATGGCCACTTTAGCAATATGTCTTGGCGCTTGGTCGATAAAGAAAGATTTTTCGTCTTTGAACGATTAGGTCCAAAAGTACATTGGGGTTATTTGTCAATGGAATTACGAGAGAAATGGTATGGAAAGGCACATGGCGAATTAATACGTGGAAATCGGGAATCAGAGAGAGAGAGAGAGAGGGGGGGGGGGGTTAACGTCCACTCGACACAAACTAGGTCATTTTGGGACTAACATATGGTTCAATTTTATTTCATTAATTCGCTTGCGCGTAGGGTTCTTAAGCAGTGGGAGGAAACCAAAGGACCCGGAGAAAACCGACGAAGTTGGACAGTCGACCATACTCCTTGTCACGTACAACAGGGAAATCGAAACCACGACAGTTGATTCAAATGACAGACCTTATGATACAGCGCGCACGTGCTAACCATTCGGCCATTCAACCTCCCCAATCAGCGATGAAATTCGAACCTGTATACCTCCTTACTGTGCCTATGAACAAAGTAGAATCGTCGATTTGTAAATATTTTGAATACTGCTAAGAAAACGATTATGTAGTTTAATAATTAATTTATTCTTATCTGATCTGATCGATATTCGGTAATTTAATCCTCCGATACTGTGGTAAATAATGCTGTGTTGTAGCTATCTGGTTTTGTTTTATCGGTAAAATGAATTATGTTCAATAGGATAAAGTATTTATTATTGATATTAAGGAGAACTAACAGTCAAGAGCAGTAAAACATCTTATATTTCATTATGTAACTGCTGTTTAATTTCTAATAATGGTAAACTCTTGATTTAAAGATATTTGCCTTTGGAATTATATTTTGATGGCGAATTGGTGCCGATTTTAGTAAGGCACTGGACAACGAAACAGTTTAAACTTTTTCGACGGAGTACACATAATGGTTAGTTTTCATGTGTGGTTGGTGACCAGTGCTTCCATTTTGTGTCTGGTAGGAACATGTCTAGAGTTTATGCGTTAAGAAAGGTAACACAAAGTGGCGTTTATTGGATGACACTGGGGACAATTGTCATTAAATTAAATAAAATTGATTGTTTCTTTAAATGTCGTCATATCTAGATCCAACGTGTATTAAGAAACACTCGATGAAATCAGGGATTGCTCCTTTAATTTATACTTCTTTTATTGATTTTACAGATGATACGGCTGTTAATAACAGACGTCACACGTCCTGTCAACATCACGATCCAATAGATTATAACTTAACACAACCTAGAAGGCGAAAGAAACGAGTTTTATCAGAGAAAGTTTTATCCAAATCGGTTGCCTATTGCCCTGATTTAACGAATGGTGAAAACCTTTATCTATATAATATATCCCGTATATACAGTACAAAAAACCTGCAGACAATAAATCAGAATAAATACGCCACTGTATTAGATAAAGAGGAACGAAGGGGTAATTATTATCTTAGAAAGTTTTATTGTTTGTTGACTTTAGGAAATTAAACTGTTGATATTATAAATTCTAAGATATTGTCATACTAAGTATTTAATGGTTTTATTTATTGTGTCTTTAATCATAGAATTAGCGTGCAGTCTGGGCAAATGTGATTATTATGTTATTGCGTTCGAAAAATTGATATAAACTAAACGGATTCATTTTTGAGCAGTGCAATGCGACTTTGAATACGACTTATAACAATCCTATGATTCGCCCGTTGCATCAAAATTAAAACAAAATAAAAGTAAAACACACAAAAACAACCATTATTTTGACAATGTTCATCAAATATTAGGACTGAAAAGGTTCTTTTTTTTTGGGGGGGGGGGGGGGCTTTAGAATTAAAGTCAACTGTATTGGAAATAAAACTATTGGTTATAGTTAATTCTTTTCTATGTTTTCAGGTTTGTATAATAAGAGAGATATAGACAAATATTGGAAATACTTGAAATCACCTAGACAAACAAACCTTAGTATTGGACGCTCATCTTATTCCCTCACTCCATTAAGACAGAGGAAGAAATCAAAAAAGAAAATTAAACGGTTGGTATGGAGTTCCTTTTATATTTGGTACGGCATTCATGGGTGCGTGCCAAGAAGCAGACACGTGTGGATTTCACCTGTGTTCTTTTTTTCTTCACCCCCTCCCCTAATAAAATAAAAGTTGTTTCCGAGAGGACCTTAAACAGAGGGATTTTATATTCATTTGATCTTAAATGAAGAAATTCGGCAAAATCACGTAAATTCCCATAATTGTGCGTGGCAGCAGGAAAGGGTAAGTATGCCCTATACCCCGCGCAGTAACCAGTTATTACTACTAGGGACTACCGATGGACTCGAAAAGTATATTAAACTTTATTTATTTGTAGAAATGAAGATAATCAGAAAGGTCGAGATAATGACGCCCCGGAAACCAATCATCTGGTCGATGCAAAAGATAATAAACACAATTCCGACGAAACAGAATCAAAAAACCAAGATCCCGATGATCAGCAAAGAGACAAGGACACATGTTCAGATAGCTATAGAAGTACCTCTTCTAGGAGCCGAAGCAGGAGTAGCAGTAGTAGCGGCAGTAGTAGTAGTTCAAGCAGTCGTTCATCTTCTTCCCGAAAACCACGCAAAAATGGAGACAACCGAGCTAGTGACGATGAAGAAAGAGCAAAAGGGGTAGAGGATGGTGACAAACGAGCTAGTGATGTTGAGGATTATAAACCTACACTAGATACACGAGCTAATAATGCTTCAGATGAAGATTCTTCCCGGGGTAAAAACTCGGAATCTCTTCAATCTAACGACAATGACAGGGGCGAGGATTATGATAAAAGAGAAGGTCATGGTAGACCAAAATCAAGATTTGGACGGATAACCGGTAAGTAAATTGAACTATGCTTCACCATTTACTCGATATGGGAGCTGAGCTTAGGGCCTACTATGTTTTCATTTAACTTGTAATTTATTACAAAAGTACAACATTAATTATTAACTATGTTGACATTCCAGACAAATAAGAAGTGGCACTAGGCGTACCCTATCCCATATGACAACTGTTAATATTTATAACTAAATGGAGCGATATTTTGGACTGGTCCTCAAAAGACAACGTTCATTGGTCGAACCCATCTTTATGCTTATCTATAATTTCGTTTTCTTACAGTGATGACCAGAGATAACTCTGATGATGATTATGACACAGATTCCAGTGATTCAACTAATTCTATTAGTGATTCAAGACAGCGAAACAATAGACCTGTCATAGACGGCAAGATCGAAGGGTCCCCGACGAACTCGACAAAAAGTGAACAATTGAAAGATCAAGACAAAACTCTGCAAAATGCAGAACAAAAACCAGATGAAAACACAAAAGAAGAGAACCGGGAGAGGAGTCTTAATGACGTGTCAGAAGCAAATGAACCAAATGCTGAAGATCAGCCTGAGAATATCAGTAAATCTGAAAGTCTTGACCAAAACAATGATGATCCATCGAAACCCACAGAACCACAGACTAACCAATCAATTAATGCAGGAGAAGCCGAGAGGCAAACTCCACCACAAGAGCAACCCATAAACCCAGGTGAATCTTCATCTGTTAAAGAACTTTCAGATCAAAATCCTAAAAGTGCTAGAAATATAAACTTGAAATCAAATACTAAAACAAATGATCAGTTAAAATCCAAAAAGTTTAATCGTAAAAATTCCGAGACAAGTTCGTGGAAATCTTCGTACAGTGCTTCATCCAAATATAAAACACTTTCTTCCACTTCTTCCCGTAGGTCCAACAGCAGCATCTCCTCAACCAGAAGAACAACCAGAGGGGATTCTAAACCAAAAAAGGAGTCTTCAGTGATAAAGGGAAGTAGTTCAGTGGATGATGGAACTAAAACCAAAAATGATACCGCCGAAGAAGTCGCTTCTAAAGTACCTTTCAGGAGTGTTTCAATAGACAGTCATTTATCTAAACGTATGGCAGAAAATGAATCATTTAATGGACCAAGTAATGATGTAGATAAGATAGAGTATTAAAAACTGATTTTCGAATACACATTTTGTACGTGACAAAAGCAATGCTTTGTTTACTTTTTTTCTTTATTGTCGCTTATCCCGAAATTGGCACACAATGTCCTATTGGTGTTATCTTAAATATATTATTTAAAAAGAGGTTAACAATAGACAGCCCATCCCGGAGTTATTCCCCGCGGTTTTTTGACGGATTCTTTTCAAATTTGGTATGCAGTACCGTGGTCATGAGAGGACGATGCCGACGAACCCTATCGATATTAAACGCCCTGCGCCTTGTGAACGCGATATGGACTATATAGTTTTTAATGGATTTCTGTCAAAATTGGTGGGAAGCATTCGCGTCATGAGAGGACCCATAGTTTTTAACAGATAATTTTCAAGTTTGGTTGGAAGTAACGGAGTTATAATGAATACTCCGTAGAGATCAGATTTCTTCAAGGATCCTAATCCTAATCAGCATACAAGTTTTTTTTTCGGATAAGCTGCAGTTGAGACAAAGATGCTGTAATTTTAATTTTAAAAATCGTTCAAATATACCACAGTTACACAATAATTATGGTGAAGTTTGAATTTCGTGAAAACCGGACCGAAACTTCCCGTCAAAATGGCCGCTCTCCTTTACGCAAAAAAAGTAAAAGCATGTAATACGTACATACATGTAAGAGGTTCTTTGTCTGATTTAGATGAAACTTGTGTTAAAGGTCTAAAGTTCCTGGATAAGTTCGATTTTGGTGCGCATCGGACCTTTGGTTCTGCCCTCTGCCGATTTAGATAAAACTTAAAATATGTGTTTTGGATCAAAAGGTATTGAATGAGGTTTTCTGCGGTTTTTTAACGGATTTATTTCATATTTGGTTTGAAGTATCGGGGATATGAGAGGATGAGCCTTATAGATCAAATCAGCGATGCATGACCTTTTTTTCCATAGTTATTCGTCCTTTGCCGAAAACTTTGTGAATGCGATAGAAACCACAGTTTTTAACAGATCTTGTGAAGCACTGAGTATATCGATATTCAGCATTATCCTCAACTACAGCCCCCCCCCCCCACCACACACACACACTTGCCGAAAACCTGCTGAATGCGATAGCGATACGGGTTTTAACCGATTTATTTCAAATTAGTTGTGTAGCTCTTGGTTGATGAGCGGACGAATCCTATCGAAATTCAGCGAGCCGTGGCCTTCCTTTCCAAAGTCAGCCCCTTTTTTCCGAAAACCTCGTGAAGACGATAGAGGCTATGTTTTTAAAATTTGTTTTTATAATTCAATGTGAAGCGTTGGGAAAATGAGAGGATAAATCCTGTTAATGTTCTCCATACTCAGTCCATCTATTGCAAAATATGGGCGCATCTTTTTGGTCCTTTTGTGGATCGGATATATCCAGTTTAAAAATCTCTCCTTTGTCAATAACATTAACGGGTGACTTATTTCTCAAGACACTGGATCGATGAACTGGGTATAGCTTTATTATATCCCTAACAAAGCTAGATCGGGGTGACAGCTAGCATGGTGTATGTGGGGAGGGGGTTGTGTGTGACAATCTAGGGTAATTGACGTTTTCTATTGACCTAGCCTACTACTACGAGGTAAGGATAAACGCTTGCCACCACAGAGGGTAATATCGCAAGCATTTCCTTAAAATCTTCCCCCGATGAGCCATATAAGTTTGTGCGGCAAGTCGAACATATCGCCGCCCCAATCAGGTAATGGTGTAGTCGGGGTCAACTGGGGTGTCATTCCTGCAATTTCCTGTGCCAAAACTCCAAATAAATAAGCCCGGAAAGCATCTACATAATTAACTGCTTGCATTGCTTCTCAAAATTCAAATCTAATTTTTTGGAGAATTTGTTCCCTTAGCCCTCTTAGCAGATCCATTAGCCCAACTAGGCTGCCGCCTATAGAGCGCAGTACTGCCGTCTTTCGTTCGATCGTGGAGCTTAACGTCCTCCTCCGCCGAGGGTCACAGTTTTATACACCTGGGCCCTTATTCACGAAAACTTAAACTAAGTTACAACCGAAATTTTAAGAAATACTGCAACTTCATTGGATATATGCAAATTGATTTTACTGGTCAGCCAATCGAATTGCAGTATTTCTTAAAATTTCGATTGTATCTTAGTTTAAGTTTTCGTGAATAAGGGCCCAGATCCACCTATGAGAGTAATAGATAGTTATATGTCAATGTCTAATCAGTCCTTTACCAAAATGGCCACTACATGGATTTGAAATTTTGAACAATAAAAACGAAATAGCATCTGTGTAACTTTTAATCAGATCGATGACAATAATTACGAAAGCGCAAGATTTTCACCATGAAAGACATCCCTTTGAATGTGAATTTTAAAAAAAAAATTCAAATCGGGAGTGAATAATCAATGAAATCACGTTTTATTGCCAGCTCTAACGTCACTAACGTTATACTAAGTTAAACCATAGAACCCCATCCGTTCAGAAGTGCAGAAAGACGGGCGGAGAATGTACAGAACCTGTAGTTCAAAAGTTACACTGTAAGACCGTGTATATACATATTTATTCATTAATAAAATGGAATAAGGATATACCAATATGCACCCAGGTATCATCAATCTGAATAAAATACAGATTTATATTTCGTTTCGTTTTTTATACTTTCGATGGCCTAATAAAACAAAATTTTGAACTATAAAAAAAAGAAACGAAATAGGATCTGTGTTTTAATCAGACTGACATATCAGATATGCCCAAAGATACTCTCATAGTATCAACGAAGGCCTGCACACAACTAGGATTAGTTGTCAAGCATTATCTATCATTTCCAAGGAATCATCATTGGCTTTGCAGCAAATTATACAGCACCTCAGATTATCCTTTACAAATATTGGGTCTTTTTAAAACTTTTTTTTTTATAAAGTCTTTTATATTCAACAAATATTCCTTGGTGTGCCCAGGACTTTAAACTGTATGCTAATATATACAAGCACCTACAATATCCTTTCAGTCTGCTCCTGCAAAATGTACAATGATGGTTTCAAGATTTGGTAATGTATAAATATATAAAAGACATTAGTACATATCCTTGGAAAGTATTAGAATACCCTTAAAGGTAACATATTTCAACATTGTGGAACATAGCTACTTTTGTTTTGAAAGATACTTTTGCGCTTTTGCGGGGTTTCAGCTTTGGTTGAAAGGGACATCTAATATTCCAGTCTATTCTGTGTTCTTGGATCATCATATGTTATATTGTACAGTTCTCCAATATTGTCTTTCACATAAAGTATTTATACTCTGGTCGCATAATGAGGTGTGCGGTAAATATACTCTTCAAAAAAAGAAACGCACAGCCCATTTTTCGTAACTTTTTATTTGAATTTTGAATGGGATTGTTGTTTTTAATGTGTAATGATAAAAGAAATTCATTATTGGTTTTTAAATGTAGGGGCACTAATTGTGACTGGTCATACTTGTTGCCGAAATTTGTTTTCGTTTGATTGCACCAAGACACATGAGTTTAACTTAGCAAGCTTTTCACATGAAACCCAAATCTAAGGGTTTCTTGGTTTCAAAATCAGTTGTACATGTTTTGTACATGTCGCCGTTCCTATTACAACGAGGCAATGGTAGAGCCAGGGTATACCGACGACAAAATGTCACTATGCGTTTCTTCTTTTGAAAAGTGTATATTTGATTTCTAAGCTTCACAATAATAATAATAATAATAATAGCTCACATTAAGTGTATTACAAAGATAAAACAAGAACTAATTATTCATTTAAAATATGACATTATTCAACAAAATAATTCTGATGAACATTTTAGGGGCACCAAAAACATTAGCCAGGTGATATTCTGTTCTTCAGAACAATAAACAGATACTGGTAAACTTTAATATGACTGGAAACTCATGTCTACCTGTGTTCAGTGTTAGGAAAATTAATTAATCGAGAAATTAGGAACTTAAAGAGCTTTGCCAATTTTTCCTTATTATATACTGTTTCATATTTGTCAATGTAGATACAATTGTCTAATATGAAGTCCTGGCACCCCTTATAATACAGTATATACAGACACAAAGATTTTAAGATTTTCTGTATTCTATTCTTTCAACTTTTACATCATCATTTAATAATTTATAAACATATGCAACAACAGTTGACTGCTGGATATCCAAGATGACAAATGATGGTACAACATTACTGAAATAAAAAAATAAATGTGCGTGCAGTTTACGTACAAAATAATTCATCATATTTTATGGCAGAAAATATTCTTTTATGCCCCAGTGGGGGAAAAAAAACAAGAGTTACCTCCCCTAGACAACATATTCATTATTTTATCTAGCAATATCGAGCACCACAGACTTGTCTATTTGGCCCGCTCTTACTTTTTTCTAAATTTTTTTGTGATTGAATGCTCTCGACCACAACATGTGGCAAAGTCTATCTCAAAGGCATGTGTTAGGTTGATCATGTAAATCTAATTATACAAACTGAAGTGACATGTATGTGACTATCCATGGTACATTTCAACATAAACAACCTCTTAACTTTGTTAGCCTTTGTTTTCACCAAAAAAAAGGATGTAAACTCAAACCCATTTCATTGAATCTACACAAACAGGTCAACAAAAAACACAATGCAAATTTGGGGGAAAAGGGAGATAAACACTGCAACAGTGTTCTCAGATTCTGCACACAGAGAACTACATGTATATACTGTAATTTGAGAATAGATCTCTGTCCTCAATGGCAACCATATCAAAAGATGGATAGAGAACAAGCCAACTAAAAACATGATTTATCGTACAATCAGGGGCCATAATCCAGGAAGTTACGTCCCGATGTGCGCAAATATTAATAAGAAGCCATCATCTTTGAAATATAATCCTAAATTTCAGGTTTCATCAAAATCGGAAAAAAATTGTGACTTCTAGAGTGTCCACAATCTTGCTATTACATACTTTTACACTATTTGCGTACAAATGGGGCCATAATCCAGGAAGTTATGTTTGCATATGTGCAATTATTGAAAGGAACCAAGATCTTTGGGTTATAAACATGCATTTCAAGTTTCATCAAATTCGGATCAAAATTGTGACCTCTGGAGTGTCCACAAACTAAAAACGTGATTTTTCATACAATCAGGAGCCATAATACACACCAATATCGAAAGGAACCGAGATCTTAGGGAGATAGACCTATATTTCAAGTTTTGTCAAAATCGGATAACAATTGTGACCCGTAGAGTGTCTACAAACAAATTGTGGATGGACATACAGGGGTGACGGCATAATACATCCACATGAAAATGTGGGTGTATAAAAATGTAAGAATTACAATGTTTGTTACCTATCTAAAGCATTATAAGCTCCGGTAGCTGAGCCAGGATTTATATAAAATCTCCCTTCATGTTCAAATGCTTCAAATTTATGAGTGTGACCAGATATTAAAATGTCCACATCAAGTTGTCTTTGTACCATTGCTAAACTTTCATTATCACCCCAGGGAACAACTTGATGACCATGACACAAACCAATTCTAAATTGTCCAACTGTTACTACTTTCTGTTCTGGATAATTCATATTCTGAAAAATAAAAATAAAATAAAAATGTGAAGAGTCTCTGGAAATGCTCTGACCAGGCTGTCATTGATTTGAACATTTATCTGGCCTTGAAAGTCTCGTTTACCCATCTGATTAAAACACATATTCTATTTAGTTTCATTTTTTTTATAGTTCAATTCGTTTTACTTGTCTTTGCTACACTAGGATCTGGAAGAGTTGTTATATAACCCACATTCTGGTTGATGTGAAGGATTAGCCAATGAAATGGTCTGTTACGGAAAGTTCTTGGCATGTTGTGCACAGAACTGTGGTTATTCCACTAGAAACATCAACACTGATTGATTAATCAAATGTCTGATGTCATAGGGTCAAAAGCAACCCATATAACCCCTGACCTGACCGCCCTTTACAACTGGTCAGATCTTCATGTAGAGGAGACCATTGAAAGTATAAAGAAATGAAATGAAATATAGATCTGTATTTTAATCACATTTTCGTTTACCAAAACTATATTTGATTCAGGAGCTAGATAATGTGCCGCAGTAATACATGTATTTGGCAAAGAAGAAGAAATTAAAATGAAACCGAGTTTAATGTCCTACTTTTGTGCACAAACCAAGCTAATGAAGACGGGGTATGCCATGCAATGTGCTACATATGTATGAAGAAAATATTGCCTGAACAGCAGCATTTATGTCTACTTTTCATTGACTTCCAAGTGCCAAGGTTGTACCAGGGATCTCAGTTTTACAGGTCATCCAAATGACTAGATGATGTTACTTGCCAGTCCTATCCTCTTGCACTACTGACTAGGGAAACTATACTGAAAAACCAGAGTAACTTCCGCACTAAGCACTGAGATCGAACCTGGAACCTCGTGGTTAGTGAGCTAGAGACTTATTCACACCAGATGATTTTCTAAAGACCTTGAAATACTTCAAAAATGAGCAAGGAATAATTCAAAAACTTGTACAATGGATCTTAACTATTTGATGGTCTTAATTTGCAAATTATGTGGAATGGAGTAAATGACACATTAAAGAGTATAAAGATTTGATATTACCAGTTTTATAAATAACTTACCTCATCAAAATCTCCTCTAACAACATGAACATCACTAGCTAAGGTTTTCAGGTAATCAAATGATTCCTTGGTACATAAATTGCCAGTACATAATATATGTTGTATTTTTCCTGGTACTAAAAGTTTTTTAAATCTTGATGGTACACTGTTACAGCGATGAGGAATATGAAGATCACCAAGTACCAACACTAACTGTAAGGTAAGAATAAAATTACAATGTATAGTGGACAATTCTATTTCCCCAACACTGACTAAATAACATTTTATGGATGCACAGGTAGTAACTTTAATTTACTATATACATGTACTATTGGGTATATTTCAAAACACAAACATTATGTATGGTACTTAATATTTTCAATTCAATAATTAATAAGTACAAATCTAATCTACTCTTAATATTATGAAGTACATCAATGATGACAGACAGTTAAGATTAAGTTTATGTTCGTAAGTACATGTAGGCCTACAGAAGTAATTCAGTTAAGATTTAATTATGTTTGTAAGTAGGCCTACAGGAAAAATTATAGTCTAAGTAGGTTCATTATCATAAATTCTAACACAACATGTAGGCTACATCAAGACATACTGGCATGACATAAACTTTATTTTTGAAAGGTAGTAAATGAGACTAGAAGACATGTCTCACATTTTGTCCTAGATAAACAGTAGGCTATACCAAAAAAATACCGGTCGAGCGGGTAGCCTATTACTAAAATATGAAGAGCGGAGAACTATTATCTTAAAGGGTCATTATGTAAGATACGATAAGGAGCTGGCAGTTCTCGCTAATATAATAGTTAAACAAAAGATAATGAAAACAGAATATGCTAAAGATTTCAGTCAAATTGCTTCACTCTAAACCGAGATATTAGCGATTCAATTTTAATTACAAAATGTATTCAAATCCACTCAATATCGCAGGCTAACAATGGCATTGAGAGTTTATTATGGTCTGGATAAGTTAATTAATGTCTAATTAATAATTTAGATAACATTTCAGATTACATAATATAGGTTTAAGAATATGTATAAAATAACAATCTAGATTATTATTAAGAATCATACTGAAAGTCAGTTACACAATTCTGGAAATAAGACACTGCAGTTACAGAAATGTCAGGCACAAATTCTGGCTTTGGCTGACCAGTACATATGTATCTGTCATTTAGTCCAGCTAAGATTTGTATTTTTACAGATGTTATTGTACATGGCTGGTTCATTCAGTCCAGACAGTTTATCAGCTACAACTAAAATCATTATTCCCAGGTCTGCAGTTACAACCATAGCTTAGCCCTATTAGTCATTTGGGACTCAACATAAACGACATTTGGGACTCAGTTGACGACGTTTGGGACTTGATTGGCGTCAATTGGGAGTCAACACAAACAACATTTGGGACTCAATATAAACGACAGTTGGGACTATTTATTTATGAGATATATAGTAACAGCTATCTTAGTTGTCTTTCGTTTTATTTAGTTGACTTGATCGGCAATTGTTGAGACCGCGATTAACACTGCTAGTTCTCCTTTGTTTTGTTTTATCTGTGAGTATAAAACTTCTCCTTTGTTTTGTTTTATCTGCGAGTATAAAACTTGACAATAATATATTGTTGAAAATTTGTGTATATTTAGTAATACTTCGTTGTTTCTCTTTTATCAAATAGTAAACGAGCTTGATTGACCGACCACTGCTAATGTTTTTTCGTGAAACGGTATAACTGCAATCAACACACGGCCGCCATTCTCGATGATTGACAACTCACATTTTTCCTCATCCACCAAAGAACCGTTAGGTTTCTTTGAACATACTGCAATAACATCGGGATTATCAGTTAATCAGCTTTTATTATCCCGCTTTGATCGTTGCCATTTCTTATCGTTTGGTTGAGCCTTTTACTAACCACGGGTTTCATGTTAATAAATATTTTCTTTCGTGTTTTGAATTGGCCTATTTCTAAAAAATTATCCCGAGTCCCAAACGTCATATACCCGAGTCCCAAACGACGTATACCAAAGTTCCAAACGTCGTATACCCGAGTCCCAAATGTCGTGGTCATATTTTTTTGAGTCCCAAATGACATGTAATCAGTAATAGTAGGCCTATTTGTCTTACTAACTCAGTAAACAACAAACCAAAGATTAAACGACGCACATATAATCAGATTCAAACCCGGCGAACTTATCCTTGAATAGCAAACAACATATTTATACCAGTAATCATTTCAGTCACAAATAGTTTATAATAATTATTAAATTATGAGCAGGTATTTTACTTTTGTCACGAGATCCTAACATAACGGCACGCCCCCTTCCACGAAAAACTGTGCATAATAAGGCTTTAAAACGTCTTAAAACAACATTTTGACTTTTAAAACGTTAAACCCGAGAACATACCATCGTGAAGTAATTATGTCAGAGGATATCTGATAAAAAGTAAATTAGAATAGATCTATATTATAAAACTAATACATTTTCTACATCCAATATTACTTATCCATTGAGCGAGACACCTAGCGGTAAAACTGTAAAACTACGGATTGACTTGGAACTACGAATCGTTCAACGAGATGTATTAATTTTTTTTTACAAAAAAATAAATAAAAAAAACTAACCGTAAGAATAACAGATTTAGTTTTGAAAATCGAAGTTTCATATATAATGCATTGAAAATAACACAGAAACAAATATATTTGAGAATTATTGTTGATTACACGGTATATGACACGGTAATTTCGAATCAAATTCCTGAAAGCTCAACTGGATACCCCTTTAATTAATAGCTGTATTGGAAGTATAGGGACAGAATTGTCTGTGATCCGTAGTAGTTTTTTGTCCGTCTTTATCAGTGATTCCCAACCTTTTCTTGGTTGCGACCCCATTCCAGAAACCATGTCTGATGGCGACCCCTCGAAGAAAGAACAAAATCACCTTTCACTATATGAAACATCATCATTATTTACAGATCAAAATGTTGTATGAGAGACCGAGGAAACAAATCGTGAGCGCGAGAGTGGAAGGACGATTAGCAATGTGGCAAGAGGTGTATAGGCCAGATCAGAGATTTACGAGGGCTGGCTGAAAAGCATATAGGCGCGGCTACGGGTTCGATGACTATTAGGCGGTAGGGGACAGAGCCCGAAACGCCCGAAAAAATTTCGGATTACAGACGGCCACAACGCGTTTTTGTTCTATTCCCGTCCTTGAATATGGCAACTTCAAAGAGGTGTAATATTTGCTTAGTATGGCTGGATCGAATTCCAATAATCGTTTACAGTCCACGCAGACCGCATCATTGGGAGAAAAATTTGAAAATTTAACTGCCGCAAACGCGTTTTCCTGCTATACCAGCCTGTGAATACAGCAACCCCAATGTTTTCCAATAACCTGCCTGAGATGGCTGACCTGAATCCCAAACCACCAACCAAACGTCGTGGGGTATAGGGGCCTGGCCTCCCGGAGAAAATGTGTTTTTCTGCTATTATAGCCCGTGAGTTAAGCAACTTCAAAGTTGTCCAATTGTTTTGTAACCGAAATCCCAATGAATTCCATCCATCCAAACAGTCTGTTGCAACTGCATTCACAAATAATCGATGCCCGAAAAATGTCGCACAAAGTAGTGTGGCCCCAGACAAATTGTTTTAATCCATAGTCAATTCAGTAAAAATTCGTGGTATTTAAAATAGCTAATATCTCTAACTCAGTATCATTCAAAGCCAAACGGTGACGACATATTCTTATCTGGAGAGCATGCACAATAAATAATATCGGTGTAGACTGGAATAACCAGACGCCAGAGATTGCCATTCGATTTAGACTTCTGGCGTATTTCGCCGAACATAACTGATTAGAAATTACAGCAAAAATAGAAACGATTGAATGTAAATCAGTTACATTTGTGTCCATTCCTGGCTCCCAAATATTAGCTCTTTTAATCAAAAGAGATTTCTAATCAATTATTTTCGGTGAAATACGTGAACAGTTCAAATTGAACGGCAGTCGTTTACGCCTCCTTAATCCATTCTACACGCTTTTTTATTGTTATTTTGTCGTTTGTGAATCAGCCTTTATTAATTACTACCACATTGTCTTGTAGGATATGTTTTTATTTGTTCATTACAAATGATGCCCGAAACCATAGAATACACGACTTGTGTACTGATTATAAAATATTAAACATTATACATTATGCACGAGCCAAATCTGCCTATTGCAGGTCTTTCTTTATAAACTATTAATTAGACAATAGTTAACCTATCCAGACCATAATCAACTTGCGTTTTCGTCCCTTCCGAATGACTCTACATTATCCGTTGCCAGGCCCTTCGCCCCACACCACTGCCAGATGAACTTTCTCGGCCAACACAGGGACCAAATACAAGACCTCCGGGTTAGCGAGCCGGCATCTAATACACAATTATCCACATACATGAATTGTATGTAAATATTTTGTACATATTATTCAATATTTGCCATTTTCTCTGATATTTATGTTTCATTTATTTTGTAATAACCTGTACGTAATCCAGGTGGTTGTATATTATTCAATGAATGTTCCATTTATGTACAAAAGTTTCATTTTACGTTTGTTTTATTTTAATGAGCAAAGGTTTCTATAGTGCATATTTCTTAGCGAGTCAACATCTTACATTCACATAGCCACTGTGCCCCCCCCCCCCCGCTTATGACTTGCAAGAAAATATTTTGTACATATTATTTAATATTTCTCTGGTATTTATGTTTTAATAACCGGTAATCCTGGTGCTTGTATATTATTCCATTGGTGCTCTTTTTAGGTATAAGTTTCATTTTGTATTTTATTTTAAATCAGCAGGAGAGGGGGTTCACGGTGGCTAAGTGGGTAAGACGTTGGCCTGCATTGGCCGAGAAAGTTCATCCAGATTTTCCGGCGTGCCCCCACCCCCCTGTCAGTGATGCAGGACGGAGGGCCTGACAAGGACAGTTGTCTAGTCGTTCGTATGGGACGGAAAACCGAGGTCACGGGTTCTACATCATTTCATAAATTCTAGAATAGTGCATATTTCTTTGGTTAGTTCTGTGTATGTTAGTTATTTTAGATGCCCCACAAATGGCCGAATGGTTAGCACGTGATCGCCGTATCATAAGGTCTGTCACTGAGTCAACTGGCGTGGTTTCGATTCCCCGGTCGTACGTGACAAGGAGGGTCGCCTGTCCAACCTCGTGTGTTTTATTCAGGTCCTCCGGTTTCCTCCTACTGCTAAAGACTCCTACGTGCAAGCGAATTATTGAAATAAAATTGGACCATGATTGTGTTAGTCCCGAAATGACCTAGTTTGTGTCGTGTTGACGTTAAACCCCATTTCTCTCTTATTGCCCTTTTCATTGTTCAAAAGTATTTCAATTTAGTGCATACTTAATAATTTTATTAGTGCTTCGTTTCGCTGTTATTATATTTAAATTATATCTTTTATAACACAAACTTGTGTTATTTGATAAACTTTAACAGACGTTTAGGTTATTTCAAAGTTTAACACAAGTTTGTGCTGTTTCAACCCAAGTTTGTGTTGTTAAACAGTGACACCTAACTTGTGTTGAAGATAACACAAGTTTGTGTTGTTTCAACACACGGTTTTTTTTCATGGTTCTAACCTTTACATTTGTGTACATCAAAATCGAAATTTCGGAAGAGCTAACTGACATTCCACGTAATTCAAACTGTACGGCTAAAACGTTTTTGAAATAATTATTGAATTCTTTATTTCAATAGGCACAATATTATAAACAAACTTGCGGTAAGCAAACAGTTTCAATCTTTAAACGAAGGTTGTGAAAATATGAGGATTGGCATTTTGATAATAATAAATCAAACCACGCTGTGACAATTTTCTCCATAATGTCCCAAAGACAAACTGGTACGCTAAAGCTGTACAGAATATGTCGTTGACACAACACTTGGACACATTTTAAAGGTTCCATATCCAAGCAGTTGCTATTATCACCTGTCATTTCATACCAGTAAACGACCGGATAACCGATTTGGACACCGAATAATGTGGATGGATTGGCGATTTTATTATCAACATCTATTTTAGCCACATCATTACTGATATCTAGTGTTTCAAATACTTCACGTGTTCCCAACAACTTATCATTTGTGGATGCAAGTAAACATGGTGTCTTGTTAGTCTTGGAAATGTCGATGAAGCAAATCTCATCCCATTTCGACTGTGCATCTTTGAGAGAGTACACATTATAAATCATTTTGTCCAGCCCAATATCAATAATTTTGAGGCCGTTGCCAATAAGTTTTTCCGCGTATAATTCTCTCAAGAATAACTGCAATGTTTCTATTGGCAGTGAAAAATCTAACAAAAATCCACACTTGACGCCTTTATCCACAGCGAGAATTTGAAGTCCAATGTTTCGATATTTCTGACCGATTTTTCTACCCACATGTTTTTGAACAACGGTTTTCCATTTAGAGTCGGGAAAGGGGGAAGCAGAATTCAGACTCGTCATTGTATCCATATAAATTAAATACATGTACTACAGTATTTACGGTTGTTCATTTTTGTTGCTAAAAAATAGTTCTCGATGCCGAGTGTCTAGTTAATCAAGAACACAATTCAAGTCTATTGGTAAGAAATTTAAGACCATGACAACAGCTAAATTATCCAACTAAAATGACTCCATGTGTTGCAGATATGTATAAAATGTTACACTTTGTTCTGGCTTTCCATTATTTGACCTAAACAATTGCATCCTTCCAAAATACGATTAAAGGAAAACCCACTACTAGTAGTCATGCCATGTAAAGGGAAACAACTCTTTATTTGTCTCGAATATCCTGTCTCTCAATTTCCGACCGAAGTTGAACATTAACAAGTCCCTGTTGTGACTACAGCTGTGGAAATCTAATTACATATATGTAGTGGGTAAATTGTCATATGTTTGACCGAAACCGGCAGCATTTGTGATGTGTCAGCGTATCTTAATAATTATGAACGCAAGCTGATTCGGACCATGGTTGATCCCAAATAAAAGTCAAAGCTGATTTGTGGTAGATTGGGACCACCATATATAAAGACATTAAACTAATTAAACTAATATCATGACTATGTGAGCTTTTATTTAAGCCAGTTTAAGTTAAATTTCAATTCGTCATACACATTTCAAAACCAACATTGAGAATAAATGATATGTAGAAAATTAATCGCACATCACCATTATAATCTTTGCTTTTTGGCCCGGAATATTTTGATAATATATAGTATGTTACCAATAAATGAATAAAAAGTTATTTACGTATGTAAACACATCCAATATTCTAAAGGTCGCGACCTGGACATTGATACGATTATGAAATTATTATAATAGACTTTCAGAATAATACTTACATAGGCGTACGGGTTCGATGCCTGTTAGGTGGGGGGGGGGGCGAACCCGAGATGCCCGAAAAAATTTCGGATTACAGACGGCGGCGCATACTCTCTTCTGCTACATATTTTAGAACAGCCCTGGATATTATTTTCACTTGTCTTCTTTGGCTTCCTTTTCACGTTGTGTATTCTCTTTTTCGTATCTAAGTAGTTAAGACGTTTGTCTTGTCAGTAGTTAAGACGGTTGTCTTACCAGGAATAACAATGCAACAGTTCGTTGTTACATTTTATATATCAAGCTGCTTACATATGGCACAATGCATAATAGATTACAATAAAATCATTCTCTCAATCCCAATGCACCCAGACTCGCTGGGGCGAGTTTGCTGATAGAAATTGCTACATCTGTCACACGAATGCACAGAGATATGATAGTCTTGTAGCTCTGGGTATGGACCTTCAATTATCTAATTGGTCAAATATGACGTAATTAATTATAAAGATTGGTTAATTAGTCTAATGAAGTCGGAAACCACCCTTGTATGGATAGTGGAAATGTACACCAGAAGTTTCACACGTGTTATCTGGTGATATTTTGTTTCCATAGAACTAGCCATGTTTTAGTTTTGTAACTCTGTGTTAATTTGTAACTCAATTTGATTTAAGCGCATATGATACAATATGACTTCTATACAATGTGTGAATCTAATAATTAGACAAAGAGATCAATAATTCAATGCTACTAATTTAAAAGGCAAAAATTCTATAGATAGCAATCTTGCTACAGAGTTCAATCGTCGATCAGCCATCAACATGTCATACACCCGGGTAATGTTTTCTTGAATAGTTGCTGTTGGTGGCCTTCCATGACGCGGGTCATCATCAAGGCTCTCTCTGCCACGCTTAAATTCCACAACCCGCCTCTTTACTGTGGGAAAGGAAGGGGCATCATCCCCGACAGTGGAATTTCATCAATGCGACGGAATTTCGGACAGATACTGTATACATTCCTTGGACTGACAGAAACACGAAATGTCATCTTTGAGGGGCGAATTTTGGACATGACTCTATATTTAGATAGAAGTTAAAATTTGTAAATTTGAATAAAAGTGCATTTAATTCGAATTTTATAGTTGACGTTTGATTTGAATATTCAGTCCGAACTAATATCCTCTTACAACTACAAATCTTGTCTTTACAGGGTATCTACTCTACATCTCTCCGGTGTTCAGCAGCGTGTTTTGCTAAGATTTTCCCGTTACTATATCGGAATGAGTGGAAAAAGGGTAGGGGTCAACTATAGTAACGAGAGAGAGAGAGGTAGAGAAATGGGGTTTAACGTCCACTCGACACAAACCAGGTCATTTTGGGACTAACATATGGTTTAATTTTATTTCAATAATTCGCTTGCGCATAGGGGTCTTTAGCAGTGGGAGAGAGAGAGAAATGGGGTTTAACGTCCACTCGACACAAACTAGGTCATTTCGGGACTAACATATGGTTCAATTTTATTTCAATAATTCGCTTGCGCGTAGGGGTCTTTAGCAGTGGGAGGAAACCGGAGGACCCAGAGAAAACCCACGAGGTTGGACAGGCGACCCTACTCCTTGTCACGTACAACCGGGGATTCGATTTAGCAGTGGGAGGAAACCGGAGGACATGGAGAAAACCCACGAGGTTGGACAGGCGACCCTACTCCTTGTCACGTACAACCGGGGATTTGAAACCACGCCACTTGACTCAATGACAGACTTTATGATACAGCGCACACACGCTAACCATTCAGCCATCCAACCCCCGCCCCCCCCCGCATAGTAACGATCTTATCTCATAATTATATTTAGAATCTGCTTAACAAATATTATCACATAAAGTCTATGGACAGGGTATTAATCCTTTAATGGTAACTCGTTTTAAAAAAAGCAGCCATATTGCCCCCCCCCCCCCCACACACACAACATGAGCATTGTGCCTATGTATGTCGAGTTATATGTATCGATATTGTTGAGGGTGACAAAGTAGGATATGCTTTTATTTTCAGGATGTTTTCAGATAAATAGAGAAACTCCTACGAGTCTTACTTTTTTTGATATAAAATAAAAAATCAACACAAGTCGATAATGAAAAAAGAACGAGGCTTTGCCGATTTTTTTTTTTTATAGTATTTCTTTCCTTTATCGAGGAGTGTTGATATTTTTCGATGTCAAAAAAGACGAATAGAAGATTTCATTTGTCACCCAACCCTTTCCAGCCTTTTTAATTGACCAACCAAATTCATGTAGAATATGAAAGTTATCATACAAGCGATATCTACTGTAGAATGTGTTATTGGGTGATATTAGGGGAGGAAAATATGATTACAATATATACTTGAAGGAAGAAATGACAATAGTTGTTTAGATTAATATACACATTACTATTCATATAAAAAAATAGGATATAAATTATTTAATTATTCTAATATATTGTGATTTATAATAATCACTTTCAGCTCAAGGGTAGATCCACAGGATGAGGGGGACACATTTAAACACAAGTGTCACTTCTAGCTACATGTAGATGTTTCCACACACAAATAACTTGAATGGCTTTAAACAACTTCAACTTTATCCTATGTTTGTTATTGTTAGTCACATTGACGCACACATAAAAGAACCCTTGACAGTTGGAATTTGAAATAAAAGTAGGCTGTAGCACTGCTGTTCGGGCAAAATTTCCCTAATAGCACACAGCAAGGTGTATTCCCATCCATTATTTCATATCATTTTATTATTAGTTCGATCATCTCCATTATGATACTAATAGCACCAGGATTTGCCAGCTCCAGTAACTGTTTATGTTTCAATCCATTCGTGGGAAATGAAATAAAATGGGGCTTACATTAATTACAACTGCCAAGAATTCTTTAACGTGCATGCCAATGTGTAAACATGACCTTGTTTTTCCATCCCATCCGAACGACGATACAATGTCCCTTGTCAGGCCCTCCATCCTGCACCTCTGACAAGGGGAAACCATGCTGGAAAATCCAGATAACTTCCTCAGTCAACACAGGGATCGAACATGTGACCTCAAGGTCAGCAAGCCAACGTCCTACTCACTGAGCCAATGTGGCTCCCCCATTGTATACATCAGAATATATGTATTTATAGATACAATCAAAAAGATCAACCGAGAAATATATTTGTCATTCAACTTACAAAACATAATATAAACAATTGATTTTTATACAAAAATGTACATTTATGATGGGTTATAAATAACAAAATAAACAATAATAAAAACAGAAATATTTTCAATCCAAATTGTGCAGAACACAGTAAAAGCTACTGGTAATGTTTATGTTATGCATACATGTGTGATTCTTCAAAGAGAAACAAATCCATGGTGATTTGCTAACCTAGAGGTCATGTGTTTGAACTTTGATCTTGGTATTAGCACGGTTCCACCATGTCAGTGATACAGGGCAGAGATGGCAAGGGACCATGTATAATCATTGGTGTGTACGTTAAAGAACCCTTGGCAGTTGTAATTTAATATAAGAATAAAATGGGGTTTAACATCCTACTGTTCTGCTCCGACTAGGCTAATCAAGACGGTCATACGCCATACAGTGTGCTATGGGGGAAATTTTGCCCAGGCAGGGGCACTATCGCCTACTCTTATATCAAATTCCAACTGCCAAGGGACCTTTTACGTACACGTCGATGTATACACGGGACCTCAGTTTTTTGTCCCATCAGAATGACTGGAAAACTGTCCTTGTCAGGCCCTCCGTCCTGCACCTCTGACAAGGGGAAACCACGTCGGAAAATCCCAATGAACTTTCTCGGCCAATGCAGGAAATGAACATGCGACCTCCAGCGTCTTACCCACGGTGACTCCCACCACTAAATGATTTTAGAGGTCAAAGGCGTATACCCCTACTTGTATCTAAATTTCCACGGCTCAATTCACCCTAAAATTTACTCAAATTGATTATTTAACATTTAATTAAAATACAAAATAATGTCTCAAATCACATTTCCAGACATCGGCACAACATTTGTAGAAAGCCCAGACATGATGTTACATCCACTTATAATTTCCTAGGAATATGCTATTAAATAAAGCTGTTCTTTAATCCTGTAGGTATTTTTTTAAAGACTACCCGTTTTTAATAGTTTTAAAGTTGTTTTCATTCACACATAAATAGCACACCTAAAATATCTGTTTACATTTCTAAAATCATTATCAGGATATAACACACATCTTAACAGTATATTTATCAAGTTCTGCTAATTTGCCTTCTTCCTTTAATTGTTGATATTTTGCTAGCCTTGTTTGCTCGTGTAGCTTACTCCATTCTGGAAGTGGTCTATTCCAGTCTTCTGGTGGCTCTCTTCTATATTCCCATGTATTGTTGTCTCGTGCTGCAGCTAGCCTTTTTTCTCTTCGTAATCTTTCATCTTCAATCACTTTTTTCTGAAAGGAAAGTAATGGCGTTAAATGTCTCATTATCAGAATAGTTTGATCATTTTGAGACTAACATATGGTTAATTTTATTTCATATAGTCACAAATGCTGGGGCGAAGAATTTGTTCAAACAGTGGCTTTCCGTGCAATTTTTGTTGAATTCCAACTGTGCTTGCCGATGTGTATGCACCTTTTGACAGTTCGTAACTGGATGTGAAAAAATCCTGTGAGGTCTTCTCTAACCATGCTGAGATCTAAAGTTTTAAACCTGGTAGATTTTAGTTGTTCTGAAAGGGCAGGTAGTGGAATCCAAACGAAATCAATAAATAATGGAATCCAAGCTAAATCAATCAATAATTGGATCCACACGAATTCAATCAATAATTGAATCCAAACGAAATCAATCAATCATTGAATCCAAAACAATTTCCCCAGATCTGTGTCAGGCCATGTCCTGTCTGATCTGAAGTGGAAAATGAATTGTCTGATTCAAATTTAAATATTGTATTTCATGCTCTGCAGCCACAAGGACATATTTTTAGCCGTTCACTTTATCCCATTATCACTGATTTTGATACAGAATGTGCAACACTAAACAGAATAAAAAATGATTATGATTATAAATTATTGTTAGAATTGATTCTGTGTGATTATTTAAAATAGCATGAAGATGGGCTGAAGGTTTCATGTCTTGAAGATCCATCGCCTAAAGAAGACAGTAAAAAGTCTTTTAAAACAAAAAGACTAACCATGGCTTCAGTATCTTTATAGTTTCTAAATTTCATGCAGTTATCGTAATTTTCTTTCCATTTTCTACAGTCTAAAGTTTCACCAAATATATATTTCTGATGAAATCTTCCTTTCCAACCTGAATAATAATATTTCAAACAATCTATTTATTATTTATCAACCATTATCAATCAATGAATATCATGTTCTATAACTTTACAAGTTCTAATAAGAGGCTTGAAGGTAGATCTACATGTAAATGTACATCTAACTCAACCATTTCCATTTTACTGAAGCACAAAGACACAATAACTTTCAACAATTGAAAATTTTCATCATTCAACTATTGCAAACAGGGATGAACCGATGTGCAGGCTTACTATAGACCCAAAACTGGTACTAACATAGTTACTTATATATGCATGACATGCAAAGTGTAGACGAGAGTCATTTTCAATTCAGATGCCTTGGAATTATTGTAGTTACCACAGAACCTAAGTTTCGTGACTAATTTATATGACCTTGCTCATTTATGTTCATGCTGAAGGGCTATAAATGGGCATTTCTAACAGTTGTTCATCAGATTTAATCCTTCTTATAGGTGCATGTGACATTTATCATGAAATATTTATGAGAAAACAAAAGAAAAACCCTGAAGAAACATCATAAATGCCTTACTTTTGCATTCCAAATATTCTTCACTATACATTTCACATGGTCGAACCTGAAAAAAAGAAAAAGAAGATAAATACATGTATGCAGTATGGGTATTGACAATTTTATGGACAAGTGTACGAATACTGTTTTCGAAAAATGTTATGAAGTATGGACATCCATCAGCAATCTAGACTACATTGACTCTATTGCTAGACCCTTTTAAGAACTAAACAAATGCCTTTTCTCGTTGAAAAAGAAACTAAAATGCAATAGATTTGATAACTGATACTTATGAATTGCCTAATAATACTTGTGGATAGAATGGGTAGTCTGACGTTTAAAATTGGAGTTGCGTCCCTTCGTTTGGTTTGGAAAACCATGACCTTTTTCACGGGCGCACAATAGAAGAGGTCGAATTCAATGAAAGTAAATCCAATACTTAGTTGGGTTTCATGTCGAAAATTACGCTTTGTTTTATATAGAGCAAGAACACAACTACAGTAACCCTAAGGTATACTACTTACCAGCCAAGCATCCTCAAAAATATCAGCAGCACCATTCTCCTCACTGGGCGCAGACATCTTGCTAAATTAATAACAACCGAATGCTGTAAACGAAACGAAACTGTACATATTTAATATTTGCAGCTTGAACCGACAGGAATATAAAAAACGGTTTTAATGAATGTCTCGTTGTTAAATTGGTGAATGTTTTGTAACACAGATATTCATTGAAATATCATTATATTGTCTTTCGTTTCGTCAAACTGATTCTGGGCACAATTATTAGCGTAGTTTTACTTATGTAAACAAACAGAAAGGAGATGACATTTTATAATTGTGCCTGTTATTATACTAATAACATTTTCCTTGAAGAATATAAAATACACGTTAAATTTATTGACGAGGAGCAGTTCAGACAAGAATATGAACAGGTTGTCAAACTTTAAATATTTATCAAATAACTGGTTATTTGGACATTATACGTGTTAGTAGGCTATTACTAAATTTAGTAACAACTTAAAGGGGAACAACCTACAACATGTATTAATCGTTAAAAAAATAATATTATATACACTCTTCAAAAAAAGTAGGGGTTATTGAAATCCAAATACCTATGCAGGTTGCGATATGATAAATAGTCATGGACATTTGACATGCTCTGAGAGTATGTTCACAGCTAGATGAAGAACTTGTCGCCCCAACAGAACCACTGAGCTGCACATGGACACGCAATAGCGCCATACACGTGGGGGGGGGGGGGGGGGGTCATTGTCAAATTTGACACTTCAAGGAAAGGTTGATGAAAACTGCCGCGTGCTGGTTTATCTATCCATGTTTGCTTTTCTATCGGTTCTTGCATACTTGTTACTTTGATCGGGAGACGTGTTCGTCGACGTCAACGTCAAACGACGACACTGCAAGAATTGGCCGTGGCACTGCAAGAGGAGTGGCTTAGATTGCCCCAAATCGTGATTGGACGGTTGATTAGGAGCAGGTCACGACGAATTGCTGAATGTCTGAGGATTGGTGGAGCAATTAAGCATCATTAAGACAAAAATCAAAAACGTCAATGTTCACTTTTGACGGTGTTTCTCTCTGTGAGTGAAATGGGGCTGTCAGATAAGCCGCCCATATGAACTGTTTATGTTCATGTGTAGGCAATTGGCCTGTTATTAACATACACTGGTTACCTCTAATAAAAACAGCATTGCATGTCTGCAGTTTTGTATTGTTTCTGAATATCCCCTACTTTTTTTTAAAGAGTATATATTATACGTCAATACGAACCAAAATAAAAGAATCATTATTATACTAATCAAAAAGATCGAAACTTCAAAATGTTGATTAATTATCGCAGAATGACGATATAAAATCCAAATTAAAACATTATATTGTGACATTATGATATATTGAAAATCTAAAATCAAATTCCATTCTTAGATAAAGGCGTTGTTTCTATTTGTTTTCTTGTTTCAGATATTAAGAGAGAAAGGGTGTGATACAAATGAACAACTAGATCATGTATTGCAAACGGTAATTCAACTTCCAGTTTTTTTTTTATTAGCAACGGTGAATAAACATCTACATTGTATGCCCAAAAACTAGTTTCATAAAGAACCACATAATTTTACTTTACTCTAAACGAATATGGTGTTAAAACCCAATTATAGTGGAGTTTTTCCCATTTATAGAAATGAAAACATTGATAACAATGCAAAATATTTACCTGACAAGTAATTATTATCCAATATTTAAAAAAAGCAGGGAGGAACCTCCAAAAACCAAAAAAATATTTGCACTCGTTTAAGCTTGCCGCCTATGTTTACAATTTTATGCGGTGTCCCAGTAACTTCAAATTCAAAGGCAATAATGCCTAGTTCAAATAAATTTAAGTGGGCATTATTAGAAATTTAATATATTGATTCAAAATAAAAAAAAAGAAATCGGTAACATGATGACGCTTTAATTCTGCCCATATAACTGTGTCGTGTTGCAAAATGTATCATTTAAGGACCCCTAGCCATAACAATCTAATTGTGATGGATGTGTCACTGTATGTAACATTTGAGGTTACCCTTGTCGATAGTTTTGTTTCTAGAATGGACGGATTTCCTTTCGACGGCTTATTTTATTAAATGAAATGAAATGGGGTTTAACGTCCTACTGTTCTGCTCCTAAACTAGGCTAATGAAGACGGGCATACGCCATACAGTGTGCTATGAGGGAAATTTTGCCCTGGCAGCGGTACTATCGCCTACTCTTATATCGAATTCCAAATGCCAAGGGATCTTTTACGTGCATTCCAATGTATACACGGGACCTCGGTTTTTCCTCTCATCCGAAGGACTAGACAGCTGTCCTTGTCAGGCCCTCCGTCCTGCATCACTGACAAGGGGAACCACTTATTTTATTAACCGTTTGAGAATGTTTCGGTACAGGGCCTATTAACGTGCCTACAGGTACGGGCGTGCCTCTAGATAAAAAATCCGTGCTTTGAAAATCTGAAATCCGTACTTTGAACAAAATGGTTTGTAGCCTTGTGAATCTCAGAAGACTGTATGAGGAAACTGAGCTATCATTATAATCACCGACCACTTTCGATTTCTATTTCAAAAGTTTTGTTTGTTGACGTGTTCCCGCCACCACCTAAAGCACGTAAATTACATGGCAGAACATCGATCGTCAGATGCTGGTGACAGTGTAGCTTCGTTTGCCTTTGGGTCGACTTTGGATATTTCTTTGGACTGTTAATGATACTGACACGCGGTTATAAATATAAATATGTTAATCCTGTTATAAGCGGGATATCGTGTTATCCGAAGTCAGATTCTGGAAATTTTCACGGAATCCAAAACACCGGAAACCGTACTTGGACAATACAACCTTAAAATAAGCCCAACAGCGGATGTAGGTTTTAAAGGAACCCGAGAAATGTATATGCCAGAAAACACCACATATAGGCCTAACCTACAGATATTATAATGTAATATTGGCAATTTTAAATCTGTATTTTAGCTGGAAATATGCCACGCCATCGGCATTGCACAGACACTAACTGGAACATTATAATGACGGGTGACCTGTACCTAAAGCTATTCGAGAAAACCAAGTTCGCGATAACTGGCTTTAGCTGTTCTAATTGTGTTTACAAAAAGAAAATAAATTTTTCTTGCAGATATTATTGGAAGTTAATCGAAGAAAAAATGCGAATAAAGATCTTATAAGAAGGAAACAGATTATTAAAGATTTATATAAACCATATCATCCAGCAATATATACACTCAAACAACAATATCTACACCCAAAATTTCTAGAAATTTGGCATCTGTGTAACAATCCACACGTGAAATTGAAAGATATTTTGAACCACTTATCATGCGAAGCCGGTAAGTTTGATTTTTTCGATGAGAATTATGTTAGAATAATGTGAGGCCATAAAAATAATTTGCTTGCAATCTGAGCTTCAACATATTTTTTTTAAAACTAATAGCATATTTTCTTTGAGCAGCATTTAGCAATTGACAAACGAAATCAACACAAAAACTTAATATGGAAAATTTAAAATAGTAATTTTGTTCCATATTGAGTGTTTGTTAATTGCATATTACAATAAAATGCATGTATGTTTTTTTTTCATTTACAGCTAATCAAGTGTACAGTTTTCCTGTTTTTACGAAAGAGTTCTGTGAATTGTTTATCCAAGAAATAGAAAATTTTGAGAAGAGCGAATGCCCCAAAGGAAGACCGAATACAATGAATAACTATGGGGTATGTTGCTTTTATTTAAATTATTGATCGAAGAAATTACGATTTTCTGATACACTGATCTAACTCATAACCCATTGGTCATTTAGCTATAAATCACTTTAAATTAAAGTAGTGACGAATGTGTCAGAGGCAGTGTATTCTTATGATATGCAGAACACTCGATATCTATAACGTTTTATATATATTCAAATTTACTCTAGAGTCTTCTATACGTTCCGTTAAAGCTGGTTATCACGAATTTGGTAACCTCGAAATCCGGCAGCTAGTTCCCGTAACTTAATTCTAATTAAAGTCAGGCATTGTTCTCTGTTTAACATAGTTAATTCGAGGGACAGAATTATCTAGAGGAAATAATTTATTTTGTCTACGCCAATCTTGAACATTGTCAATGTGTAAAGAAATCTAAAATAATTCTAGCGGTTGTAGTAAACTATCGCCATTCTTTATTCTTGTAATTGGATTGTTAAAATGAACGGACATCAATTGTTTTTTTGTTTTTTTAATTATAGATTTTGCTAAATGAACTTGGATTTGATGAAGATTTTATAACACCATTGAGGGAAATCTATCTTCGACCTATTACATCAATTCTGTATCCAGATTGGGGTGGAGATTGTCTTGATTCACACAAAGCTTTTGTTGTAACATATAAACTGGGACATGATATAAATTTGAGTTATCATTATGATAATAGTGAGGTGACGCTAAATATTGCGCTCGGTAAACAGTTTACTGGAAGTGGACTTTATTTCGGTGACATGAAATCGAATAGCGGTAAAGTATCAACGTCGGGATTTACCAAGTATGATCATCAACTAGGTGTGGGGTTATTACATAGAGGACAACATATGCACGGTGCTTCCCCACTTACCTCTGGCGAGAGATATAATATAATAATATGGATGAGGTCATCAGAAATAAGAAATAAACTTTGTCCCATGTGTAACAAAAGACCTACTCTTGTCCCATGTTCGGGTTTCGGCGATGGTTTTACAACTGGTAAAATGGTGGAGTTATGTGCTACTTTATAGTCTATCAATTAAATATTTTTATCTCAAACCATATACATGTAGTTGACTTTTTTATTTTTGGTATGGGCAGGGTTGTATGTCCTTTTTGTAGGGTAGTTTTCATAACTGGATACTTTTTAGATTTATTAAACGTAGCGGTCCAAGATTATGAGATTGTGGACAAGGAATAGACAACTCTCAAATTCCTCTAATAATTGATACATAATAAACTTGTAACGCTACCCACATGTTCCAGTATCTATCATTGTTTTCTACCTCAAACCATCTCAGGATAACACGACTGTTAATGTTCTGACTCGAAAAAGCTTGCTAGGCTTACCTACTAAGAAGAGCTTTCAAATCACAGTCCAACAAGATAGATGGGTTAATCTGTAAGGCCTTGAGTAATATTTTAGTCTAACAACTGGTTAATTAATTATTGTGCGAAGAAGAAATGCACAAGGGCCTTCTTCTTCTTCTATTAGTGTTTAACGTCCGATTCCACCGATGGCGTTGTCTTATTTAATTATACTTAGCGCACACGCACGGGTCGTTCCTGGGGGAGGAAAACGGAGTACCCAGAGTAAACCCACGAGGTTGAGAAGGTGCCCGTATCTCCAAGCCAGATACCGGCGACCCAACTCATTGTCACGTACAAGCGGGGAATCAAAGCCACGCCAATTGACTCCATGACAAACCTTCTGATCTAACGCGCACGCGTTAACCATTCGGCTACCCCCCCCCCCCCGGTCACGAGAATGTTGCAGCCTATAGAACGATTTGTAGGTAGGCCCTTTATGTTGTCTAGATGAGACAGTAGTACACAAGAATACCTATGTACTCGGCGTGCGCGTCAAAGAATCCTAAAACAGTTCGAATTAGATGAAGAGTAGGTTGAAACCTACCAGTATTTGGACATGTGACGATAGGAAAAAAAAATAGTCTTAGCAAAAAGTCCTACAGAATAGCAGTGTAGAATTCTATAGAAAATCTATAGAGTTTTTTGGGGGGCGTGTCCCGTGTTCTATAGGATAAAATTCTATAGTATTCTACAGAATTTTGGGGGCCTGTAGGAAATAACGGCCCCAAATATTCTACATTTTCTGTAGCGCACATCCTATAGTTTTTCCTACAGATTTATGGCAAAATTTCTATAGGAAAATAATATAGTATTCTATAGGTTTTTTTATTGCACTTTCTGTAGGAAATTCTACAGTTATGGATATGATTGAATACTGTAGTATTCTGTAGTTTGGAAATTGGGCCACTATAGTTTTCTGTAGGAATGGGTACTACAGAATTCTATAGACTTTTTTTTATTAAATCTTATTTTGGGAATAAATATAGTTGGCCCATGATTTCTTCTAAATTGATAAGCTTATTTTTCTCTCATGGATTCTTCTAAATTGATAAGCTCATTTTTTCTCTCATGGATTAATCTGAATTCTGTTGATGATTCACCAGCCGGAACCATGAAAAGTTCTTTTCTTGGTAAAACTGAAATATAGGGAAAAGAATAGGTAATAAAGTTAAATAAATAACAAAATCACATAAATCTTATCTAATTAAAGTAATTTAATATTATTGTTAAGAAAGTAATAAAGTATACTTATCTTTCTATCTTTAATCGACTCTGTGAAAAAACACCACCATTCTCTTCAGTTTCTTGTTAATACTAAAGTTGTTATACACTGAATTTTTGAATTTTAAATTCAGCCAATGGCCAAACAGATTTCAAGAGAGTACATTGGCTGTTAATTATAATTTGTCGACAGGTATTCACGGTTGACAGAATCTGAGTACAGAATCTGCTATAGTCATTAAAATCTAAATAAACTGAGTCTTTATTTCATTGACTTCTGAAGAAAAATTTATTATCTGAGGGTGGGGTGGGGAATTCCTTTGAGTGTCAACATGTATCACTATTTCATTCATTTTATATACACAATTTTATACTTTATATTTTATTTTTCGTGGTAAGCTTATTTTAGTTTGTCATTTGGTATCACAATACATCAAGGAAAACTGCATCCAGGAAAATTATGTTGGAAAAGTTTACATTATTCACACAAGTGAATCACTAAATTTTATTGTAAACTATAGTATGAATAAAAGACATCGCCAATTTATGAAATCTGTAGTATAGAACATTGTTTCTACAATATTATGTAGGAAACTATAGTAGGCTATTTGTTAAAATGGTTTAAGTGCAGTATACATATAAATTCTTAGTTTTCAACAGAATGTCATAGACAACTATAGGAATATACTACTGACTTGAGACAATAAGTTAGTTCTATACAAAACTATAGTTTTTACCACTAAATCTATAGGAATCACAGCTGACATGAGAATACAAGTTAGTTCTATAGCAAACTATAGTTTTTAGCACAAAGGCTATAGAAAACTGAAGGATTACTCAACTGACTCGAGGATACAAGTTAGTTCTACAGAAAACTTTTGGAGCACCAATGAATCTGTAGGTTTATTTTTTTCCCAATATTTTCTTACAGTATTCTATAGAATTCTATAGGAAATTACACTTGGAAAATATTCATCTACCAATCCTACACAAAACTATAGGCTAGTACATGTTTTTGAAATACAGAATGATTTCGTTTTCTTGCAGCATTCTATAGCATTCTATAGAATCCCACAAACTTCTATAGAAACGTGTACTTTTTCTATTATTTTATAGGACTTTTTCATAAGGGGTTACCGGTAGGCCTACGGTACGTTATAGTTTCAAAATTACCGAAGTAACCAAACTCCATTCCATTCTAGTATTTAGTGCATTGATAATATATTTCATGTTAATGTAAGGACTTTGCCATTCACTATACCATTTTGGTTCGACTTATTTGTGTGTTTTACATTTCATGCGCGATCCTTTCTTGTGAACTTGTTGCGATGATTATTAATAGGAGTCGCTGCGGATCGACCAACTAAGGGTAGATAACTCTTTTTAAAAACCATATTATTTCATTCATGCTGAAGGTAAATATTTAGGTTATTTCACATAAAAGTCGAATAATTCTAGCAGGGCTATGCATTGAAGTTTATAGTAACATACGTGGTATGCTGTTTTGGTTCCATTTGGAATGGCGCTGCTCAATCAGTGGCACATGTTCCAGCGATTAATTTTTCGTGGCTGTGTGTGTTTATTTGTTTTTTTAAATGGAGTTATCTACCCTGGCTTGAATAAAGCGAAACTTTATTTGGGATATGGGACTTGTCGGAAAGTGTATTTAACCTTTATTATACTACTACTTGAATGAGACTGATAAAATCAAATCAGTCGTTGTACATTTTTTTTTTTTTTTAATTTGCTGTAATTTTTTTTTATACAATGTAAATTTAATACGGCATCTGATCGTTGGGCTGGATTAAATAAGTCCGTGCTTAAGCACTGAATTATCACACCACTTTATAAATCAGCAAAAGCTGTTACATAGATAACTAAACATTTAAATGGAGAAGACCCTTTGCTCTCAACGTTTTAAATTGACAAACTTTAACGAAGATGTCCGAGTTGTTTGATAATACACGCAATAGGAGAGATTGTGACACAAAGATAACGCCCACAACTATTTTTCTATATTCGCCTGAACAAGAATATATTAGTGAAAGGAAGACGGTTGTTATATCCTTCTTCGAATTTTTGTCAAGGATATTCCTTTGTATTTAGCTGTGTTGTAAACTTTCACTCAGTCACGGGCGACGCATATAAATGGTTCATATGATACTATATTTTAGGGGGTTTATATTTGATAATTGTTTACAACTCTATTTCAGGGCCGACCCATATCAGATTGTGGGACATGAAAATGTCTGATAGCATTACACTAAATGTTGGTGGAGTACTGTACATGACAACAAAATCAACATTATGTAAATATCCCGATTCCATGCTAGGAGTTCTGATGAGTGGAACATTTCCTTCAATCATTGATTCAAACGGACATTATTTTATAGATAGAGATGGCACAATATTCCAACATATCCTGAATTTTCTTCGTTCATCTCACTTGTCTCTTCCGGCGGACTTTGTGAACTTTGACCTTTTAGCAATTGAGGCGGATTTTTATCAAATACAACCGTTATTAGAAGCTGTTAATCAAATGCGACAAAATAAACAAGCGATGCCACGTAAATATCATTTAGAAATTTTAGAAGTGCGTACGGGTTCCACAGCCACCATGCCAACAAATAACTCCCGCGTAAAGACTGTTATTTCCGGTAGAAAACAGGTAATGTTATCTTTACCAGCCGATCTGATTGGAGCCGAATCTCTGGAGAGACTTCAGAATAAAAATGGTCCAGATTTTACTGAGCTGGAATTGTTCGGAAGTAATACCAGACTAAGACTAGGGGAAGCTTTAGATACAAGAGGGTGGACATTAATTAGTTCCGATCATTCTTCGTCTTCTAGTTATGAAAATAATAAATCTAGAACCACGCCCTCGTCCAATAATTTAATCATAGAACAGTCATTCAGAGATAGGTGGTGTTTAGAATTAAAATCTGGTGAAGACATTGCAGATATGCAGTTTGAAGCATATGAGTAGACTCATGGACATAAATAATAAATTTATTTACATCACGTCCAACTTGGGTTTTTTTTTCATGTTTAACCTAGATATTGAATACCGGTATGCAAGAACCCCCAGAACCTTTGTCCTCGGAATTTTGGGAGTTTAGAATAATTTCAATGTAATGACAATCGTGTCGCTTAACGTCTCTTATGACACTTTAGTGCATGTTATAAAAGCAGTGATTTCATCATATTCCTGAAGCAATGGCCCGAGAAATCCATCTCTAGCCATTTCTGTATTGAGACTGAAAACTTGAGATTGATGGAGCGTGCCCATTCTAATCGTCCAATCAAATCTCTCCTGAGTAAAATATAGGGAATTTTCATGACTTGACCGGGGTGACCTCTTTAAAGGGACAATAACACTCTTGCTGGCTTGACAGTTCAAAAAAAAAATAAAAAAATTGCCTTATTCTAAGTACTAGATGTGTTAGTGTCCTACCTGTTGTGTAAATTATCCATTAAATCCTATTTTACTTGTCCAGAGGGTTCAAAAATATTTTTTAAATCCAAGTCACATTTGCAAAGCTTTACGTCAGGCTTTTCAAATCATTTAGTTGAATTTTTCCAATTTTTTAAATTAGGTATGTTAAGATGAAATTTGTATCATCAATTAATTGGAATATTGTAAAATAGTGCAATTTGTTGACCAGAATAAAGATTGGGACATATTATTCAGTTACAACCAAACAGATAGCCTACGTAACATGCAGGGCCGTAACTAGCTCAGAGCAACTAGGGGGATGGGAAGTGTTCTCAGGGGTGCTGTGTACAATTGACGGACAATGTATATCTATTGTTTTTATGGTCCACATATCTTTCACGGGGGAGGGGGGGGCGAAACTTTAGCAGGGAGGGGCGACCCCCCCCCCCCCACATACACACACACTTAATAGCAGAAAACCGGGACAAATCGAACCGGTATCAACACAAATTGCAATACGTTAGTACGAACATTGACACTGGATTTAGAACGATCTCGTTAAACTGGTTTATAGACTACGCATTAGATACATAAATATAGCAGCCAATAAACACCTTCACAATAAACCGAATAGCTGCAATTGTAGATATAGGCGTCAACATGATTATTTGTTTTATTTATTGTAATAGGTCCGCTTGTGGTTTTTATGATCCGTTAATTCAACTACCTTAACTTTGAAGTCTGTTCTATTCAATAATAACTACGTCAATCGAATAATGATTGACCTATCCTAATCCTAGTTGTGCAAATACACTAAACCCTAGACGATACTTAAAGAGGGGCCGACCCAGAAAATTCATTGAACCTACACCCATAGAAATGTTAGGGCTAAAACTACACGTTATAAGACTAAACGCTATCAAATTATTTAGTTAAGCCCAAACATTATCAAATAATCAAATAACTTAATGAAGACTAAACACTATCAAATTAATAATTTCAGACTAAACACTATCAGACTAAACACTATCAAATATTAATAATTTCAGACTAAACACTATCAAATTAATAATTTCAGACTAAACACTACCAGACTAAACACTATCAAGTTAGTTAGTTAAAACTAAACGCTAGGAAATTACTTAATTATGACTAAACACTATCAAATTGGTTACTTAAGACTGAACAGAATCAAGTAGCAGAGTTAAAACACAACCTTATTTAAGGGTGGAGTAACTTATGGCTCAATTTTATGTCAATAGTTCGCTTGCGCGTATTGCTTTTTCAGCTGTGGGATGAAACCAGAGGATCCAGAAAAAACCAACTAAGTTGGACAAGTAATCCTACTCCTTGTCACGTACAACCTGGGAATCGAGACCATGATCTAAAGCGCATGCGTTAAATCGCAAAAAAAAACCCATTGAATAAAAAGAAAATAGAAACTGTGTTAAGGACTATACACTACCAATACCATATTACCCTCTAAATTAATCAAATCGCTGAAATATAACCATTTGAAATTTTTATAATTATATTAAAACTTCCTGTTCACATAAATCTGAGGTATCGCTAAGTAAAATGATAATATAGTAATCCCGTTGTGCCGTCAATTTTGTCCGTTGTAGCCCCGGCCTAAACAATTTTGATTTCGTCCTGAGAACAAGCACGCTTGAAAGATTGGAGGGATTGTTATTTGAGCGATTGGGGCGGGTGGCGTTGGGCTACGTTATTGACCGCCCCACCCCTTACAAGATCTGTCATTGAGTCAAATGCCGTGGTTTCGATTCCCTGGTTGTACGTGACAAGGAGAGTAGGGTCGCCTGTCCCACCTCGTGGGTTTTCTCCAGGTCTTCCGATTTCCTCTCACGGCTAAAGACCCATACGCGCAGGCGAATTATTGAAATAAAATAGAATCATGCGTTAGTCCCGAAATGACCTAGTTTGTGTCGAGTGGACACAATCGGGAGAAGAAAGTCGAAATTTAGAAGTTAACGTTATAAAGAAGAAATTTTAAAGTCAAACGGTATAAAGCAGAAAGTCGAAAATCAAACGTTGATAGCAGAAAGTAGAAATTCCTTCCATGAAAGTAGACGTCCGGTGATTTAAGGTTGAAAAGCAGAAAGTGTTTTACAGATTATAAAGTTCCCTTTTATATAAAAAATTTCTCTTTTATTTTTAAATTTCTACGTTTTACTCTATACCTCTAGAACATGATACGTCGCCATATCATACAGCTATACAAGTGCCCTATGGTATTCAGTGCTGACAATATGAAACCTTTGGTATGGTTAATTGCGAATTTCTAGTTAGGAGAAGAATTGTTTTGATTATCTAACAGTAGGATCATTTCATAACTTGAAAAGCATAAAAAAGAATATAGATATTTTAAATCATATAACTATTTATCCTTATCTTTTAAGGGAGATTGCAATTTTTATAAGATCTTAATAATGCACCATTCATATTCATACAGCCATTCTGTTTCCTTTTTTACTGATGACCGATTAAGACTTTTATTTATATTCTATTAGATCAGAGATATTTATGAACTGCAGGATTTGTTTCCCCTTTCAGTTGTTACTCCTACAGAGAATATGTCGCGGTATATAAAACAAACTATACATGATTTTTATAGTTCTACTAGACGATATATGTATATACCAAGAAGGTCATGCGCTTTGAATAATTCACAAAGTAAATCATTATAGCGGAAAATTAGACCAGTAAACCCATTCAGTACGATATCACTGTCGATGATGAAAGCTTTTTTAAATACATGTATATAATAGTGCCGGCCATAAACGAATTATATGTACGGTTTTAACCACCGTTTAATTCATAAAGTACTTAGATTATGTGGGTTATAGAACGAAGAAGGCCTCACCTCAGTAATTGACGGAATTTAATTTCTTTTCACTTCACTGCAAAAATAATATGCTGCATTATTACTTTTGTCATAATATAAAGGCGTCGATCATGGCATTAAATTTATTTCTGCTATTTGATCTAACTATAATGCAATCCTATTAATTGAAATTTACATAAAATCCCTTAGAACTCTATTTAAGGAATCAATAGATTTTAAATCTGTCTGTCAAATATACACCAATATTGTGAAATTACTTGTAAATGCTAAATCATTTAATTTTATGCAAACATATGTTACATCTAGTTTTTGATTAATTATCTCCCTGTTAACATTTTGGTCACTAAAAGACAAGTTTGATTGCCAAGAAAGAACCCACTTTCCAAATTCAAGTCACTAAAAACAGTTGTTAGAATCGAAATTAGTTTTAGCACTATAGAGACAAATTATTGTATATATCATTAATTTGGAGAATACACACCAAACGACGAAATAACAAATTTAAGAATCAATAGCTTCAGGACGATACACTGCAATGTTACCGGGATTATTCAAGAAACGATTATATCCCTTAATATTGGTCAAAATAAAGTGATTTAATATGATCGCAATCTCGATTTTAAACGGGTTAATTGTTTATTAAAAACTAAAAACCTTTCTATATACCGTATATACTCATTATGTTAACATCTATTACCAATTATAATGGACCCAATAACAGAACCTTGATTAACACCATTATACATTCTCACTTGTCACTACTGAAATTCAAAGGTAAAGAAACACCCATTTGCATGGTTTTTTTTATAATTATGACAGTCAGGTGTTCTAGAGAAACAATCAGTATATATTCTTCAGATATACAGGTATATGGATAAGTAATGTTTGTCAATAATAATATTACATAATTAAATATTCACCTATATTCCTCTATGATATTTATTTAATGACCGAATAAATTTATTTCAATATTCATAGAAATTTCGGCGCCTTTGATGTTGGTAATCTATTGAGATAAATTGATCTGTTTGACAATTTTAAATTTCCAGTGTTTGTAAATATTATTAACATGTCAATACCAGATGGTTGCCAACATATGGTACTTTTACAGTGATTCAACATTCTCATAATCTCGATTTTAAAAATGCTGTCTCTGATATATTTTATGCTCTTAGAAACCTTTAACATATTCTGAAGTGGTATTTTTGCACAGAAATCCAAACTTACAGTTTTCATTTGTCCTTAGATTCCACGCTATACCAACAATGGATAAGCTATTTTGGGCTATTTTGTCTTATTTCCGCGTTTACTTTTTATATGTTATCCAGTGTTCCCTGTGAAATATGGGACCGCCCCTGTAATGTTCCATTCGTCACATATACGACATAAGGTTAAGTGTAGTGTAGTACAATACCGCCAAGTTGCTAATCCAGTAAATCCATTCTGGTGTTTTTATTGACATGTAGATATAATCTAAAATCGAAAGTCGAGGACTACACTGTATTGTTATACACTCAATTATAATACGTGTAAATCAATGAATATAAAATCTGTCAGTTTAAAACATAAAGCTTCCTACGTATTTTTAGAGATTTGCCGATTTGATGATGACGCGAGTCACGTTAATGTCATAAAAGGTCTAGCAGAGAGGTGTATTTGCAAATCAAACATGAAACATTGAAATCATTCATTATGTTGTGGGGTGATTAGATGATAGGA